AAGTTACAACAGCTTCCAGGGAAATACGCTCCGAAGAGTCTCCTCGTTATCAATCCAGCAGCGTGGCAATCGCCGAGGAGACTTGGAAACATTCTTTTGTTAGCTCGGTCTGACTATTATTAGTGTCCGTTGCGAGACCGAGGAAAACTCAAGGGTAGCGCATGAAGGGAGAGCATCACGAAGTACGAAGGGCCAAGCCGGGAAGAAAGTAGTTACCTGACCTCCCAACGATGTATCCCGGGAACTCAGTTACACCGAAGAGGCGGAAGGCCACGGGAGTCTACCTACCTCACTGCCTAGGTAGTAACCTACAGGTTGTGGCCTCCTACACGAATGCGAGCAGCAGCCTGCATGGAAATAATAGACGTTTGAGTTACCGCCTCGGTTTCTGGTGCCTGGCTAGTAACGCGCTAAGAAGCTAAGAAGCCCACAGATGCAGCCAGCGCAGCTAGACTCAGTCTGGCTTAGCTCGGTCAGACCGATACGCTCAAACTTACTAGCGGTAATAAATAGAAAGTTTATGCGCCGGGGATGCGGATGCACGTGATATGCCTTTGTGATGACTAATACCAACGTCCTCTATAAAAAGAGGAGGAAAAGGAGCCACGCAGTCCTCAACGTCTCTGCCTCCGGTAGCGATATTTATCAGCACTCAAGTGCATAGAGGAAAGCAAAGTGAGCTACAAGCTACTGTATGGGAGAATGGTATATTGTGTATTCCCATGGCGCTGGAATGTACAGATTTCCTACTATACCCAGTTTTCTCAATGCTGGAAAGCCAGACGCATCAAGCATGGAGAGCGAGTTATTATACTCTCCATGCATCTTCTATATCTCCGTGACTTCTGAAGGAGTATAGACATATATGATACCCAAATGTCTCCGTAGACTGCATTAGTTATACCCCAGCGAGTAGCTTCATATCTCTCCTGCTGCTACTGCCTAGTATCCATCTGTGCCTTGTAATCCATCAATAGCTCTCTCCTAGATGGCCATTGAGTAGAGCGTCCCCTGGGCGACAAGTGTCGGCAGTGCTGCTCTCTCTCTCTCTCTCTCTCCTTTGGTCAATGGTTGTCCTGCGTCCATGTTTGTCTGGCCTTACTGGCATTTTCCATGTCATGTGCTTGCTCCTGCCCTCGCCGTCACGTCTACCCGATTAGGAAACCCCCGCGTTAACGCGATGTCCTGCTCCTCCATCACGAACTTCGTCTCTTCTCCTCCTCTGCTCTTCCTCTTCTTTTCCCTCCTGACCCACCCCAGCTGAAAACAGATACCTACCGGTCTACCGTTCATCTGTCTCTCCGTCTCTGCAGCATACCATCAGCCATACAAGCCAGCAAGAATACCCAGCGAGAATGTACCCCCAGACCCTCGGCCTCTTTCTGATTGTCCTTTTTGTTGCTACCCGATTATATCACCTCTCTGTCTTTGTCCATGTGAGAGTCATTTTCATGCCGATTTATTGTCTTTTTTTCTTTCTCTTTATTTCCCCCATGATATTACTTTGTATCGAGGGTCTGGAACCGGGGTTATTCAATTTGTCAGTGCCAATGCCCTATCTCATTCTCTGTCCCAATGCCTTTCTCGATCGGTAGGGGCGACACAATCGACAAAGTCATGCAAATGTGTTAATTCACATTGGTTTATTGGGATAGAGTGGTTCTTGTCTATCTCCAAAAAACCTTGGCAAACGTGATACCACTCCCCATGCCCCGTATTTTCACACTGGCCTACATTTTCCCATAGAGTGGTTCGAAGAGCAGCATATCCAGGTTTATCGCGGAGGTGAATAATAGAGTATTCCCTCTCAGCGCCGCACCATTCACACCTATAACACGTGGGGGGGAGTTCCTCGGTCAAATTAAATGCCATTTTAAATGAACTCCAAAGATGTTGATAGTTTATCAACGCTACTTGAGTTGCCCTTGCCTTCGATACTGGATTTGACAGGTTATATTCCACGCATACGTACCGCCTGAATTTTAGGTTGAAGCCTCCCCCATTGTCAACACACTTTATATCCATGCAGTCTACTCCCTTGATGTCCTTATCTGGTTCGAACATGGAATATTGCATCTGGGGCACCAGATCATGCTCGCTGCGTCCGTGTCGTGGACCAAACCGATAATGATTCACAACCTCTTTGGCATACCTATAGGGGAAAAGAAATTTCCACTGCCCAAAGTGCATGAGCCCGCGCTTAGAATGACAAGGTACCTGGGGTTGCCAGATATCCCGTAACCGGCGATGGAATTTTACACAGAAATAGCAAAGGATGTGGTCTGGAAATCCCAGCTCCAGCCGCTGCAAAAATTTTATCCGATATGAAGGCTCGGCTCGCAACTCTTGGAGAACTCTTGTTCCATCCACAGCTATGAAAGCGGATTTGCATGTCAGTGCAAGCGAGGCTGTATCCACCAGAGGCAGGAAGGACACTACAAGGTAGTAGAGGATATCAGCGCTGAGGGAGTGGACTGGGGACCGTGGCTCAGCTATCACTGGCTCGAGTCGAACTTCCGTGAGATTGGATTCATTTTCAAATATATGGCTTTCATGTGAAAGACGGTCAAGTTGAGAGGGGTCTTGCTGAGGATGGTCTTGTTGTGGGTGGTACTGGTGAGAGTGGTTCTGGTCAAGGTGGTCCTCAGACTTGTCTGATGTCAATTGGACGCATTCCTTACTACGCGGAACGGCAGCAGGAATCTCGACTTCCTCATCGTCGAATAGTCCACAACACGATGCCCATAATTGACGGCAGATCCAAAGAGCCGCAGCGGACTTCAACCCGCTAAATTTCATACTACAAGAAGAAGGTCGTATATGTCGAAAGAGGATGTAAGAGAAGTGGAGGAATAGGTTCTGCGAGCCAAGAGCTGTTGTCAAGTGATGTGTTGCGTTGCAGGATAGATATAAATAGAAATGGCACAGCTCATCCGTGACTCTGATATCTGTCCATGTAGTGACTGCACTCACGTTAGCTTGATATATGTATCTACGTGGTTGAAGCATCGTAACTACAAGTATGCTGTAGCTTTATAGACGTCATTGATGAGATATGGCTGTGGCAACCGTCCGTCGACTCGTCAAATCTGATTGGTCTGCCTTGGTAGCTAATTTTCTTGACCTGTGATTGGCTGTTGTGTCTAGGAACTTCCCCTTTGGACCCCCCCATCTCAACGTCCATCAAGAGACTGACAGGACAAGAAGAGATGGACAGCAGGACGAAGGCCGTCGAGGAGTACCACTGCTGCCCCTAGTAAGATTCGGCGTATAGGCTGGACCGCGCTAACTGGATGTAAGGGAAGCCATCTCATGCCGCCAAGTGACTCCATCGCGATGGGGCCAAGTCGATACAAGCTCACTAACTACTCTGTGGCCGGCTCTCAGAGTCGTGTTATGATATTACTATTAAGTTACCGCCGGCGTACGGATACAAGTGCAACCGACTGCGCACCCAACGATCTCCATCACGGCTGGACTCCTCCTGTCCGCCCGCCTGTCTCTTTGTTTGTTTCTCGTGGGTTGTGCAGCAGCAGCAGCAGCAAGGGAGGGCGGGCGGCTCCAATCATCCAGCTCCCCTGCAACATGGTTCCTCCCCGTCTGTGTTGCCCTCCAATTACAGATCTTTCCGTACCTCTCCACGTCGGACCCATCATATCTCCCGTTGAGAAGTCCAACCTAAACAGCTCAGCAGAATGGGCAGGCAAGGCAAACCGAGAATAGCCTTGGGGGGATGTGTGCGAGCTTGTGGCGCCGAGGCAGTTGACCAAGTCTATAGTCAGGGCGGATGATCTGCTTGCCTGTGAGGAACAACCGGTGTCTCGCTACAGAGTGCCTTGCTTGAGTGTCATCCATAAAAAAAAAAAATCACCCGACAAAATCACCTGAGAAAACGGCAAGATAGAAGGGAAGGGGGGGTTGGAAAAGCAACGCAACCCGCATCTTCGCTGGCATGGGTTTAATTCCTCGAAAGGCTCCAAATCTTCCCTCGTTGACGCTCTGTGCGACCAAGGCTTGTCTGCTAAACTTCGAGAACAGATGGTCTTTTGTTTTTCTTTTTCTTCTTCCTTTTTTTTTTTTTTTTTTCAACTCAGAACGAGCTGGGTATGTATGAATGTTATGTGTGTAAAGAGTACGTATGTACGTGAGTATGGGCTGCTCCTGTTTCTCTATGTCTCAGGGCCCTTTGATTTCGTTTGAAAATACAGGAGTTACTTCGTTACATGGCACCAAAAACAGCCAAACAGAAAGCGATGTTATCCACACACAGGACACCTTATCACGAAGCCACGGCCAATCATTATTAGGCAATCCGACGCCCGCCTGGAGCGTCTCGTTCCTGGGCAACATGCCCAATGAACACAGGGCAAACCATAAAGAGCTATATGATCGCTGGTTCTAAGGTCGGTCTCCCGGCCTTCAAGCTTTTGAGCCAATATCGACCGAGGAAAACAAAAAATTATACTTGCACATAACTTTTCTTGAGGTGCACACCTCGCTCCTCCTGTGCACATCGAACAAAACGGTCAATGTTTTGGCCCCAACAGCTGTGTAGGCCCAGTCGATATACTTACATAGTTACCGGCGCTTCGCCGGACTATCATTTGCCACAGAGCGTACGGAGTAAAACTGATAATAATGCTCACAAGAAATAGACAGCTCTTGAGAGCAGCAACTGGAATAAGAAACCAAGGCGACGAAGCGCCAACCAGCTAGCCAGCTCACTACAACGACGGAGTAGGGAGTACTACTATATTACAGCTGGCCAGCTCCACTCCCTGGTTTCTGCCTCTGGCACCCGGCGTCGGTATCACTGCGGGAGCTGCATGGAAGGATTGTTACTGGGTATCCCGTAACTACTCCGGACGTTCCTCAGAGTCGGAAGAAAACGACAGAAGAAGAAGCAGGATAAGAAAAAAATTGAAAAGAAAAAAGAAAGAAAGAAAGGAACAGTGGCAGACCAGCCCTCCAGAGTGATATTCTATTCTAATCAACACCATCCTCGTTCGATCCCCCCCTGTGCGGCCTGCATGCGACAAACAGCAGCAACTCCTGCTCGCCCTCTCTGCCCATTCACCAGTTAGACTAAAGGAAATAATAAGTTACGACGGAGTAACTTATATGGGCAAAATATCGACCCTGCGACAAGAAGGTCCAGTCCCAAGCCAGGCTAAATAAGGTGTTTCAAGCCTTGCTGGCCCGTCTATTGGATTTTCCGCCGGCACTGATTGGCTGCTCGCTGCTCGAAATATCCCAAGCTGACTCCTGCCTGCATGCTGCAACGGGCTAGCCTGGCGAGTTTTGGATTCATCTCTTGCATGAAGAGCGTACCCGTACCCACAGGGGGGGGGGAGGGTGGGCGGACAGGGACAGGTACTTTCATCTTGTATGGCCGCCTCGCCCGGGGGCCTTGTACCCATCATGTTGAGTATTCCTGCTCTCCTCCTCCCCCGAACGAACTCAAAAAGGAAGAAGGCCCTCCTGGTGATTTATACGGTATTGCCGTGACCGGTGCGGTACCTGCGAGTACCTTTTTCTTTTTTTATTTTTATTTTTTCTCTTTCTCAATTCCCTTTCCCTTGATTGATCCCCATAAAAAATCAACCTTCTTTTTGTTGTTGTTGTCTCTTCGCGGACTTTCCAACCTCCATCATATCACCAACAGCCCTCACGCTCTCCTCTCCCTCTCTCTTCTTCTTCTTCTTCTCTCTCTCTCTCTCTCTCTCTCTCTCTCTCTCTCGGTCTTTCTCTCCTGTCTTGTCTCTCTCTTTTCTTCCCTTCTTTTTTGGCCTTCTTTTGCCCTCCGGCGCTTCGGCCCTTCTTCTCTTTCCTCTGCGCTGCCTCCCCCCCTCTGCCCCCTGGTTTCCCTCTCTTATCGCTCGTTTCAAGTCTCTCCTTGATGTTACCGGAATAACGAAGTCGCATATTCATTGCTAGCAGTGTGTTCATTGTTGGTTTCTCTGCCGCAGAGCTCCCTCTATCTACTCTCCTGCCGCCGTCCCCAGTACCTCTGCCGGCAAAAGACATCATCAAATGCGAAATCGACCACCTTCTTTGTCGCACACCCAAACATCCATCTGTCCTACGAATGAATTAAATACGAGCTTCTTCTTCTGCTTCTCTTTTTTCCTTACGCTTTAATTCTGCTGCTGCTGCTTCTTTTTTTGTTCTTTTTTCCTGTTTGCTTCACCCAATCCCCCAATCCTGCATCCCCGTCAGCTCGATGGGTGACAACTACGACCGTCCTCGTGGCTAAGTATCCTTGTTGTACCAACATAATCCAGTTCTGGTCGCCGTACTTATTATTTCCGCTGTACACACACTTACGCACTCACATACTCTTCTCACATACTTACCGAGCACTGTCTGTCTGCATTCCTCGCGCCCTCCGCTCTGCCTCTCTCGCTGCCTGTCTCTGCCGCCTGGGGCAGCTCCAATTGCGTGTGGCCAACTCCTGCGCTCACGCTTCCGTTCGTTTCTATTGTTTTGCTACAGGCCGCTACTTTTGCTGCTCGGCCAATTCGCGTGGGCTCGCGCGCCGCCACTGGTTCAACAGACCACCACAGAGACTCTGACCGACAGATTGACACAGAAAAAGAGACAGTCAGAGAGAGAGAAAGACTACCATCCAGACTGACCGAAGACGAGCTCCATCCTGCTCGAACCGTCTCCAGCGCCCGGAATTCTTCTTCCTGCGCTCCCCCACGTCCTGGAGCTGTGTGTGGGGTTGTTTACCTTGCCCGTTGGCTGGATCTCTCTGCGCTGTTGTTTACCATCAAATCCAACCTTCATTTCTCTACTCTCGTTTCTTTTAGTCTATATCGCACAGCTAGCGAGCTTCCTGCTGGCTGTAGCACCGGCCTCGTCTCGTTCGATCAAGTCTTTCTCTCTCTCCCCGCGAACTCAGTGCCGGCCCTGTCGTGGTTAATACTGGAGCTTCCCACCTCTGTGTCTTTCTTCGGTTACTTTTGCGAGCTTCGCTGACGACTCTCCTTTTATCTGTATCTTGCTCCGGTCCCTTTTTTTTTATTTTATTTATATTTCTTATATGAACTCTTCAACATATGCGCATTCGTTACGTTACCGTTTCACACTGTACATGACCACCAGCTGGATATGTCCCATCAACAGGATAAACTATGGACGGAGGAGGAGAGGGTACTGATATCACTTTCTACCCTTCATACCAAGAATAACCCCCAGCTTTCAATGTCCAATTCGCTGACTCTTTTTTTTCTTTCTTGTCTCTCTTTACAGAACTTTCTTCTCACGGAGATATTGAAGAAAGCAGGCATCTCCTCTGCATACCTCTTCAGTATCATCAGGGAGAACCGCATTGCCCCAAGTTGGATGGAGATACCACTTCCGCCGGGTAAAGAAACTGACCCCCTCTCTTTTTTTTTTTTTTTTTTTTTCTATTTTCAGCCCAATTTCCTACCCTCCTTGGAGTAGTCTTGTACATGCTGAAATGCATGTATTGAGATGAATTCAAGTTTAATCACTCTGCGCTCCTGTCATAACAGCGGATTTGTTGACTGTTATACCTCTAGGCCGATCGCTTAGCTCCTGTCAGACCGCGTTCTATCGCATGGAGCAGGAATATGCGAGCCAGTACAGACAGAGCATTCCCGGCCCGCCTGCTCCGCTGCAGATGTCTCCGATAATCCGAAAACGACCTGCGCCGTCTGGAGAACGGCCGCTGGCCTCTGCTCCCCGTGCCATCCAGCCAAAGCCCCATACTTCTGATACCACCCGATACTCAATTTCCGAGGTTCGTACTGGCGTACCGATTCCTCGTGCCCCTGATCCTCCTCGTGGAGACACTCCTCGTAAACGGGGACGACCAAGCAAGGCAGAAATGCAGCGCCGTAGGATAGCTGAGGAATCCCGATCCCAGGCTCATTCTGCCTCTCAACAACCAAACAACATGACGCCCAGACCCGGCTATGCAGCAGGGGTTCTACCCGCGACTTCTCCCGGTACGTCACAGGGGCCGCCGTACTCCCCTGCAATGGGCCAGCGAGTGCCTCCGGAGCAATTGCGTGAACCCGACCCTCCAACCCCAATGAGTGTACAGTATCATGGGACCGAAACTCCTCCATCCCAGACACAGGACATACAAGTCCAAAGAGGGCAGCGACCCCAACAGCCACAGCTGCCGCGAACAGACGGTGGCCGGCTTCTCGAGGAATCACCCATGATTGTAGAGTCAAGGGACCCGACCAGGCCAGCTCAAGGATCCCATCATCCACAGACAGAAGCCCCAGCAGGCAGCAGTGGTCAGCGACCGGATACCGCAGCATCAGCAGCAGTCACAACAACGCCTTCTGGCCCGTCAAAACCGGAATCGCCTGGTAACCGGGAACGAATTTCACCAGAACAGCCTGATACTAGCCCAGAGGAGGATAAAGGGTCATAGCGACACGCAGAGGGCACACGTATCATGATGATATCAATGATGCTTTGTGCGGCCCCCCTTTAGCTGAACTGTGGTGGATTGCATACGATATAAAAGGAGTAATGAGGTCGAGCGAGACATTTATTTTCCAACGAACACAAGTCATATATATACAATGACTTGATGCGAGAACGTGACCAAAGGTGTTCGCAATTGTTTCATTTTTATTTTTAATTCTTTATTTTTATTGTTATTCTCACCTCCCCCCCTTTTTTGCTGCTATGTTACTCGATTTGTCTTTCCCTTTCCCAGACCACACTCCTTATCTCCCGAACGAAATCACGAATCCCCAGCCTGACTCAATCCGACTTGGAATCTATCCTACTGCCCGGATTCCCACCACCCCCTAGACACACATCTATCTACCCACAGAGCATGTGCCTTTTTTTCGGAGATTTAACGGCCGATATTTCCCCACCCCCAGCAGGAACAGCCCTTGTTCCTATTCCCAAATTTTCCTTTTATGCTACTGGAAGAGGAATCCTGACGAGACCGTGTCTCTTCCTCTTGGTCTAAAAAATCGCGTGGGAGGCAAATCTGATCATTTAGCAAAAAATTTTCTCACGGACCTGCCGTATTGCCTTAAAATTGCCAGTTACCTTGTTTTTGCTTTCTTTTTTTCTCCTCCTTAACTACTTGTTATTCTTGTTTTTATTTTTTTTCTTTTTTATTTTATTCTACCTGCCTTCCGCTTGGACGGTGCCTTGATCTGATCCAGTTAACCGAGTGGTTTGGACACCTCCCGAGCGCTAATCGTGGATTATTCCAAGCCAATCGAGCAAATCTCCCTGAGGGTTGTCAAATTACAGGAACCCCCTTGACCAGTGCTCTCTTCCGGTATACCTGTCCTGCAACGGATGAAGTTACTCTGCATCCTGCAATGAGAGATTCAAAAACTGATCGAGATAAAATGACGACTCTTCCTCTTGATGTCGACTGCCGCTGCCAACTCAATCATGCGTGTGTGTGCTTTGTTTTACTTCTACATTTCTCTTCCTACCTTTTTTTTCTTTTCTTTTCTCATTCGTTTGGCTCATATCCATTTCTCCTTTGTACTGCTGTAAGTGTTTACATGCGCTGCTTGTTTGCTTGGTTCGTTTACTTCAAAAGCTACGCTCTTAATGAACAATGTACGAATAGATTTGGCCTGTTTTTATCTATGAATCAACGATATCCCATTCAATCTAGCTAATATCTTCCTTTCAAACACTGGTCGTCGATCCGCTTCAATCCTTCTACACACTCCCGTAAATACAGGCCTCTTCCAGCACGCTCTTCGGCGGACAAGGTTAATGGGGCTTCATCTAATTGACTTTCCCAAGCCAACAGAGCGGCCATCACTCCAACTCCCAAAAAGCTCATCTGTTATCATTTCGCATTGGCGCTTTTACCTAACACTTTTGCCAGGGGGCTCTAGGACGAGTTGCGAGTTGCCTATTACGGTTTAGCGCCAGCAGAGCCGCTTCCCAGGCTATATTAGATCGCTCTTATATCAACCGCGGACGCAGGACAGTATCTGGTCAGGTCGATGAGTCCAGCGGGCTAGCCACGCAAGCACAAAACGTCACTAATATACCATGGTCTGTCTTATGCTCGCACCTAAGATCCGGGTTTAGCTTCTCGGGAACGGACGAGCGGTGATGAAGGAGTTAAGTGTCGACTCATATAGCTGATAATTAGCTGTCTTAACATTAACGGCCGCTTTGCCTCGCCCATTATTATTATTATTTTTGGAGAAACGACAGCCACACATATACCCTCCGTGATGCCGCCATCCGAGTTCGACCGTGAGTATACATACCCCCTCTGTCCTTGCCAGTAAATGGCGTGCATGTTGTGGCTGCCTGACGCTACCCCGGTATCAGCTCTCCCCTCGCCCAAGGAGGAGACGATAAAACGGCTATTACTGTACTGTCCACTGGAAGCAAGCTACTTCGCCCGTCCCCCCACCGCTTATTTCTGAGCTGGACTGGACCCAGAGCTTCCTTGTTTCAAGCTGCATTGTTTCGGTCAAAATGGCAATGTAGTATCATGTCAACGGGCCTTATTTTCTTCAGACGCACGGGCCTTTTATTGTTTATATGCTACTGCATAAACACCCCTATTCGCCCATATCGAAACCCATTGCATGATGCAGTTGGGTTTGGATAACTGTGTTGGCACGATATTAACCAAGAGAAATTGCACGAACAAAAGTCTCGGGTCTGGATGAAAGAGCCAAAGGGACTCGCTTAGCTGCTTAAGGCGCTCAACTGAGTGACAGACAGGTACCGGGGGGTCTCGGGGCTGCGAAGGTGCTCGGACGAAATGGCAAACTTCCAACTGGACAGCGCAACAATTTGGGGTCCCTTGAACAACTAGGGCGCCAGAAGACGCCTTCGAGCATGGGATCTTATCCCCTCACGGGCCATTCCTTTCAGGGCTGCTCCTGACATCCCTTGAGATCTACCAATCACGTGAGATATTCATTCGCATAAATAGGCGATGCAAGGGTTCCTTGAGGGTTTCTTGGTGAGGATGGGGCCCTGTCCTTGATTCAAGGCCGGGTATCACTGTATGCGAGTGCGTCGGGCCACCGGGGCGGTTCGTGGATGAGAATCCCTTTCTTCCTGATACAAGGCGCGCACATTCGGAGTATGCGAAAGCATGCACCTAAGAATATTGGATGTGCTTATCATCGAGATATACCGTATCTGCAGGGAATAGGATGTATATAATGTACATCCGTACATTGTACTTATATGGAGGGGCGTTTTCTATAAGTATATACGGGATGACGAGCATGTATCTTGCATGACAAGCAAGCTTTATTCCGCGACTACCCATCAACTGGTATCCTCTCAGAGGTGAATCTACGATACAAGGTCGAGCCATTAAGTTAAGCCCTTGTGCAACTCTCTGCCTATCAGGAAGGTAGAGAGAGTACTATGTAAGCATATCTGTGGGCTGATTCTCATTTTCTATTTATATAATGGCATTTTTGGGTGATGATACTTATCTAGCACAGGAACATCACTTGTTCCATCCATGGCATCTGATGCTCAATGAGACCTTCATCCGGAACCCAAAGACACTTAGTCGAAGGAATAGGTAACTATGTCCGATACACGGTGCAAGTAACGGCAGGTCGCTGCTGATACCCGCCTAAACGGGCCTCCAGTTCGAGACGGCACGGACAAGCCTTAATTCGCTTTAGCCGCCGGGGCAGGGAAGCATGCTCTGCAGCAGTATGAGGTCCATAGCGCAATCCATCGCCGTATGACATGGATATACGTAAAGAGGGCACCTTGAGAGAGAAAACGAAGGGGAAAATCCCCATGTAAAAGCTAGCACAACACGTATGCAGTTTCCTCTCGGGGTCTAGTGCCATCGAGCTTTTGACAGGATATTGCTGGTAAGATCGGGAGGGTTTGAAAAGTTTTATGAATTAGACGCCCTCGGGATCTGTGGCCATCGTATCAAGAGTCAAGCGAGACCGGGATGAGACGAAACAGCTGGTTGGTTGACTGAATTTTTTTTTATTTTTTGGACCGTTTAAGGGGACCGAACGCTGGAGCATGGATTGGAAGTAGGCTGATGCAGTCGTTTCATGTAGCAAGGGATGCGGAGTTATACCCTTACAGAGCTAGCTGAGCTGTCTATATATATTCCTACATTATTCCCGCCCTGCAGCCCTAGCAGAGAAAGAGCAGAAAGGAAATGAGTTAAAGCGAGGCGCAAGGTGGTGGCAGAAGAGGAGGGAATTGGGGTGGAATATTATACTTGATAAATATTGAAAACACACGCTAAAACATGACTTCATGTGACAGAGCAGAGGGAAGAAACCAGAAAACAGAGGGACGAAGAACCACCAGCCCTGATCACACAGTGCCGGCAATGCTTAAATCTCTGATCTCCTGCAGTACCTGTTCAACCTTATTGTCTAGGTTGCCAGATGCATACTCCTCTCTTGTGTCTGAGTCAAGGTACTGCTGGACCTGGGCCATGCGGCTGTACGCCTCGGCGCAGAAGCGGAGCTGGATCTTGACAAGAGCCTCAAAAGATGGGTCGAGATATGGGACACGCAGATCAATAAGCTGCGGTAGCTCGTTGTATAGCTGTTCGTTTAATTGGTCATAGGCCTGTTTGGCCATTTCTGCGTCCTTTTCGGCGCGCGGCAGCTTGGAGGCATCCTTGTCGGGCTTTTCCACAAGTTTCTTGACTTTAGCTCGCATGGAGTCGTAGTCGAGGAGTTTGTGGTTACGTTTCTTGATACATTCGTTGATATCAGGGAAGTATGCACAGAAACGAGAGATAGGCTCGAGGACCGTCGTTCTAGGGAAGTACTGTTAGCATATCTAGTTGGTGAGGTTCATGGATGGCGATGGAGCGAACCTGTAGGGTCCATCGAGTGCCTTTATTGTCTCTGCATCCAGATCTTCAACAGCCTGTTTGTAGCTTCTGCTCACACCGTCCTTGGCTCCAGCATCGCCATAGAAAGCATCAATAGTCTCCGCAATTCGCATTTGAGAGGCAGTCATGGCTGTCAACCTGGTTAGCAGCTGATCCGTAAGAAAAATATTCCATGGCTATTTACCTCGTAAGGAGTCCAGGTATCCCTTTGCTTCCTTCTGTAGTCTGTTTGCAGCAGATTCCATTGTGCGATATCTTCTTTCTTCAATCTCATAGTCGCGATCATTCGTCTTCTCAACATGGCCTTTAATGTGATACCGAGGAGTCAGCCTCGTCCAACAGGTGTCCAAAGCAACAACATACAGAAGACTAGCCTACATACCAGTCTTCATCATCACCTGGGTCGTCGCCCGGTTGACATTTTTTTTGAAGCCTAGAAGAACAACCCGCATCAGCATTGGTCGTGAATATATCCGGGACCATACTCCGGGTTGCAAAGAGTAGGCGGAAGCGTATGGAGCCGTCTATCATCAACATACCGGCCCAAGACATAGTTATTGAATTGTCGCAGTTGATAGCAAGGTATTAAATTTAACTCGATAGAGCGCAAATAGGTGCGATTCGAGGTGTATCCGGCGTATAGTCAAGGCAAGAGGACAGGCCGATATAAGGGCGTCCGTTCTTCAGCGGGGCAGTGATTTGGTTGCGTGTCGGTCCGGAGGATGCTGTCGAGGGAAACGAAGGTGGTACAGTACTGGCAAAGATGCGTCGAGGCCAATGAAGGCTAATTAGAAAACCACAGGCTTGTTCTATGTCTCTATCGCGAAAGATGGTATCTCAAAACGCCCAGCAGAAGGTGGGAAGCAGAAAGAGGCTCTTTAGCTCATCGACGACGGTATTAGCCTGGGCAGGTTTTGAGTCGAAGGAAGCGCCCAAGCTGTGGCTTAGCTAAGACGTCGAGGCTTGGCAGTTTTGTGGCGCAGCCGGATGTCACGTGGACGGAGATGAGGCCGCTTCATCTTACTTCCATGTTGACTTGGGATTTTGATATTCGCAGCTAGTGTCAGAGACAGAAGAAGGATGGGACAGACGTTGTTTCAAGCTAAGGAGAGTATATGGGCTTGGTTCTCCTTGTTGCGAGGCTGCTATAAAAGGCCGGCCGTGCCACCTAGCTAGGTAGTGAGAATAAGCCTGCAACTATATCTAAGTATACAACTGCTCTGACATGCAAGGGGACTATGCAAGTGTCAACCAATATGAGAAAGGTCTCAGGCTGCAGCGACAAGGCAATAATATATACCAAGCTCGAAAAAAAAAGGAATGGAGAACACCCAGGCCAAAGCGAGATATGTACTCCGTAACCAAGATAAGATCATTAAGCGAGAGGAAGCAAATCTGTTGATTGATAACACGCCCAACTTCGCGCCAACCCCCGAACCAACAGAAAACATTTGTTATTTTCGAGTCTTGCCTTTCTTTCTTCCCTCGGACGTTCCCCGACTCGATTCGCTGATCGTCGGATGCAAGTGATTGGTACGGATGCATCCGTTCTGATGGGGATATGGGGATACACATGCACCACCAGGCTATGGTTAGGGAAGCAGTTCGTACCCAGCCGGTGGAAGAGACCGGATGGAGAATCAAAAAAGAAAATAGTAAAACAAGCAAAAAGGGCAAGCAAGTTAAGGCGGAACAATGGCTCCGTAGTTTGTTGTTTATTCCGTCTTGTGATTTGCTTTTCTTTGCATTTCCACTTTTTCTGTCTGCTGGTCAGTCCTCTGGTGTGATGCCGGTCACGTTTGGAGGGCTGGGTGAGTATGCGTAAGTAGTAAAATAAGTACATAGTTAAAAGCCGAGCCGATCTAGAAAAAAAGGAAGACGAGGAATGAATATAGAAAGAAAAAAGAAAAAAAGGCTAATACAGGTAAGCAGTGAAGCGCTGGTAGATCGAGTGCAGAAATGACGTTAGGTGAAGCATGTAAGGGGGTACTTTATGTGCAAAGAACGATATAGACAAGGAAGAAAAACAGGGTAAAGACAAGAAAAAAAGGGAGCCAGCCAACGAAGAATGTGAAGAGTGAAGAGGAGGGATGAAGTGACGGCAAGCTGAGAAATACGTTAAGTCATATATCTAATCGGTCGTATAATAGCGAGTCCGGTTCAATAGGGCAGGTAGAAGCAGCAAGACAAAAGAGCCCATATCACGTATCCCTGTGCATATGAGTTCATCACCAGCCAATACCAGTACCTTTTTCCGCATGTGAAGGGGAGAGGAGAAGGGTTGGGGAATGGAAAGGGTTGGTGTCATTGTTGTAAGGAGACCATATATAACGGCATTGACCGGGTTATCGGTGCCAGAAAGAAATAAGAAGAAGGGAGGAGAAAAAGGAAATTATACGTTAGAAACGAAGAAATGATCATAATTCATTAGACCGAGCAAAACCTCCGGGGAGAAGGAAAGAAACCACAAACCAACAAACCAACCCATTGGCAGAAACTAAACCAAAGAATCATCATCGTCGTCTGTCTGTTAATCTGTCTGTCTGCCTGGCTGTCTGGTTATAGGCATAGATAAGTAGGCCAAGGAATCAAGGGATCGGGGGAAGCAGGTGTGAACACGACGACCACCAAAAAGCAAAACGCGGAGATGGGAAATGGAAGGGCAGGGAAGAAAGAGGGAAAAAAGAAAGAGAGAAAAGCCACCCAGCTGGAGCCAGAAGTGAGTCGGTTTGCGTTAAGTCAGTCAGATAGCCAGCTCCATTCCCGCTCCTTTTTTTATTGTTCCGACCCTTCCTTTTTTTGTTCATTTCTTTTGGTATTCTTTTTTTTCTTTTCCATCGGCTTACCTGCCAATCGGACTGGTGCCCATCATCACCTTTGCATTGGTGACGATGATGGTAGGAGGAAGGGAGGAAAAGGGCGTGAGATGAGAAAAAAGATGCATGATTAGAAGCCTTCTTCACCAGCTTTGCATAGCTTGATATCCCGGACCCATTCGGATTTGAGAACCTGAGAAGCTGTGATACGGCGCCCAGGGTTGGGGTCAAGAATGGAGTAGATAACGTTTCTACAGCGTGCCTATATTTTCATCATTTTGTTAGCAGGGAAGAGGAAAGTTGAGACAGGGAGGAGGAATGGGGGTAGGGTGATGTAATGTGAAGTGCCAAGACAGCGAATCGTGCGACGTTACTTACACGATGCAGAGTCTCGATAGGGGCGTAGCCATCTTCGTCCCTGCGCCCCTCAAGGTATCGATCGTAGAATTCGTCTTCTTCCTTCTGGGCCTGGCGCCACAGATGTCTTCCGGTGCGCATAGCCATGTAGATGACACCAGTAGCCCACAGATCTACAGCTCTGGGGTCGAACTCCTTATCCACGTATTCTTCGGGGGCAATATATGGTGCAGACCCACATAAACCAGCGGTCATGTGCGCTTCTTTCTCCCAGGCCATGCGGAAACATTCCCCGTTGCCGAAATCGGTGATCTTGAGCGCACCGTGCGTAGTGAGCAGGAGGTTTTCGGGTTTCAGATCTCGATGAGCAACACCCATTTCGTGCATGTATTCGACGCCACGCATGAGTTGCTTGAAGTAGCAGTCAGCCTCGCCGACCTCGAGTTTGCCGGCAGCAAGAATGAGAGTGTAGAGGTCTCCTCCAGCGCAGTATTCCATGACCTCGCAGTAGTCACCCTTGGCGTCCTGCATGAGATCGAGGGTATGGATGATGTTTGGATGGCGGAGCGAGGAAGAGATGCAGAACTCCGAGGTGAGACGCTTCTGGTATTTCTTGACTGTTTCTTGGGGCCGGCGGCGGAATTCCTTGACGGCATAGACATGTTCTGTCTTGGAGTCCTTGGGATCGATCTTGTGGGAGATGCGGACAATTCCAAAGGCACCCCGCCCAACGATTTCATGACACTTGCCGTATTTGTCAACAAGAGAGGCCGTGCTGTTTGGTCCGCCCTTCTTATCGGCTGCCATCTTCTCCTTCTCGTTCTTGAGCTGGTCAACCCAGGTGGAGACTAGAGAGAGCTGCTGCTGGTCATCGGCCTGACCTGGTGGGTGAGCGTGAGCAGCAGCAGCATCTTCCTTCTTCTTTCCGGCTCCGATCATATCTCGTAGCATGTCCGACAGCTTCTCCTGACGCCTGGCCGACTTGAGAGTGTGCTTGTGCGTGCCATCTGGGAGTAACTCGAACCGCTTTATTGGCTGAACGGCGTCCTTGCCTTTTTCTGCTCTTCTGTCTGCAGGTTTCCCGTCCGGTTTCTTTTCTGCAGCCTTCTGGTCGGATTTTCGGTCTGTTGGGCCTGTAGCCGGGGAAGACGAAGGAGGCATCATCATGGTCGAGGCAATGGTCGAGTCACCATTCTGTCTTGGCGACGGGTCTAGAGACTGTCTACTGGGGGAGACCGAGGCAGAAGGCGCTGACGAGCGGGTCTGAGAGAACATGCGACTGAGCCGGTTGGTCATCTTTGCTTTCGGCGGCTTTTGCGGAACGATCGAGGAGGCAGCTGAGAGAAGCGAGGCAGTCGTGGCGGTAGAAGAAGCGGTGTTGGGGGGTCCAGGAGCAGGAGCAGGAGCAGGAGCAGGAGCAGAGGTAGCCGGAGGAGCGGGTTGACGGGAGTCTTCCAAAGCGCGTGTTAGCTGGGGATCTCCATGCTGTGAGTGCGAGGTCGAAGAGGAGACGGAGGACGGAGACGGAGACGAGAGTGGCGTGAATGAATTCATGAGAAGAGCCGGAGCAGGGAAGGTATTTATATCAGTTCTTATTGTTGCTGTTGATGGGGGTGGCGGCTGGCTGGTGGTGAAAGTAGTAGACGTAATAAGCAGCCCGTAGTAAGAAGCGGGCAGAGGAGGTGAGAGAAAATAGGTGAGGGAGCAGAGTAAGCCAGGCAAGGCCCGGCGGTCAACGAGACGACAAAACGGTAGCGGGCACTGATGCTGAGCGTCTCTCTGTCTCTGGCGGTGTCTCTGGCAGTCTCTCCGTCTGGCGGGCGGCGTGTCTGCGGTGCGGGTTGCTGGCGAGTGTGTGGGAAACAGGCGAGAGAGAAAACGGCGGGCGGCGGACGAGACGAGGAGGAGGTTTTGGGTCAAAGACAGGCCCAGGGCTGGTGTGGCTGACTAAGCCGGCCATTGCTCCTTTAACCAAAGTGGCTCGAGCTCCCCTCCTTGCTTGGTCAGCGTCTAATCGCGGCTGGCATCAAGAAGTAACTCGGCCAGCGGCATGGAGCAAGACGAGTGATGGACATATGTAATACGGAGTAATAGAGTAAGTAATAATGCGAGAGCAAGAGCAAGAGCAAGGGCAGGGGAGGCCGCCGGCATGAGGTCCAAACCCTTGCCGGCTGTCCGGCTTGCCTGCCTCCTCGCCCGCTGGCTGGTCGATGATGCACGACGCTGCACCACGCTGCAAGGCCATGCACGACGCTCATGCACCTCGACCGGCTGCCGCATGGCGTCCGCCCTTTGCTTCTTCTGCTGCATCCTTCTGCCCTGCGATCTCTCATCTGCCAGCCAGCGCCCAGCGTCCGGCTAAATCGCGCAACGCCGGAACGCGGGAGCTTTTGTCCCGGTTAAAACAGCGTGGACTTGCCTGATTAGGGCGCCCGCCAGCCTGAGTGCCGAAGCCTCCAAGTGTTATTCGGCTGACTCAGCGCCAAGGCATTAGCCACAAAGCTAAGTTCTAGGAAGGTTAGTTCGACTTCGGCTGGGACAGCAACGAGGATGGATGGAGAGTAGAAAAAGTACTCCGTAGAGTAGAAGTGAAGGCGGAGGTGAAGGGAGACGCAGGAAGTGCAGTGGAAGTGCAGGATGGAGAGAGGCATTCAGCTGGTTGCTACTGTAGGACAAGGAAGGTCTAGATGCTATCAAACAGCTAGTTTTTCTATTTCTCTCTCTCGCCCCTTGGTCCGCCGCAGGGAAGATGACCCCGGTGCTACCGGCAGCAGCCAGGGTCCCTCTCAGCCCTATCAGCTATCAGCCCGAGCCCTAACAAGTCGGAGGGGAGGTCGATTCCCTTTTCTTCTTCTCGTCGATGCGCTGGCCTGCTTTCTGATCTGAAATATTTGCACGGATATACCCGCATTGCTCTTGGCGAGGCTTGCCAGAGCTGAAGATATAGCTTGGACAACCCCTCCCCCCCCCCCCGGGGGGCTTTTGGGGCTTTCCTGGATTAGGTTTCGATGCTTGTTGCTGCTGTTGTACAGGGGAGAATACATGGCCGGGTATCCCCATCGTGCTTTTCCTCCTCGAACCTCTTCATCGCTGTGGCTGGGTAGTTTGTTCTTTTAAATTGCTCTTGGCTCTCTGTTTTCTTGGCAGCTCACCTAGGAGAGCACTCGGGTCTAGAACAAGACGGTCAGTTAAGTCTTTTTCTCATTTCCTTTTATTGCAGGCGCAGAGAAAGGGGGACGGCAGTACCACAAACTGCTCAAGTGACTCTTCGAAGAGCTCGTTGTACACTCCAACGCCACCAGGATGTTCGGCTGGAGAAAGAGGGTTCTTCACCACTAAAATGCCGGCATATCAGAAAGAACGCCCTATCTGGAACAAGGATAGCAGCATGGAGTGACTCACCGTATTCCACGTACAGGTTGACATAAATCTGGTGCAGGGCGAGGCGCATATTGTTTGCCTTCGTGTCGGTCATCATCACAAACTTCAGGTTCGTTGGTGTCTCGTAGTAGTGTAGCTTATACTGGCCCGTCCGGTAACACACGAAGCTTTTTCACTCAAACCACGTCAGCTCCTCGTCATCACCCAAAGCTACCTTCGCCCTATACCTCATTTTCTCCCCCTCTTCTCCTGCCGCCTGTTGCGGAGCGCGGATTTGGATTTGGGGGCCATACTTATCGTCCTCACCACCGAGCTTCCGTACCATGTTTCGCAGCGAGAAGACAGCCCCAAACACCAGTCGAGTGTCCGTAGAGCCCGACTTGTGAGAGTCTTTCGTCAGGCCGTTCGATAGCGCTCCGTCCGATGGATGTAGGTCCTTGCTCGCTCCCCCGGCAGCTGTGCCTGGACGTGGGTACCATTGTCGTTGGTATATGCACTCCGCTGCGCGCCCGTCAGAACCATTACCACAACGCCTCTTTTTCTTCGGCGCAAAACGATGCACTTACCATGCCGGTCGAAGATGAAGAACGAGTAGACGACCATCGTGGAGAGGGCCAGCGCTGTCTCGCCCAGTCTTTGCTTGCTTGTCCTCTTCTCAGCAGTTCGAGGTGGAGAAAACGAGACGCCAGTTCACGTGACAGTCTTTGTAATCTCTAAATCGGCTGGCGATGTAGATAGAAATACTTAGCCAGACAGCCCAACAACCACGCTCTCTTCAGCCGTTGCTATCTCCTTTATGCGGCCCGCTTTATTGATTTAGAGTATTTGCCAGGGCTAGCTGGGCGTCGACGACTGGCTGTGGCCGATTTCAATCCCAACGCCCGTTTTGCCTTGCCTTGCCGATAAGAGCGGCCAGGGAGACGAGCCCGTCCACCGCTATACATCCCCCAGAGCGCCGCACAAACCAGATATCAAGCGCCACGTTCTAGCTAATGCTTATGCCTGACCCTCGAAGAACCGTTTACGACACGCTTGACCTCGTCTACCGTCTCGATTTCTCCCTCGACTGTGGCGGTACACCATGAAGCTATAACTAAATACCTGGATAGCCCGGTCGACCGCCATACCCCACACCCCTCCAGCCTTTTTCTCCCCTGTGCATGCACCTTGAGTGCTTAGGCTCACAAACGTGCACGGCAGACAGAAAACGGCCAGATATATCAGGCCACGTCCTTCATCTCTTCAGCATTCATGTTCGAGAAGAACGCTCCGCCGGAAAGCAGCGCGGCCTACATATTCATATAGATACTACCCGTTTGACCCTTTCAACTGACGCCCAGTCGCTATAGATGGACGCCGATCCCGTCTTGAAGCATGGCCGAACGGTCCAGCTCGCTCTAGACGCTGAAGTGCGGACTACTCGAAGCTCAGAACCTGGTCCAACTGCTCCCAAGAGGTGCGTCCCTCCGTTTTCCTCTCTGTCTGTGTGTGGGGTAGCAAGTACATAACTAGTTGAACTAACGACGCTCTCCATGAGAGGGGGGAGGATACAGTGCCAGGCCTACCTCCGGCTCGTACGATAGCCCACTGCGGCAGCATGCTCGACACCCTACTGCCCCACGGCAGGTTAAAGTTCGTCGTCTCCGTCTACCTCATGCAGCAACATGCTACAATTTCGATCCGACGCGATTGACTAATGAATAGCCTATATCAAGGAAACACTCAATGCTCAATCAACATACACCAATAGCCAGGATGATAATACAGCGGAGCACCGTATCAACCAGTACTTAATCAAGCAGGAAATTGGCAGAGGCTCGTTCGGTGCCGTCCACCTAGCTACGGATCAGTATGGACAGGAATATGTACGTTTCGCAAAAAGCTGGCTTGTCCACCAAACAACACATAAATGTTGCATTCAACCTCTAACAGGATTAGGCCATTAAAGAATTCTCAAAGTCCCGCCTGCAGAAACGGGCTCAGTCTCATGGTCTCCGCCGTCGTCCCGGAAGGCATCCAGGTGTTCAGCCTGCTGGTGTTGGCTTCAATTCACCTCTCCATCGGCACCCTTTTGGAATTGACGAAGGTGAAAACGGAAACTCCCTATACCTTATCAAAGAGGAGATTGCCATTATGAAAAAGCTCAATCACAACAACCTTGTGTCCCTGATAGAGGTGTTAGATGACCCTACCGAGGACTCTCTATACATGGTGATGGAGATGTGCAAGAAAGGTGTCATCATGAAAGTCGGCCTAGGCGAACAGGCAGACCCATACAGTGAAGAAAACTGCCGATGTTGGTTCCGTGACCTTATTCTGGGGATTGAGTATCTACATGCGCAAGGCATTGTGCATCGTGATATAAAACCAGATAATTGCCTATTAACAAACGACGATGTCCTCAAGGTAGTCGACTTTGGTGTTTCAGAGATGTTCGAGAAGTCTTCAGACATGTTCATAGCTAAGTCAGCAGGCTCACCTGCCTTTATCCCACCAGAGCTTTGCGTTGCCAAGCATGGTGAGATTTCCGGTCGAGCAGTTGATGTGTGGTCTATGGGAGTGACCCTGTACTGCCTACGCTATGGGCGCATACCATTCCACACAAGCAATATATTTGACTTATACAACGCTATCAGAAATGACAAAGTCGAGCTTCCTGGCGAGACGAATGAACATTTCAAGGACCTCATGACGAAGATTCTCGAGAAGGATCCTGCAAAAAGAATTACTATGCCACAGTTAAGGGTATGTCAAATGACCTTGTATCGATTTCCTGTTACTAAATAATGGCTAGGCGCATCCATGGGTCACCAAAGACGGTACAGATCCCCTTCTGTCTGAGGAGGAGAATACAGCAACTCTCGTGGGGCCACCAACGGAAGAAGAAATGGATACTGCCATCACTAGGAATCTAGGTCATGCGCTTATAGTGGTATGTATCATTTACCGCTTGTTGTTTTCGAGCGCAGTCTAACCCTTCACTTGCAGGTCAAAGCCGTCCAGAAATTCAAAAGACTTATAAATGACGGTAGCCCGTTGCAGATGGAGAGCATTCTTGGTGAGGGTGAAGAGTCGCACTTTGTGCAGCCTCCTCTTCTCATGGGGGAAGAGGAAGAGGAAGAATTCAGTGCCGTCTTGCATCATAGGAATATGCAAGAACATGTTTATCCCCGGCGGCCAGCTCAACCCAAACGGCCAAGTCAGGCGAATACCGATTATTCACCGTCAGTTTCTACTCCACCTCTCGAGATATGTACATCTCCATCCCCACAACTCCAATCCACCCCCAGAGCAGATACACCAACGCGACAGACTGGTTCTGAAGGCACCCGTGGTCATGCTCGTGACCCGCTAGAGGAAGAAATGCCTTTCCTCCACATAGGCCCGTCAAATTTTGGACCGGAGGCCGAATTTGACCAAACAAAACAGGATGACCCGGCCTTGGAATCTGGTGGAATTCCGATACCTACTAGGCCGACTCTTACAGAATCTCCTATGATCGTCAGTGAGTCTCCTCCGGCAGCGGACATCGATATCTATGAGACAGCATATAAGGAGATAATCGAACGGATAAATAGCCGGAGCCGAGAAGCCCAATCACCTACACCCAAGGTATACCTCAACCGAAGAGTTGAAAAGAAGCCAACCGCATCCTATGGCCTGTGGTCGCAAGCCAGAAGGAACAGCAATTTTTCGGGTGTATCCAGTCCTTCAACCGCTACTCCTGTACTTGACTTCGCTCCTCCACGTCCTAGTCCTATCAAGCGATTCACTGCCGCAGCTGCATCTTTTGCAGCATCTTCGCGAAAGCAGTCGCCGTCGCCGTTGCCAACATCGGTAAAGGTGAATGATGTGATTGACTCGGATAAGGGTATTGAGTCTAGTCCTTTGGACACCTCTGCCGCTGTAATAGAGACAACGGCCTCTCCCACCGCACTATCACCGGTTGATGATGCGAAAAAGGGCATTTGAAAGTTACTTAACTTGTCTTACTACGTGCAACTAGTACAGGAGGAAAATGCTAACTCCATAAATGATGACGGAAATGACTGGATGATATTGGCGCTTTTCTTCATTTCCGTTTTATTTCATAAAATTCTTTCTTCCTTGCCATGTTTTCTTCACTTATCCAATTGATATTGGGATGGATCATGTATTGAAGTACATCTTATATACAGCGCAATATACATAAATGGTTACTCGCGTATCGACCCTCTATATCCATTTGGCATTAAGTCTAAGGTTCTATAACTACATTAATATCCAAAGCTTCTTATTATACCCCACCCGGAGTAGCCGGTGCTACCGGGGGTTCAATAGGTTTCATCGCCTTTTGAATTCGTGATATCTCCCTTTCCAAAAGTTGTCGCAAGTCAATTCCCTTCGCAGCTATGGCGTCATGCTGACCTTTGGATATCGATTTCAACAAATAATCCGACACCGCGTCTCGCTCACGAGACATAGGCCTGCCAACTCCGATAGCCAGCCTTATCAAGGCTGTAGGATTCGTCGACGACAAGGCACCACAGCCGGAAGAAAGCAGTCTAGCTTTGACTAAACTCTCTACCACACTCTTAATCCCATTATGTCCTCTTGAGCTCATTTCCGGCCCACCATATCGAATATAGAGGTTCCCGTACGACCGCTCCAGTTCATCGTGCAATAATATTAAATTCGTCGCGCGAACATGTACCATTGGTTGCATCCCTCTTGCCTTTTTCTTTCCGATATCCGGGGGTGGAATGGGTATATCGGACGCCAAATTCTCTCTTGCAAGCCATAATTTATATGCCCTTGCTAAAGATGGGCCTGATGTGTTCATGTAGCTCGGCGATTGCCATAATGTTAAACGACTGCGGGTCTTGGGGAGGTATGTTTCGGTCGTTAGGCCGTTGCTGAGGGTTGGGTCGGGATGAAATGGGCCTGCGTTCATGAGTTCTGCAAAGGAACGGAGAAGGATATGGCCGGCGCTATGGAGAGTGTTATAGTATGTTTGCCCCGGGTTGCCTATCGAGGCGATGAAAAAGGAGGAAGTGGCCGCCATAACCGGGCGTCGTAATGGGGTGGACTTCGTAGCTGTGCGCTTGCTTATGTTAACTGCCCGCTTAATGAGCTTCCTAGCCGGGAATGTGCAAAGATATAACCGTACAGCGGACGCCTTTAGTGTTATATCACAATTATGTGACTCATGTCATTCAGTGGTGGTGAAAACCATTGAGTTTTGCGTGTGTCCAAAAAGCCTTTTGATGAATTACTCGATGATGTCTTCGTTCACTTTGCCAAGAACGCCAAGCCGGTTGACATTAAGAGTAATTTGAGCCTCATTTTAAGCATGTGTATACTACATTCAACGCCTCCTAGATACCCAAGTCCGTTAGCTTAGTGACTATTGGCCTGGCAGATATCCTAGTGACAGCTTTCTCTGTGATAGAATTGAGATGTATTACAGTGAGCTTAGGAACCTTTGAACTTAATTTCCTTTCCTGGAGTTTACCCATTTCTTATTCTTCCCAGATCCAACAATAGTTAACTAACTGCTGGTCATTTATCAAGTATTTCGTCATTCCATAGTTATAATAACTCCATCAGTACTCTGTAAGCCTAGAAGTATCTGTAACAGCTTTTTATCATATTATAGAGTCAGAGTCCAATGCCTTGCATCCGCCTTAGTTACAACTTATAGGCAACGCACGTTTAGTATGAGCTGGAGCTCAGCATCTCGATCTCATATCATTTATTTCCCGTTAAGACAGACACCAGTGGTTTTACTTTGCGATAGCATTACTGTCTAGCAGTTGTTCAGGAATAACGAGAAAAAACAGTCAATCTTGATACCGTGGTGGTATGCATTATTGAGACATTTCCAGGGTTCGGGTAAATATTCCCATGGATTTCGCAATTTTAGGTAGCGGGTCGCCCCGCTGGGTTTACCTTGAATTTGAGCCTCATCTGCCAACATACAAAATTTCTCTAATCGAGTCTCTCCGAGAAATACCGACACCGCTGTCCCGTATATAGTTCATTCAATACCCAAAGATATGCGACCTGCTATAGTGGAAGAATCAACTACCGGATATTGTCATTTTGGCTGCTTCGGATGCCAGAAGTCCTTGGAAGTGAATATCGCAGATTATTGTTATGGTAATCACATTTGTAAATACTTTCTGGGTTTAAAGTAGTTGTTGGCCTAGAGTAACTGAAAAGGGAGGAATTGAGGGGGGCATAATGAGTAATTAAGTATAATCTGTGGCTTTTTTTCCCACTTCAGGGCCGTCATCTGGAGAATCCATCCCGAGGTTCCGGAACCTAAGTCTTCCGCTGAGCGGTGCTATCGTACAGTCGTCGTACATTCCCTTAAGCAAATACGCCTGACATCATAATTTGATAGCCTCATACTAGCTAGAGTCCAAGAAACCTCTTCGTGTCACCAAAATATGTTGGTGGAATTTTTGGTATTGGTGAACTGTCCCGAGACAGCCCCACGCCAATGAATGAATGTCTTTATTTGCCATGTTTCAGTTGACTTGAGCAAAAGATGTTCTGTTTTTAAGGACAGTCTGCGAAAACTTTATACCAAATGGAACGAAAGCAAGGAAAGGGGCAAGATGGCAGGAGTCAGCAGCGTCCTGAAAATTGAACGAAATTTGGCACTTAGAGGTTTCTCTATCTTATGAGTTTTTTTTGATGGTCGACTGCGATAGTTACGGAGTACGGAGTACACTACCACGAATAAACATGTCTCTCTGATGATTGCGGTATACAGACCCGAAAGTCTGCAATATAACTACAGGGGAAGGGTGACCACTGGAACAGCCATTCTTTTCCACATGTCCCGAAGAACCGAGGCTTGCAAAAGAAATATCTAGCTAGTTATCAAAGAAGCAAGAAGCTCACAAAGTAACCCTTTGGTTATCAAATCAGGAACGGCGTTCGGGTCCAAGGAAGCTGGTCTCTGAAACACCTTTCCTTGCCTTTTCCCGGAAATCTGATTCCAGCTTCCCGTCTCCCAGTGCCCTGGAAACTGTGAGAATGGCCAAGCTACCTGTTTGAACCACTCGGGGATATTTCCTTCGTTATTTGCTTTTGTCCACCCTGCCGCCGAAAGATCATTGTAGCAGATGTTGTCGACGGCTGACGTGCTTGCAAATCCAATTGATTGGCTATTTCTCTATTATACGGAGATCCCCGAGTGAGTGTATGGTAACAAGTCAGTGGTGAACGGTGTCTCCTATGCAAAAGAAATGGGAAAGCCAGTAATGTTACGGAGCACACATGGCATTTTCAGCATAGTTTAGACTCCTTCCTGTGTTCCTTGACAATTAACTAAGGGACTGGTTAACTAGCTAGTTTACTAGCTAGCTTAACTGTGTGTTGTGCTCCGTAATCCGTGCTAGTTAGAAACTAACTAGTTAACTAGTCATTATAATATATTTAGAACTCGTATCAGTTTTCGCACAAATAAACAGCTCTACGACCGTGGGTTGTCAGGCGGCTTACGCGGACTGTGGTAATGAGAACAAACGTATCTGGGCCAGACAGGGACAGTCACTAGTCCTACTTCACGAATATAGCCGCCTCTTCGTTGTGTGCGTTTCTTTTTCCTCCTCTCCTTTTCACTTTTGGCCTTTTGATTCTGATAGTTATATATGTTTCATAGCCTCAGGCCGTGATGGAATACAGGGACAGGCGAGAGAAGCGCGGCTCATCGCGAACCGAGCGCGGTCGCTCTCCTGAACGGCGTCTCATTCGGGAGAAAGACAGGGCTCAACCAACACCCCGCTGCGCTTCTCGAGAGAACAAAAAGCTCATCTCGTCGATCCTAAGTTGCATTCCTAGCTGTTCGAAGGGGTTTCTTCAAGGCACCGATGTTCCACCCCTGAAGGCCGAGGAATGCCCTGGATTCACAGGTGTAAAAATACGCGTCTTGGAGAAAGACCTATTGGATGTAGCAATAGAGCTGGCCAATAATACCCGCAGCGGAAGCGATACCTCAAATGCTGTGTCGGCCGCAGGTGACTCGCCAGCCACAATCCCTGAACATGGTCGCACATGCCTTTTCAACACGGCTATCGCACAGCAGCCCAAGGATTTCGGTTTTGCCAAAAAGTTGAAGCAAATCACTCTATGAAAGGAGCACTCTTTTCAAGACCCTAAAGGAAAAAATCTGCCCCGTCCCAAAGAAAACGGCTATATACTCGCCTTCTGTTGTCATTTTTGGGGATAGCCAAAAGCCAACACGTAAGGTTAAGTCCCTTGAAGACCCAGCTTCACTACCTTTGGTGAGCGTTATCAGTACTCCTGCGATTGTATGCCCACGTATCAGAGCTGTGCGGACTTATGTAGTCAAAGCCGACAGGAAGGGCGTAGTACGGCCGATCCCTTCATATGAACAGCTGTACCATTTCAAATCTGAGAGGCGAGCCATTAAAGAAAGCATCAGAGTTCTTCTGAGGATCTCGGCATCTAAGAAGCACAGGAGGATTGTCGTATCAGTTCTCGGCTTTGAGGAGTATATGCACCCCAAAGAAGACTCAGCCAATTGCTGGGCAGAAGTATCAACCAGAATTTCAGGGAGGGTGGTGGATAGATGTTGTCTTCACTGTTCTTGACCCGCCCCCTCATCCTGAAAGGAATTACGCTCAGGGGCACATATACATCAAAAGGCTGGATGGGCTTGCAGTTTCTCCTCCGTAAGGGTCGCTTCCTGCAGGCAAAGATGGGAGGATTTTGCTAGAGCAAGGCAGGGAATTAGCTGATGGAGCGAGTGAGTCCTATTATGCGTGTATATTATAAAAGCGCCTGATTTGTTAGGAAAATGGGTGGTTTGTTGGCCAATAAAAGGGGGCCTCTAGAAGCCTGGAGTCCGACAGGCCCATTCCCAGAACCAGGTCTACGGGACAGACTCCAGTAGAGCTTCTTTTTCCTTTTTCCTTTGACTTCTGTCTCTCGTACTGGCGCTCCATACCTTCCGATCAGTATCATTGGTAGGTACTCCGTAGTGACAGTTGTCGTATCCGATGTCGCGGGCATCGTTGCCCGTTGTCACATCTAATATATGTCACCTCGATTGTGACTTGGATTCAGCTAAAACGGATGATGCTGGGTACAGCAATATCATCCACAATTGTCGGTGACAAGGACAAATTGATCTGGACAGGGGTATCGTTGGCTCGTCATGCGCCCCCCGTGGCCCACTCCACTGGAGAGAAGTTACCGACAAAAAGACAGGAGACACAAGCTGACATGGTTCTGGGCGGGCGATCAGTCCTGGGCTGAATATAACGGATGCGGGAGCGGTTTTGCAGGAATACTCATAGGTCACCCAGAAACAACGGAAGAAAAATATCATCCGTCATATTCACCTGCAGCTTCCTTCGTCTAAGACCTACTGTGATTCGATCCAAGCCCGAAATCCCATATACGCTGTGTGACAATCACAGAACAAAGGGATGAAGGGGTCGATTAATAATGACCACGTACAGCGTGGTTCTAGACAAGACTTTGTCATGCAGCCAACAACTTGTTAGTTCATGCATGGAGAAGTTGTGCCGGATGATGGGAAACTTCAGCTGGATTTTCGAGCGATTTCAATACTAAAGTGACGAGAAGAGTCCTTGGACAATAGTTAATGCCTTTTCGGCTAGCAACTAATGTATTAAAGACAGTCAATTACTGGGTTTCCTTGAGTACGCCGAAGGTCTCAGACCAGAGCAGACTACTTATTATTCAAAGTAAATGATTGTTATTCGGATGACTTTGGGTCAAAGTGAAGTCGTATTGCCAGGGTATAGCATGCCGCGTCTTTATAGAATAACTTATTCCGTACTCCTTAACATGAGAAGGCGTACTCCGTCTGGTGCCCACTTCCCCAGACCCATGAACAGGGCCCCGGTACTTTGCCATGATCATCGGCTGGCGACACCCTGCCAAGCGTCTTTGTAACCTCGCGCAGCAGGCAGACATTTGGTAGGCCGAGAATGTAGTGCTCCGTACTCCGTACGGGTATAATATTGTTGTCGTAGTACCCTATGTTTTTCTGTGGCTTACTCCGTACTTCGTAAATCTGCGTAACTAACTGGTATGGCGAATGGTATCAGTCATGGAAGAAGCAAAAGAAATAAGCGTTTGGCCAAGATCCCATCACTCTGGGTCAGGGGTAGTTAGCCGAACCGTAACTATTCTTCCATAAAATCGACAGCTCCTCTCTTAAATCAGTTGTATATTTCTCCGCTTTCTCCTTTCTTCTCCGGAGATCAGTTGCAGCAAACTCACTACTCCGCGCATCACAATATCCAAATCCGGCCAGTCCGGACATCGTGGGCTTCTATGGTGATGAAACATGTCTTCCCCTTGGAGAAAAGAGGGACAGCAAGGGATAGGCAAGGAATACTGACACGTTTTGGTCACGATGTATCATCCATTTGTGGAGCTGCTGGGCTTGGACTATTTCATGCACGACGACAAAGCTAAAAAGCAAATAAGGGTCCTGGAACTCTCTGGTTGGGAGATGCGGTGCAACCACCTCCCATCGCTGGTGCGTGCTGGTGCCGGCTTCAGCTCTCCCGACAAATGCAAACCGCAAAATTAGGTTGTCGCATGTTGCTCGTTCAATATATGAGGATTTAATTTTACCCCCAGGGCCCGGCTGAGCTTTGCAAATGGGGGTACTCGATCTACTTGGCAGCATCGAGCCGAGTTAATATACGAAGCCAATTCCTCGCCTTCAACTGTCTTTCTCGCTCGCGCTTTTCCGATGAAGGTTAAAGGGGGGAAAAAAAGAAAAAGGTCGATGTCCTGCCAGAGCAAGCACTAAAGTGAGATGTGTGTGCATCGCACAAAGCAGCTTTCCATTCAGTCACTTTTCCATACTTTGCGGTCTGTTCAACATTCCGGAAGTGTTGCCGGATGATAAGGAGTGTTATATTTGAAGAAGTATCGCCCCTTTCGAGTTATCTCCGAATAAATTTATTATTGCCCAGATGGAAGGGCATACAAGGCTCCTGATTTGTAGCTAATGGCAAATTGTAGGCGGGCGTCATGTCATGGCCCAAACGAGACCGCATGGACATAGGATCCCTCGGGGGGAAACCTCTGACTCTGATATAGATATGCCAGATGAAGGATATATACCTGATGCCGATATAGACGTTAGTACGGACGGACAGTATTCATCTTTGGCTCCTGGAGAAGAGACTACAAATGCTGGGTGAGTGCAGGTACATTGCTACCGATGGGAGCCTCTCTTACCAATTGTATACTTGCAGATATTAACTCTCCATTTTTCAGTTCCACAAAGTCCTTATCCGAGCATGCTTACCAGGTGGTGGAGGAAAATGGCCGTCAATATTGTGACAATACATATTTCATGCCGAATGACGAACGAGAACAGACTCGCTTAAACATTGTTCATCAGATGTATCTCATCATCCTAGAAGGCCGATTGACAAAGTGTGCTCTCCCTCAATCGATAAAAAGAGTTCTCGATGTTGGCTCCGGACCTGGTGATTGGGCGCTCGCCATGGGGGACGAGTTCCCAAATGCCGAAATAATAGCCACCGATATCAGTGTATTTGATATCCAGTCAGTTGGTATATGTCCGCCAAATGTGTCCTTTCAAATAGATGACGCTCAAGGGGAGTGGACATTTAATGAGCCGTTTGATTTTATCCATGTCAGAGGATTGGGCGGTGGAATTTCTGACTGGGCTCTATTTTACCAGCAAGCATACCAGCACCTTGCTCCTGGAGGGTTTATACAGGTAGCGGATAGTGCTCTTTTGACAGGTGATATAACTCTGCCGAATGCTCCCCCAAACTCGTACCTCAGCATATACCTTGGAGCGCTCGGCTCCGCTGCGGAAATGGCAGGGTACCCTCGAAGTTTTAATCACCTTCGTTCTGCTGCCTTCGAGGCAGCTGGATTCACTGATATCCGCATATATGACACCAATATCCCTGTAGGCACCTGGCCTGCAGATCCACAGGAGAAAACTCTTGGAAAAATGACGTTGATTGTCCTGTTTGAAAGCCTCGAGGCTACCAGTATGCGCCTCTTAACAAAATACCTTGGCTGGACAGCGGAAGAGGTTATAGATCTGTGTAAAAAAGTGCAATTGGAAATTTTAGCGAGCGAAGGCATGGGGGGACTGGTAAAGATAGTTGTGGCCCGGAAGCCACAACAGTTACTGAGACCTTGTTGATATTTCCAGGTAGTTCTTTTCTCGGCGTTATGGACATTTGGTTGAGTTCATTGGGGGGGGGGGGGGTTATTTGGATAAATCCTTTAATGGCGATGTCACAGTCCTACAAGTAGGATTAGTGAATGGAACGTTTTTATACCATCACGTGTTGAGCCCGATTGGGAAAAAGCGACGTCCTTCTGATGTTCTTTATATTCGACCTCCATCGCATTTTCATGTTTGTGTTCCTGAGCTTGTACGAAGACGCTGTTCTGCTGACTGCATTGTTGTGTTTTTCTTGTTCCTTTCCCTCAGTCTTATTTGATACCCAGTTCCAATCATGGAATCCCGGAAGAATTTATTTCCCAAAGATGCTAGTTGCTCCCCTGATCAAGATAGGGTGGTGGAATATATCAATCGACTCCTGCTTTCAATCATCGAAGAATTGTCCAAGCCCCATGGCACTCCCTCGATTTCAATGAAGCGCCGGTCGAATCACTCAGGTTATAACCTCAATCTCAGGACTGGCGCTTTAGAATCAAGTGATGAAGTCCGTACATATACCTACTCCTGGCCTGGAAAGTCAGCCCAAGAAGGTTGGCGGTTTGGTATGAAGTATTGTGCAGCATATGACTGATCTTTGGGTAGTTGGCTAACAGTCATTATTGTGACAAGGAGTATTGACGCGGATATTGGGTTTGATATCAGAAGCAATTAAGGGGGGTTTTATAAGTTCCAAAAGGGATATTTTCTACCAGGACCCTGTATATTTCGGGTCTCAAAGGCTGGTAGACAGGTACATCGATGATATTGCTTTCACACTCGATGTGTCTAGAGCTGCCTTACATGTAGTAGGTTGTTTTATTCAATCTCTTATAGGCCCGAGCTGCTAATATGGAGTGAAGGCAGCAGCAGCAAAAGGCGCAATAGGCGGGAATTTTAGTATCACGATGAAGAGTGGGTCATCAATACAGGTTGGCGCTTGCACAGAGGTAATGTAACCATGATTTTTGGCTCTCACACATATGTTTCATCGCTAAGGTGCATCTCAGGGTATCGTAATTCCAAGGATTCATGAAGTTAAAGAGATAGATATTTCCGGTATTTCATGGATCCTGGTCATCGAGAAAGAGGTAAGGCTCGCTAACCAGATACTGATAGAATCATATTTTTAACCGCATATAGGCAGTGTTTCACCGTCTGATAACATCGGGCTATCACAATGCATCGGCGGCAGGAAGCGGAATCCTCTTAACGGTAAGAAGCAGTTAATCTTCCTATAATTCAACCGATCCCTGGGTAGGCCTAATAATCACCTAGGGAAAAGGTTACCCTGATCTTAGTAGTCGAGAATTTCTACGCCTCCTTTCGAGGCATGAAGTATGCAACTCTAAGATGATATTTAACCCGCTGCCGATATTTATACTGGTTGACAGTGATCCAGATGGGATGGCAATAATGTCAACTTATAAATATGGGTCGATGGCCCAGGTGCATCGAAATGCCGATCTCAACGTGCCCTCAATACAATGGGTAGGATTGCAGGCTTCCGAGATGATGTCGGCTGCAAGTCATACAAATATGCCCTCGCTAGTCCCAATGAGCCAACATGACCGAAAAAAGGCAGAGGCTATGCTTAAACGAAATCCAAGCTTTGCTGAAGATGGCCCGGAACCAGCATGGAGAAAAGAGCTGCAATCAATGCTAGTTATGAATCTGAAAGCAGAACTTGAGATATTGTATGAACTAGATGGTGGCATGGAGGGATGGCTCGATAGAAAGATGTCGAAGTTATGTTGATCGGCCGGTTTTTTCTATGTTTATATCGTCCACATATTCATTGCTATGTTAACAGTAAGCATATAATTTACACGTCCTCGGTAGATATGCAATCAATAAAAACTAACCAAGCAACATAAGTGCGGCCGTGGTAATAATTCACAGCTCTATACCAACGCTAAACCACTTTCCCCCTTTAGAAAATGTAATCGTAACGAGACAAAACTGTCCCACAAATAGATAACATAGAGTGAGAGTTAGAAGATAAACCGCTCAAATGGATTTTGTTTCCATTTCACAGTCCTAGTTCCTTCCTAACCTCTTCCCTCACCCTTGCTTCATAATCGGATCTTCTTTCTCGCCACATTTTGGCAGCCTCTACGTTCGCCGGGCTTTCGTCATTGGGTTCAGCCAACATGCTCATAACACTTATAAGAATCTTCTCGACACTCTGGATCGGACTCCACCGCTCAGATGCGTGCTCGTAGTGGTTTGGGTCGTCGCCCGGTGGGTGTAAGATAGAAATACAAACGTTTCCGTTTTCAAATACTGCAATATATATTAGAGAAAATTCTTCTAGATCGAGCGAGATTAAACGTAGAAGAGAAAGGTAGCTCAATCTTACTATTTGGGTGCCACATATTCCCTAAAAATCGCATGGACGGCGGACTGAGAGGGTAGTCCTTCGGGAACTTCAACTCAGCCGCGAACACCCCTCCTTCAAACGGTGTCCCTTCTGGACCTTGTATTAAAGCCTCCCAAAGGAACATGTCATCTTCAGTTATAGGACCGGCTGTGATTCCATCGGGAGGAGAGGTTGAGAGGAGCTTATATTCGTGGAATAATCGCTTTTGGGCGACGGATGATGCCATGGTGTCGATATTTCGGCGACCGGGGGAGTGAGAAATTAATATACCGCAGTATACCGAGCCCGTGGAGATTGACAGGTGCTAGCTTATGCTGGCAATGAGCTTGGTATCTTCTGTATCGTTTTCACAAGTTTGCCATTGCAGGTTGACGTTGTTGAAGGTGTCGTTGCTGGTTGTATGTCAGAAGAGCCACTGTGTGGGGCGAGGATAACTTAAGCTTTCCTGTCTATCAAGGCCGAACCATGGCCAGGCAACTTCCCATGTAGCACGGAAGCGTTTTTATAGAGTTGCACGTTTGGATATATCACATAGTATACAACTTCTAATATACAAGTCTCCATCTTTATCCAACCAGCTGGCATTAAAAAAAATCATCAAGATCACTGTCATCACCGCCATCGCTGCCGTCACTCCATAAATCACTGCCACCACTAGGCCAGGCGTCTTGTTCTTTCGTTGGGAATGGGCTTTCGTCTCTTTGCTCCCAGGGATACTGATCAACTTCTCCCCATACATCTTCACCTGCTCCTTGTTCAGTGGATCCGTGGTGCTGAGCTTGCTGTCCCTCCATATCCTGGGGTTCTTGTGCTGGGTCCTGGTGTGCTGAGCTTCCCCTACGCATAGCTTCATATCCTGCAATGGAGCCAGCACCAACAGCTCCTGCAGCAGCACCTTCCATAGCCCCAGCTCCTCCAGCGGCTGTACCGGCAGCTGCCCCTGTCCCACCTTCACCAAGGCCAAACAATGGAATAGGGACTATACCGGGACCGCTGCTATGACGACTGAAATAGTCAAAATCGATGGTCACAGCGGTAGCAAGCAAAACGGCTCGTTGATCCAATGTCATGCTCGGAGCCGGTGCACTTTTCAATGGCTCTGTGCCCTTTGATTGCGTTTCTTCAGCCATACTTGCTGAATCCATGCGTAGTGCATAAACTCCTGTGTCTGTGAATATCTCTCTTGCAAAGCCTGCAAAGTTGCGGTTCACGGATCCGAGGAGTTGAGATTCAGCTGAGCGCACGGAAAAGTCCCAGGATAGAAACGGTTCATCGACATGCGCAAACTGGTGTAAGCTTTTTTCTGGCGGAACTGCGGGCTGCTGAATGCCCGCTGATATACGCCTCGCGGGCGTATTTGGATGGGAGAGGAATAAATTGTACTTCCGCCGAAGTAGTGCCCAACGCTGCTGTGCGGCTCCTATAACACGCATCTGTGAATGTTCAAGTGGAGACACCTTAACGGATCCTGCTTGTGAGCCGGGTACATTGTGCTGTAGGTCAATTAATGGTGCATGGGACCCGGTCGTATTGTTGTGAGGGTCAAACACAAATATTGTAGAATTGATCCAGGAAAAAGGCCTATGAAACTAGTAAAGATATTAGGCATAGGTATATATATTTGCAATAGCTATTGAGGGCACTTACGCGCAAAACTTCATTTTGGTTTCTATCGAAGACATGGGTCACAAATGGCCGATGAGTGTGTAGCCACTGGCGAGATAGCATGCTGCCCATCCCTTTTTCTTCTTCTGCCATATATCCTACATGGGTTCCGTGAGCATCCAAGATCACATATCGGTTTGCTTGTTCAAAGCCACTAGATAACGGAGCATGGGTTAGCCAATGGTTCAAGTCGCCCAACTTCGTCTCAGGTCAAAAAGGGGTATAGAATTACTAACAGCAAGACATTCATCATTTCCAGCTGTCTTTGAACTACCAGCCCCGAATTGGCTAGGATCTGGCTAGCAGGGTGGTTCTGTTTAAGTAGGTCATCCGGGTCTTCGGGGATGTGGACTGGAGCAAGCAGGGTATTATATTGGGGATTTGCTCCACTGCTTCGAGATGATGCATCACCTTGACCGCCTGCCTGAGAACCAGCAGAGCTTCTTCCTGGCTGCCCCCTGGAAGATGGGGTATTTGAAGGATTATGCCGTTGGATTGGTCTTTTTGATCGCCTTGACCATGGGTTTGGCCTGAATGATGCATGCCTCACAGCGCAAAGTCCTGTAGTCGCTAGGAAGTGTTGCTTTGGGCGCGTAGGTACATGGAACGATAGAAGTAGTCGGGATAATTCCATTTTTATGTTTTCGAGATATTCATGTTATTCAAAATACCGAAAGATGCTCCTATGTGGATGTTGTGATGTGTAGTTTGCATAAAAAAGGTGCGTCTGAGCCAAACTTATTAACTAACTAGTTAGTAGAGTCAAGAAAACTATGACTTCATCGTACCTGGGACGGAGAGCTGCAGATATAATTTGTTACAACGCTGACGAAATATTATACTTAAATTTTAAGAAACGCATACACGAAAATTGATTGATTAATGACACAGAGGCGTATTCGAATGACTGGAGTAAATTCTTCAAAATGTATGCTGCATGCCAGGTACCTCTAAAAATACACCTAACATAATGATATCGCTAAACCCAAATTGAACCTGAACGCCTTCTCACACCGTACACGGAGCGTAGATAATAGTATTGTCCATGAGCATGTCCTGATGTATATGAATCTAAAGAGGGGGGGGGGCTGTGAGCGGGTTCATAGTAGCCCTTTTCGCGCGAGCTCTATCTTCCGAGCTGTCTCGCCGGCCTTGAAGCCGCCTTTCGAGGCACATATGGCGCTTCCTTCCCCAAATTCAAACTTCTCCTCGACCCTAGGGTGTGCGCAAGGGCAGTGATGTGGAACGGCAACGCAGGCTAGAGTGCCAGGGCACAGATAATTCGAGCATTGAGCTGAAAAGATGTATAAGTTAGCGGAACGGGTCTTGGTATAGCGGAATCCAGAGATCGAATACACACCTCCGCTGTAGGCATTCTGATACCATGCGCTATCACTTGGTACATTGCCGCCTTGGCCTGATGATTCGTGATGCTGTTGGCCACCGCCAAACATTTGCTCGAAGAACTGGAACTGAGCCTGCGCGGTGGTAAAGAAGAGAATCCCAAGCAGGGCTGTCCTGAGCATGCTGACCATTTTTCAGTCCGAGTATGGGATCCGGGTCGTATGTCCGTAATCTATCCAGAGCCGCTCGCAGGTGGATTGACTGTCTGCCGTCGAGTATCGAGTATAATAATTAATTGAAGCCCGTCGTTGAACTAAACACGTTGCTCCATCGCCGATAAGCTTGATGGGCCGCGGAACAGTCACGTGACACAAAAATTGGACTTTTTGGAGCTTTTCATCGAAAGGAATGAAAAAACGGTCGACAGCGAGCAGCGGACTTTCTATCTCGACAGCACCACGGTCTCCGAAGGTCGGTGAAGGGGCGCGTTCGAGCAGCTCTTCTCGGCCCACTGGATATACCATGTTAAAACCGCAATTGAGGGCGCCCGTGAGGCTCCTCGAAGGGGTCTTCGCCCAGTGCACAGCCCAACCCTCGAGTCGATCGCATCTTCAAGTCTCCAGATCTCTAACATCCTCTCTCCTACAATCCAGACTACGACCGCAACCATCATCTATTATCTCGCAGCTCGGGCAGGTCCGATACGCCTCTCACAACTCGCAAGGCTCGGGAGCGAACAAGCACGCAAAGAACTCTCCAGGACGAAGACTCGGTGCTAAAAAGACCGGCGGCCAGGCCGTGGTTACGGGGAATATCATCTTCAGACAACGAGGCACGAAATGGTTCCCTGGTGAAAATGTTGGGATGGGAAGAGACCATACGATCTTCGCTCTTGAGAAGGGATACGTCCAGTACTACCGGGATCCCGAGCGTCACCCAAAGAGAAAATATATCGGCGTTGTTTTCAACAAGGACGATAAGCTGCCCACTCCAAAGAATGCTGTAACCCGAAGGCGGCTGTCAATGGTTGCTGTTCCAAGAAGGACAGAAGAAGCTTCTGTGGAGGAACCTGCCGACTCATCCAAACCTGTCAAGTTGACACTCGTTGCGTCCAACTCTACAGGCACATACCGATCCGGATACATGCACCGTGAGGCGAACTGGGAGATTGGAAGAGCAGCAGATAAAGCTGGAATAACGGTCCAGGAGTGGAAGCGCAAGGACCGCTGGACCGCCTGGAGGCGCAAGCTAGAGAAGATAAAGCGTGTTGCTCAGATGAAAGAGCTGAAGAAAAAGAAGAAGAAGATCAAGGTGAAGGTCTGATCACGTCACACTTGAATTGTATTCATACTATTTTTTTGACTGGTTTATTTTATTGTACAATAAGACGGAGCTATCGACATCTATTTCACATATTCTTTCCCATTACTACCTAATTTTCGGGGTATTGTTGTAGCATGATCATTAAGCCGTATAAACAATAAATCATAAGCAAGAGCCATTGGCTCTGAATTTCAAGAATAACCGCAGCTATCTCTCAAACAATCGACCTAGAATCAAAATTTGGCAAAGGAATTCGTTATCCAAAACTTTAATGTTTATAACACTTCCATTTGTTCTCTTCCCGTTGTTACCATCTTGCCCTCGAAATGGCTTAACAGATCGAGCACGGCCTCGTGATGGAGGTTTCAAGATGGTCGACGGAAGCTTAGACAGAGCCGAGCGAGCTGCCGTTGCCGCACTTTCGTCACCAACATATATCCAATCCCATTTACTGCGCCCATGTACCCAGCCTTTTGGTTTGGGATGCAGTTCGTCAGCTTGTGATAGTATGTCAAGAGCAGCTTGGAGAGTTTGAACAGGATAAACGTGTTCTGCACCCAATGCACAAGTAAGGAATGCATAGGCCTGTCGTTGCTGTGCTACCTGTTTGCGTCCCATCACGAAAAGCATATACTGGTCAGTGAAGACCTTTGGACGGTTAGTGAAGACATCCAAAAATTTGGATTCAGAAGGATGGTAGGGTCTAAGAATTCGTGACTTGACGGCGTTGTCAAGGAAGATGGAAGATCCTGCAGCAAGGAGGTATGGTTCCCACTCCACGATCTCCTGTTTCTCGATGCACGCAAATACCCATTGGCTGGCGAGGCAAGGGAGATTAAGAGCCAGAGCTTGCATGTACTTAGCGCGCCGTGAGTGTTGGTCTGTGATCAAACAGGTAAAGCCCATTTCCTTAGCACGTTGGGTCAGCATTAAAGGCCCTTCGGTGTGAAGCTCTTCATCTTTGGCAGTGGGCAATATTAATTCCCAGGAAGACGTTTCAAACAGTTGGTCAAATCCATTTTTGAGGATAGTCCCACCATTTTCAGATAGCATAGATTCAATATGTTTCCCCCTCTTCTCATTTCCAGTGTAGGAAAGAGCAAAAGTCATACCGGAAAATATGCCAGCTCTGCCTGGCTCAACAACCGGAGTCTGTTCAGCTTGGGTGCCACGAGTATGCATACTTTGTTCCATTGCTTGAGGTACAGCTGCCTGTGGATTCTTTGGTAGTGACTCGGTGGAGTAAGGGCGTTCTCCAAATCGAGACCATAGATTTTGATCCAGATATATCTTAGATATAGGCACAGTGATAGCCTGGGGAATTTTACCCTTGGGAACCATCTTAGTCAATTTCCGTTTCAACCGGACAGTGGTGTGACCATAAATATCGCACATCTGCCTATCCCAACCGCTCACTTCTGCACCTTCTGAAGGAGATTGCGGTTTTCTTCCAAATCCTATCACATAATGCGGAGCTCTAGGTATATCCGGATGATTGACCTTAACGATATCACCAATTCTCAATTCCAAGGATTTGGCTCCTCGAATGTCGATTTTCTCCACTTCCTCGGAATCGTCAAAACGGACAAGGAGTTGCTGACTAGTAACGCCATCACTAGAACCCAAACAAACAGCTGGGTAATATCCCGCTGGACGACCGTTGAAGAAGGCAAAAATATGATTTGCAGCAATGACGTTCTCATCCAGCTTTCCCGTATCACTATTCAAGTCGAGGATAGGATCACTTCTCTCTGTATGGGCTGGGAGAGAGAATGAGCTGGGGGTGTGTGAGAGTGGTTCAAGTGGTGTAGATGAGGATGGATTAGATGGAATGTGAATAACGACGGCGTCGACAACTGTGCGTCTGTTCCGAGAATGGGGCGCTTCTGCTTTCTGCGCCTTCTTCCGAAGGATGGGAAGGCCGGTAGATGGCGTAGGTTCAGGTTTCTCTACTGGCCTTTGAGGGGATGGCTGAAAATCCCAGATATCATTCGTATCTACATCAGCACAGGGCTTTGAAGGTTCGTGTAGCTGTTTGGTCGTCCGTTGAAGAGTCTTAGGGATATCATCATCGATTGGTCCAATGGGTGAAATAGGCCTATATGCTGGTATAACATTGTTCTGATCGTTAGTTAGGTTGTGCTGACGATTCTGAAGAATCTCCTGGATTCTTTTTCCATCATTTCCGCGTCTCCTTTTGATCGGCGAGTCAACCGTAGCCATCATTGACTGAAAAATCCGATCATCAGTGTTAAGTAGGCGAATTTCGTTTATGGGGATGTCGGAAACTGCAGGACGTGGGGACTCATCTGAGGCAATAGCCGTCATACTCCTCCGCTGTCGGCCACTGGGGCTAGATAGAATTGTTTGGACACGACGATTAGTGCGAGAGGCGGCCAGTTCTTGAGACCCAAGCGATTTCAATATTGCAGAGTTTCTGAATCGTGGTGTATCAGGAAGATCATTGTCCTCATCTATACCGTCTATACCATCGTCAGATTCTGCAGGTGTGTCAGTATTACTGGTTGATTTCACGAAATGATACCGCTTGCCAGTGGAACTAGTTTCAGATATTGCTCGCGAGAAATTTCCCTTTTCAGGGGCAGACTGGGAAGGGGTTTCGAAGACTCGAGAGGTTATGGAGGATCCGTTGTTAAGAGTGGGTATATCAGTATCACGATCATGAGGTGTTGAATATTTTTTTAGGTTTATTGTTTTCGGTAATGGTGACGGTGAAGGCTGCGAGTCTGGAGAGCCATGCTCTTCATCAGGCTGGCTGTTAATAATTTTGCTGATGGCTTTTAGTGGAGGTGATGAAGGTATTTGCTCTGATAGTTTTCTGGGCTCCATTTCGGTCTCAATCATCGTGCTTCTACGGCTTAGGGGATTATTTTCCTCTCCTTTCCGTAAAGTGCCTAGTTTAAGAGCAGCTTCTCGAGGATTTCCACTCTTTTCTGACTGGGAGACCCATGGCGGGCGTCCTCCTCGCTTCGTATTAGATATGGCCTGAGCAGAACTCGTTTCTGCGGAAGAGCGAAGTCCTCCAGCATTTGATCGGCGATTATTTGATGGACTTTGATCGAGATCTAAGACACTTGAAAGCGCACTATGAGTGCTAACAGCGAGAGTTGAATGTTGAACTGGACCGCTGTCAACATTTTCCTTATCCTCTTCCGCAAAGGATTGAGTCCGCTGAGAGCTGCGAAGCGGTTGAATCATACAAACATCCTCCTGCTCAGTTTCAACCTCACTAACTTCGCCTCGGTCAGTGTCAAGAACCTTTTCCTCCCTGCCATTGTCTTCCATTACAGACTGTAGAGCTTTTTGTCTGCTGGTGGTAGTATGAGGTGAAGTCAGAGGTGGTGGGGATGAAACATCTCGCTTGGAATTTTTGCGAGTGGACACCCTCGCAGGAGCTTTGATATTTTCAAACTGCTTTCTGACTTCATTTTTAGACTGCATTTGGCGTATGCGGCGTTCAATGGCAGATTCTTCGGCCTGGAATAGATCATCATCCCCATTAACAAGATTCGAGCTAGATTTCAGTTTCAATAGCTGTTTTTCTCGATCAGCTTGTGATTCTTTCATGGATATATAGTTTGCTTCCGGTTCAATTGGGTCAGGGCGAGACATGGATGAACCCAGAAAACTTGGTGAGAAAGGTACGGTGCTGCGCATTGGCCGCTGGATTGGAATATTTGGTGATGGCATATCAGATGGTAATTCTAAACGAGGCATATGAGTAGATGGGGACGAGGTGGCTTGGGTTGCATTGAACAGCTGACTTAAAGCCATTACAGACCCGGGGGTTTTATTGTCTGGGCCAAAAGGGTTCCGAAGGGTTGATGGTGTGGTAGTGCTTGCAAGATTCGACATACGTCCATGATGAATTGCTGGGGTGTTGGTATTGAATCGTTGTGATTCTGGGAATGGCTCGTAACGTGTCGGAGAGGAGGGACCCGAGACAGAGGCCTGCGAGCCACGACCTTCATCAGGATTGGCAGCATCCGCCATGATATCAGTATCAGAAAACAAGTCTACATGTCCTGTATCTCCTTCATGAAGCGTCATTTGCGTGGTCCCTCCCTCTGCTGCCTCAATGGCATTTATAAACGGTCGTTCCGATGGGCTGCCATCGCCCTCTATATCTTTGCCATTTAACAAACCCTCATATACCGACTGAGATACGGGCTGGGTGTCCCCCAAGGCGCTTCCGGAAGGAGATATTTCCCTATCCTGAACCTCTAGCGTAGTATTCGACCGTTGAACCCCCGAAGATTTCGTGTTTGACATGGCTGTATTGTAGAGCGATTGCCCAGATTGTTGTATGACACTCGAGGACGAGGAGTTGGCAGGTTTCTCTGCAACAGCCAAAGACTGGTTGCTGAGCATTTCATACTCAAGGAGTGAACCATAGCCCGCAGCTGTCGATGTAAGCCGCGTAATAGCGAAAGCAGTCTGTCTATTCAAGGAGGTCTGGGATTCCTGTAGTAAAACTGGGAGTTAAGATGAAAATCCGTGGTCGTTAACTAGGCAGAAGACAGGGATTGTCAGCACTCACGTTAATGCCCAAGGCTGCACTTCTCAGGTAAGTCAAGTCAAGACTGTCTTCCTGGGTTTCCATTGCAGACACATAATTGAGAAAGACAGACGATCAGACAAGCCGTTTTGTATGTGGCTCTTCGGAGTCGCAGATTCACGAGAATCTCGGAGCTTCGCGGTTGGTGCAAGGATGCTTTTTTTCCCACGCGAACGAAACGCGCGACGCTGACTTATCCAATATTACTGCTTTGGGAACCAGGGGGAAGTATAAGATATTTCAAACACCAGCCAGGGCAAATCGTTACATGGTTATGTTTCTAGTTTTGAAGACGAGTGATTTACATTTCTAATACAGGCTGCTCGGTCATGTATGCAGTAAGGATACAAATCCAATATAATCAATACAATCAGTCACGGCTCCGGTTCGGCACCCACCGCTTGACGGCCAGTTCCCGGACCCGATATGTCTTCAAGAGTTCTCCAATATCCTGTTCGTCAGGCTTGCTATCTGTTGAAGGTGGTGGGATCTCCACAAAGCACATAACGAAGCTCTTTTTAACCTGGGCTTGCACTCGGTTTACGCAGTGAAGCCACCACCACGTATGGTTCAACTTTGCAGCCACATACTCTCGTCTCTCTTCAGTCTCTTTCCAGTACGGATGGCTGTAGGACGGGAGAAGATTAACAGCGAATTCAGCATGTGAAAAGACTGGGCCTTTGTTATAGAGAAGCAAGTCGACACCGAACTTGACTCCAGACCGAACAACCCAGCCGAGGGAGCGGAAATGGTGATATGCAACGTATGAAACTATGAATCGGTCGTCCGGTTCGGGCGCCGCAGAGGGAGCACGAGGCGGGAAGTATGAATGCTGACGGAGCAAGGCAAGGAGTGCTTGAGGTTTAAGGATTGCGCTTCTGGTATCATCATATACCTCAAGAACACCAAGGCCGTATGAAAGGAAGAAAGCATCTTCACTGGAAAGCTGAAGGTGCTCTTCATCTTCTACCTCAGCATCGTCATTTATATCTGCCACTTCAACCGTAGGTGAGAAACGAACAGACTTGATGCGACTGGTAGCCGTCTTTCCAGCAAGTTCATCATTTGGTGCAGATGTACTGCCTTCAGCAGTTTTCATTTCCCGAGTTGCTCCATCATCTAAGGCCGATGTACTTTTATCTGATGCTGGCCCGTCTGGTAACTTTCTCTCGGCTCTGAGTTGTTCAGCAATGGCCTCTTTCTCCCTTCTTGCCCTCTCCAGCTTGAATTGTCGTCTCTCTACCCGCCTCATCCCTGTTGCCTCTTCGCTTGTGCTTTGGCCAATAAGCCCTCTTCTTTTTTTCTCGCGTTCGAGCCACGACGGCTCGCTTCTACTTAGGCTACCTTTACCAAAGAAACCCATTTCCCATAATATACGGATGGTCTTGGAATCTGTAACTTGGATGGAAGAGGTGGAAGCGTCAAAATAAGCTGAGCATGTTATTGGCTGAGGCGGAGATATATAGAAGGTGAGATATGAGAGGGCAATACTGAGGAGTGAAAGGGGGTTGTGCGGTATTAAAGGGGGCAATGGGTGAACAGTTATAGGTAGAGGAAACCGATGAATGTGTTTATAATTGGGCCGCCGAGGTCGACCCTTAGCTGCTCCATTGTGCGAATCCGATTTCTCCGGACAAACGGTCTTCAGTTCTGAGGTAGAAGATGCCATGAGACCGTGGTCGTAATGTATACCTATGTATTCTTGACACCACATTGTTAGCATCATAGCCGGCAATAACGAGTGGAGTGCGAGGGACCAAAATTTTCGAAAATTGCAGCGTGTGACTCAGATACCGTTGTAGTACAAAAGCACCATCATCGACAACAGCTAGAAATCAGTGCTGATGATCTAGGTAGCGAATATAGTTGTAATCATCGTCGCACGGTGCAATTCTTCTAGTCCATCCTAATCCATTAAGGATTTTGGTAGAAGAAGGGTATACTCACAGAAAGATCTAGAGATGGGTCGCTCCGTTCTCATCTCACTTCCATAATGGCTTTCTTCAGCCCAAGATAAGTCCTAATACAGGGCAGAAGTTGGATATGCTGCTTTCCCATATCTAGAACATATTTCCTTTTCATAAGTCAAGGAAAAGCGTCTTGTTTTTGTTATGTTGCTGTTGTCGAGGTTGAAAGAAAAGTTGAAGCTTTTGTCCCCGATTTAATTAGTTAGTGTGCGCGGCGCGGCAAAAGTTTTCTCCAAAGTTCCAGGCTGCGAATAATTTTTTATATTTTTTAGTGTTGAAGAGCTTCACGATCAACTTGCTGCTTTGGAGACACTTATACTTGTTAAAGGGCCGGTATAGAATCCGTCGCAATGTGAGTACTACTAATTATGCCTCATTTCTGCTCTATTTTCACCATCTAACAAGCATTGCAGCATGCATTTGATGTACACACTCGACTCGGAGGGCAAGCGAGTCTATACCCTCAAGAAGGTCCTCAACGGCCAGGTCACCAAATCCGCCCACCCAGCCAGATTCTCTCCTGATGACAAGTATTCGAGGTGAGCCGCATGTTCATGAGCAGTGGATTTATCCTTCGGCCTTTGCGCAATGTGCTGATTTCGTCTTATCTGTAGACAACGAGTTACCTTGAAGAAGCGTTATGGGCTACTTCTAACCCAACAAGCCGGTACGTGGACGGCCAATAATAGCCCTAAGTCGCTGAAATTATACTATTGAGTAGTCTGCTAACTTTTACCTTCTTTGCCAGAATCGAAATCGTGAAATTGTTGGCTTTTAAAACGGAGGCGCATGGCGTTTTTTATATTTGTGGGATTCATATCGGATTTGGCATGTCAGGAATAAAAATGCATCCCATAGGATATACACTATTTGAGCTCATACTTAAGACTTAAACTCCTTCTTCGAAGCTCCGCGGTGTTGTAAAAACATGCTACGAAGCATAATTTCATGGATTCTTATGATTTAAGCTGTACTAATATGTATTTTGATTGAAGCGTACTTTTTTGCATCTATAAATCATACCCTTATGCGTAAATCATCATAATTACTGCCGTTAAACACCCAAAGTTCACCTCTATCTCCGTTTCCTCGAATTGACATTGCGGCCAGCTCCGACCTTAATTCTCCCACCTGCCCGCTGTCTGTCTCCACTTAGAATGGAAGGCAGATAATCATCATCCATAAGGTCTCTTCCCTTCTTCTTTCGTCTCTCCTCCTCGGTAACGGCTCTAATGTGCTCCTTTTGATCCTCAGCCAATATCAGTCCCATCCCCCACCCTCCCTTACCACCACCAACACCACTCCATTTTGTATTGGCGGTGCCAGCAATAGGTTTGGGAATACTGTACTTGTTCCCTCGGTTGTTCCATTGCATATTCTTCTTTAGATGTATTCTGAACTGTCCCTTGCCTGATGTTGAACAAGAGACTCTGTTAAGGGTGGGCTGTCCACAACGGGGACAGAAGTGCTTAGACATATCCCTTGTTACAGTGAAGCAACCGTGGCATCGCATGACGTAGGATTTTAGCTGACGAATTTGTTGCATGTTGCTGGGTGAAAGAATGTTGAGGTTCATTTGTAGAAGGACGTTTTGCACGGCGAAATCCCCAGTGATAGTGGCAACCTGCATAACCTTTGTCTCCGGTGCAGCTGTACCAAGTGCGGCATCGCGAATCTGTCGTTTCTTCATATTGGAGGGAGTGATCCAACCATCGGGATCAGAATCTGATTCATCTATTGGTATACCATCCTCTTCTTCTTCTTCATCGACAGGCTCGCCGTCGTCGTTACCGGGATTTTCTGCATCCTCATTTGGAAGATCTAAAGCTGGTTCCTCCTGAGCAGCTTCAGGGCTCGGTTCGATTGTCGTATTTTCTATCTTTTGAATGACTTCTCCTACCACGGTGTCTGGCTGTTGTTCTTCTACCGTGGTTGCCACCTCCTGGTTCTCTTCAATGTCCTCCTGGTTCTCTTGGATTTCCGGCTGTTCCGGCTGTTTCTCGCCATCTTTCGCAGCATCCCTTACCGCGATCAGATGCGCCGGAGGTGACCCATTTATTCCCTTCTGTCCAGGCTCTCGTCTCAACCTCCAGTCTCCGCAGTTTCTCTCGCACTCCACCTCATAAGCCAGCGCTAAAATCTCCAAATCATTCTTGCTAAGAACTTCCCGGTCACCAGTTTTCTTAGCAAATTCGGACACAACCTTGAGACTGGTAGGCTTCGGAGTCCGTTGTGTTAGGAATGGGAGGTAAAGGGTTTCTATTCGGCGACGGGCTTCTGGATCTCGAATTTCTGAAACTATTGACGGAGTAGTGACGAGGACGTGGGACTGTGAGAGGAGGGTTGAGACTGAAGGGACGTTCTTGATCAGCGGTCCGGCATCGAGTATTATAGTGTGGACAGGCTTCTCCGGCTCTTTGGTATCAACTTTTTCAGACATGATTATTTCTTTCCAGCAGATCTTCTGTTGTTCCGGTGTTGTTGATAAGCGAAGGCAATATTGCGTGTTATCCCAAAAAAAAAAAAAAAAAAAAAAAAAAAAAAATCAATAAGGAATATCAAGATAGAAGTGGGTCTGTGCATTAAGCTTATCTTATCAGCGACACTCGACCATTTCCCATTTGGGCAACTCGTCACTTAGCGACGACAATAATCAAGCGACAACGGACCCTAAGTAAATAATTATGCATGTTTCATTCAGTATCTATAGCTATGCTATCTTTGTAGAAAATATAAGTGCCTATTTTAGGCAGGCTGAAACCAACGAGGGAGATCCTGAAATGTAGATGTATGACCGAAATCGACGGGAAAATAACTCCACAAGGATGGTTTCTCCTTATAACAAGGTGAGACTTCTAGAAGTCTGCAAATTCTTTGTCAACTTCCTCGAAATGGTCGAAGAAGGCCTTGAACATTTGCACACCGAGACCCGGGTCAAGGCTACCAGTAGTGGCTCGGATACTGTGCATGCTCAGCTGCGGGATTCCAACATCAATAGCTCTCATACCAATTCTAGCACTAGTCATGGGTCCAATAGTACCACCGCTGCGGCTATCGTTTCTAATCTGGAAAACTTGGAGTCTGCAGCCGCCCTTGACGGCAAGACGCTGGAAGAGCGCAGTGCTAACGCCCTCGGTAGTCATATGGCCGTTTGGATCAGCAGAAACGGCGACACCGTAATTCAGACGAGGCGAGTGATTCTCAAGGTAAGCGTTGAGGAAGTTAGGGTTGACAGCGTGAGTGACGTCAGAGGACACGAAGAAACTGTTGGCAACAGTTTGAGAGAAGATGTTGGGTCCATAGCTTTCACGGCACAAGGACTGGGTGATTCGCTCCATGACGCTGCTCATGAAATTGGAATTTGCTCCACCACGAAGCAAGCTGCCGATTTCCTCGTCATCAAACATGCCAACCATCTTGATAATACCAGACGACATGTGATCAGGGGAGGCAAGGACTGCTTCATGGGCACTGTAGCAGCACAGTTTGTCGTCGATACGGCCAGCAAAGATAAGATCCTTGTTTAGACCACCGACCTGTGCAGGCTGGATATCGAACAGCTCTAGCTCCCAGTTGACAATGGTGCTGTGATCTACGTCAAGCTGTTGGGCGATCGCATTGACAAGCCCCTTGGGCTGGGTAGAAATAAAGTTGTCGGTGCCTAGGTCTCCACCGTACGAGTCCTTGGTCGATAGCTCCGGGCCCTTGAACAAGTCCGAGTTGTCAACTCCGATAATGGGAGTCATTTGAGTCTCCTTGTTGAACGGTCCAGCGGCGGCAGCACCGAAGTGAGGAGCAAGGGTGGGAATGCGAGCAATTGGCCAATCCAGCTTGACCAGTCTCCTCTCGACCTTATTAGTTTTGGGGTCACGAACCAAAACTCGACCTCCAATGCCGAGATCACGATCCCACCAGGTCGAGTTCATAGCACCTGCATATGGAGCGACTCCGAGCTGGACGTATCCAGCTTTGTTGGGAACTGTCGGGAGTGGCTTCAGCTTCGTGCACAGAGCGTCGACGTGTCCACCAACGATAGCCATGCCATTTCCGGGGGTGTAGTTCTTGCCGACGGCGAAAGAGATGATAGCACTATCATTTCGGGTGACGTAGTACTTCTTCCCGCGAGCGAGACACCAGGGCTCACGCTCAGTGAGCTTGATATAGCCCTTGGCCTCAAGCTTCTCGGCGAAAGCGTTGACAGCGTGGAAGATGGTTGGGTTTTTGGTCATAAATTCACAGAAGGGTCTGGTATAGGCTCCTGGGTTGAATTCGGTGTGTTCATGGTGGATGGATTCATCTAGGGGTCGCGGGCGGTGCTGGAGGCTGGCCTGAGACTGAGAAAGGTACTCGCTAGAAGAGCCGAAGGAGGCGATTGAGGGGACCTTCTTCGTCATCGTGCCGACTTATACACACGACTTACACCGATATAACAACTGTTAACTGTAGCGATAGAATTCTGAAGGTCTCTGGTCATTCGAGATGGAAGTGGCTGACTCTTAAGAGCAAAATGTTATGTGGATGACGAAAAAGCCAGCATATGTCCAGAGTAGCTTCGATGACGGTACTCCCCGGGTTTAAGTAAATATTTATGCACCAGAGTCTCAAAATTGGGGAGCGGCCGGCTAAGCTAAACCCACCTGTGGCGCCGCCTATGACTGCCTCTCCCTGTCACCGAGGAAACCCATCGAAGGCGCACTTCTGGAGGGCGGTTTAGGGGCTGATTGGCTGTATCAGCAAGCCCCTGAATAGCCATATGGTAAATCCCAGGCCTGATCCTCTCTTCCCGCCAGCCTTCCCCAGATTCAGAGGGCACTGTGAGACGCTGCTGGAAACCTTGGATGAGGTCTCTGATGCCATTTCGATCGATCGATCGCTTTGCCATCCTCCCAACCAGGTCATATGCTCAAGTCCATGGGACAAATGGCATCATTAGCCTTCGCTTATATAGAGCTCCTCTCGTACTCCGTACTCCCGGGCCACGAATAGCGATAAACAGTGCCTTTTGGTTGACAGTTTCTGTGGCTTGCGGCCTTTGGCTCGACCGTCACACCGCTAGGGCTCTGGCAGTCAAGAGTATTAGCTGATAGCCGTCGATGATAGTTGCTCATATTGCTTTTCAGGCTAGATCATAATGCACACTGGACAGATAGCTACTCGCCATTGTTCCTCAGAGCCTTCGTCTAGATTGTTTTGCTCCGTAGATTGTTATGTTCGTCTTGCTGGTTAGCGAAGTGCAACAGGAGCAATGGAGAGCATCTTCTGTCGGTTACACGTACGGTCTTACAAGATATGAGACTCGAGGGGTTTTCTATGCCGTCAGATGCGCAGTCTTTTCATCGTCATCCTGCCAGTGGTCGTGTATATCAACAAACAGACGGACCGGCAGCTCGCATCTGAACGAGACAAAGAAACCCGTCGACTGCGCCTGACGGTGAGTCCAACACCTTCTAAAGAGCATGACTTGGACAAGCCTGCATTAATATTATTATTAGCAATGCAAATGCTAGAGACAAGGGCATCGTCACCATCACAGCCCTGAAGCTGCTAAAGGCCGTTAGCGAGCAGCCTTACGGGCGAGAGGAGAAGTTAGTTATGCACGGCCAGGAGAGCTTCCAACACCCAACACGAAGACAAAAGACACGATCATCAACCCTGGAGAAGGGCTTTCGTCACTAGATAGCCGGCCGTTGCTGACGACGACTTGATTCTATATCACCGCATATTGCTCGCCGTGTTGCCGGTGTCGTGTTGTTACGCGCCGGCCGTGATGGCTGCTTCACCCAGGGCAAACAGCCAGCCGGAGGATCATATCAAATCACTTGCCCCCAGGCGACTCTCTTCCAGACGAAGGATTTTGATTAAGCCCAAGGGGACAAGCTCCCATGCATGTAGTCTTACATATGCTATGAGATAGGAGGGCAGCCCTTGACATATGTCTGTCGGCATCACAAAAATAATGCCAACCCTCCCCGGTCCACTTAGCCCTGCTTCGGCTCCAAAACCATCCGGGAACTCCATCAAGGCATCCTTCTCGCAACGCAAGGTCACTCGTATAGGAACTCAGGCCCAGGAGATACTTCTGCCTCTTGTTCTTATTCATCTGGAATGAATTAATGCTCAAGTCTTGGCCTGCTCTTTGCCCTGGGACATCCGCCACGCTCTCCGCGCGTCATCGGCGCATTTTCTTTTGAACTGATATCTCGAACAAGACAGCCATAGCCGCCATATATATGCCGGTTTATACCCATTCCATAGCGTCGCTACACATTTAAAGATACTTTTCGTCCATTTATGATGATACGTTGAGTCAAAATTCAATATCGTTTATTTCTTGATACTACCAAGGCTGGAGTGAAAAGGAAAAAAAAAAAAAAAAAAAAGGCCTGCCACAACGATGGCGTTCACCAGGCAGGTCTGGTCGTTGGTCAAAAAGAACTTCCTGCTTGCGCTGGTTCGACCATACATTACAACGCCACTGCGAGCTTTCGTGCTGCCAGTCATTTTTATTGCTTTCTTGTTCGTGCTTCTGCATATCGGATCTTGACATATCAACTTACTCGTCTGCCTAGATCGTTCGCTCGAAACTCATTTGTCGTTCCATCAAAATATGGAATTGCACCGTCTACTCCCATTTTGCCCCTTGACGAGGCCCTGAAGGCGGTTTCCTCTTCACGGACAAATGTGGTCTTTGTCAATAATGGCTTCGAAGATGGTGACATTGGCAGGGTCATCGAGCGGGTTTCCATGCCGGTCCGTGCAAGCGGCAAAACGGTTACCGTCTTGTCGTCGACAAATGCCGTCCAGGACGTATGCAAAAGCTCAATTTTGGGCACGAGTTCCTGTGTAGCCGTAGCCGTCTTTGCTTCCTCCCCAACTGAGGGGAATGGTGGCAGATGGAACTACACCATCAAGGCGGATGGGGCTCTCGGAAAGAACATCGATGTCGAATCGACTACCAACGATGCCCAGACGTATATCCTCCCGTTCCAACATGAAATTGACTGGGCCATTGCTTCTGTCAATGGAACTCATGGCCCAGTTGGCAAGCAGGTCCGTTCATGGTTTATCTTGGCCCAAATATCCTATCACAACTAACACCAGATAAAATATGCTTTCAGGTCTTTCAATACCCATACACATCAAAATCTGAAGAGGAACGGATCAAGGATAACCGTATCAGATATACTGGAACCATTATCAGTATTCTGGGTATCGCATTCCTCGTGGGTAGCATCGGCATTACCTATCAGTTAACCGGTATCGTTGCAACTGAGCGAGAGTTGGGACTCTCCCAGCTCATTGACTGCATGATCCCAACCACGAGCCCTTGGAAGTCTCAAGCTGCACGCTTCCTTTCCGTTCACCTCGCCCTTGACCTTATCTACCTTCCGGGATGGATAGCAATGGCTATAATACTAAAAGCCGTTGTGTTTACTAAAACCTCTGTTGGCATCCAGATCATCTTCCAACTCCTGTCCGGCCTATCCCTAGCATCATTTGCATTGTTCGGAGCGTCTTTCTTTAAAAAGGCACAGCTAAGTGGAATTACGGTCGTTATCGCTTCCCTAGGGCTCGGTATCATTGCTCAAGTCGTCCATCCTTCCAGCTCTGCTGCTGTTGCAATATTGTCCCTTCTTTTCCCACCCATGAACTTCATCCACTTTGTCGTTTTCATGGCAAGATGGGAGCGGCAAGACCAAGCAACCAATCTCGTGAAGAGCGCTCCAGAAAGCCCTTGGAGCATCCCCGGTATCGTCCTTTGGATATTTGCTATAATCCATATCATACTCTTCCCCATCCTCGCTGCCGTTGTCGAACGTTTGCTCCATGGCACCGGGTCTAAATGCAGAAAAAGCATAAGATCGGATTTGGCGCCCTATGCCGTTATCCTCAATGGTTTCACAAAGGAGTATAAACCAAGCTGGTTCCATAGAACAATCGCGCCGATATTCGGAAGCCGACGTGAAACTGTTTTGGCTGTCGATAACCTTAATCTTAATGTTAACAAGGGAGAAATTATGGTTCTTCTCGGGGCGAACGGCAGTGGAAAATCAACTACCCTTGACGCCATATCAGGAGTTTCAAAGACTACATCCGGTGAAGTTTCTGTGGCCTACCCAGAACATGCTGGTGGGTTTGGCATGTGCCCACAGAAGAATGTTATCTGGGATAAGCTTACAGTTCAAGAGCATATTTCAATCTTCAACGGCCTAAAGACACTCGGCAAGGCAGATAGCAAAGCTGACATTGCTGAACTTGTAGCCGCTTGTGACCTTGACAAGAAGTTGAATGCTCGTGCCGGAACTCTGTCTGGTGGACAGAAGAGGAAGCTACAATTGGCCATGATGTTTACTGGTGGATCTTCTGTTTGCTGCGTTGATGAAGTTTCATCTGGCCTTGACCCTATCTCTCGACGAAAGATCTGGGACATTCTCCTGGCTGAACGTGGGAAACGAACCATCTTGCTAACCACTCACTTCCTTGACGAAGCCGATGTTATCGCAGATAGCATTGCCATCTTATCAAAGGGCGTTCTTAAGGCGGAAGGTTCTAGTGTTGAGCTCAAGCACAAGCTTGGATCTGGCTATAGAATATATGTCTACCAGGGGCTTACATCCGAAAAGCTTCACTTGCCAGAGACATTGCGGACTGAAATTCTACACGACCAGGTTATCTATACCGTTGCGGATTCCTCGCAGGCAGCTAGGTTTGTTAACCAGTTGGAAGAAAATGGAATCACTGAGTACCGTGTCAGTGGCCCGACCATCGAGGATGTTTTTCTAAAGGTCGCTGAGGAAATCTATAAGGAAGCCGAAAACTGGGAAGATGACGGAAAGACTGGCAAGGGATCTGACCAAACACCGCATCTCCTTACAGGCCGTCGTATCGGCATGGCCCGGCAAGCCTGGGTCCTCCTTTGCAAAAGAGCCACCATCCTTCGCCGGAATTACTTCCCAACCATCGCCGCATTCCTACTCCCCATTATCGCTGCCGGACTGGTATCTCTCCTCATGAAAGACTATGAACTTCCAGTCTGTACCGGACCGGCCGCATTTTCTCAATCAAACGTCAACTCCATCTTGAACCAAGTGAAGCTGAAATTGGTAATTGGGCCCAGTAGCAAGCTTTCGGCAGGGAGTCTACTGTCACTTGGCGGAGGGATAGGAGGCGCCGGCGGTGGTTCACTGCCAGCCAATGTTACAGACGCTTTGCGAGAGGGCACTCACATCGTGAACTCTCTTAAGGAATTCAACGATTATATAGCCACAAACTTCCGAAACGTTACTCCAGGTGGATTCTATCTTGGAGATGATACTTCGCCGCCGACATTTGCATGGCAAGGCAGTTCTGGCCCTGCATTGGCCTCGATTCTGCAGAATCAGATGAACAACCTTTTGAATAACGTTTCCATCTCTACCCAGTACCAGATTCTTGAAGTCCCATGGATATCATCAGCTTCAAGTACGCTCCAGCTTGTTATATACTTGGGTCTTGCTTTATCCGCCTATCCAGCGTTCTTTTCCCTCTATCTTACTATCGAGAAACTTCGACATGTCAGAGATCTGCACTACAGCAATGGAGTTAGAAGTCTTCCGTTATGGCTGTCTTATCTGTCGTTTGATTTTGGTATTGCCCTGACATCGACTGTTATAATGGTGGTAATATTCAGAGCCGTTTCCGCTAGTTGGTACCATCTGGAGTATCTCTTTGTTGTCTTCCTCCTTTACGCCATCACGTCGACCTTGTTCGCTTATATCATTTCGGTGTTTGCCGCATCCCAACTTGCTGCCTTTGCCTTTGCTGCCGGAGGTCAAGCGTGAGTAATTTCACTCTGAATTTTCAAGTTTAATGCATTGCTAACAGTCCACTAGGATATTATTCCTTGTTTATCTGATTGCATACATGTCTGTCGTCACCTACGCCCCTACAGACCAGGTACAAAATCTCCTATTAGTCGTCCACTTTGCCATTGCTGCCATATCGCCCATTGGCAATGTGATCCGTGCCCTCTTCGTGGCGCTGAATGTCTTCTCCACTATTTGCCGGGACAAAGAGATAGTCAGTTACCCCGGAGACATTACCGCATACGGTGGTCCTATTCTCTACCTCATTTTGCAGGCATTGGTATTATTCGGTGTGCTTTTGTTCTGGGATTCTGGCCTGTCCTTCCGCCGCTTCACTAAAAAGAAGCAATCTGACAGAGAGAAAGAAGTCAGCGGTGACCCAAACCTTGGAAATGAACTTCAACGTGTGTCAAGTTCCAATGATGGCCTTCGTGCTGTCAACTTGACCAAATCATTTGGAAAGTTCACAGCGGTCGAGGATGTAACCTTTGGAGTACCCCGAGGCGAAGTATTTGCACTCTTAGGCCCTAATGGAGCTGGGAAATCCACCACTATCAGTTTGATCCGAGGAGACATCCAACCGTCTAACAGCAATGGAGAAATATTTATCGAAAATATACCTGTTACTACACAACGAGCTACTGCCCGATCCCACATGGGTGTTTGCCCACAGTTTGATGCTATAGATCAACTGACCGTGTTGGAACACCTTCGATTTTACGCGCGCATTCGTGGTATTCCCGACGTCGAGCACAACGTACGTGAAGTCATCCGTGCTGTTGGCCTGACACCATATGGGAACAGGATGGCCATGCAACTTTCTGGCGGAAACAAGAGAAAGCTGTCTCTCGGAATCGCTCTAATGGGCAACCCGACAGTACTACTACTAGATGAACCGTCATCCGGTATGGACGCTGCTTCAAAGCGAGTTATGTGGCGCACTCTCGAGTCCGTTGTCCCTGGCCGATCGTTAGTCCTGACAACGCATTCCATGGAAGAGGCAGATGCACTCGCTTCCCGCGCTGGTATTATGGCCAAAAGAATGCTTGCCATTGGCACCACCGACGACCTACGCCGCCGCCATGGTAATGCATATCACGTCCATATCGTTCATAAGAATGCACCGCATACCTCCATGGCAGACATGGAAGAAATTCGTGATTGGGTCGTAAGCACACTTCCTGGTGCATCTGTTGAGCGAAAGACGTACCACGGACAACTGCGATTCAGCCTTAGCAACTCATCTTCCCTCTCAAACAAGGGTACATCGCATTCACCAATGCACCAACCGGATGAAGACGACAATATCTACACAGACTCTCCAGTGACCAGATGGAGCAATGAAGACAATGATAGTGGGGAAATCAGTACCAGCAGGCTGTTTTCGCTTCTCGAACAGAGCAAGGAGATACTTGGTTTTGCTTATTACTCCGTCAGCCAAACTACTCTTGACCAGGTGTTTTTGACCATAGTTGGAGAGCATAACATCAAGGAGGAAGGAGAGTAATGTTTTCCAGTGTTTCGATACCCGTGTTGTTTGCTTATGGCAGTCATACATCCACTTGTTCCTTTCTTTTCATGTTTCATGAAATTTAATGCTACCATCTAAAATTGTACGTAGTTACATCTCTCCTTTTAGAGACCCGTCCATGAGGGCCTTGTCATTTACGATAGAAGTAAACATATCCTTCTCCTTCTACTGCGTGTTCCAACTTTTCTTATCTCGTTATTATCACTCTTTTCGTGTCCACCGTCCATCTCTACTAGATAATGGTGGCGTCAAGTCTATCACTGCTTCTACAGTCGCCATGTACCTTTTAGGATGTTAGGTATTTCATGAAAGCGCGGAAATGCTCCGCTCAAACGGCCACCGCAAATTTCAGCGGGCTCGTCTTTGGAACAGCGGCCAGCCAACTCCAACGCCAGCCGAGACGAAGAGCTAACCACCACGTACATTGAATGGCTACTAATTCGCACATATTCGAACAATTACTATCTGTCAATGATGCTTCAGGCACCCTTCAATCTCTTGTGCCGGCAGTTTCAGGAAATGCCAGCCATTTCAACTCCAACGGCATCATCGCCATCCAGCTCGTTCAAACCCAGAAAAGTACCTAATATATTGAATGGCCGACGCTTGAAAGGCTAATTATGGCCATCGGTTAAGCTGCTACCCCAGCTTAATACAAAATCTTCAGACCGGCGTCATCTCCGTTTCCACCTCCCCCAGGATGAGGCCTCAAGTCCGTTGCCAGCAGTTTAACGAGAGACGTCGCCGATGTCATCAGCCGCAGGTCACTGCTACCACAAGGAATACGCCCTTTGTTCTAGCCGAGAGGCACATCCATCCCAGCCGTCTACCGAGAGCCTCCTTTTAACTTATTACCCCAGGTTTTGCTGGAGAACCCCGTAGACGAAGTGGAGAGCTAGTTACCCCCTATGGAGGTCAAGGAGCGGCATCATGCAGCCAGAAGGTTTATCAGACCACTGATATCACTCAATCGCTACTCGTCTTCCAGTGCATCTATGTCCCTTTCATGGGTGACGATCGAAGCCACCAATGAAACTACTGTTTTGAATGGACGCTGCATGGATCACAGTTACACAATCTGAGATAGACCGAGAATTTCAGCTCGGCCGTGACCGTTGGATTGTACATATACCGGGTACCGTCTTCTTCCACGGTTGAACTCTACTTAACAGCACACAAAACAGACAACTTCATCATGAAAGCCAAACAAGGAGACAGAAATGAAGCGTGGAGTTCGGAGATAGAGAACGCTGGACCACTACAGGCACCTCAGTCCAAATGGAAGGTTTCCAAGTCCGGGGATGGCGATACCGCTATGGCCCTCTTCACGAACCCAGAAGACCTTCATGAATATGTTGATCCAAAAGAGGCACGAAGGCTACTATGGAAGATCGACTTGATGATTCTCCCTTACCTCGCCGTTTGCTATGCGTTCTTCTACATTGACAAGGTTAGTGGATTCAGGGGTAGATACGTTCGAATTTATCTTCCATTGAATGTATAAGGCCCGAACTAAGAGATCATTTTGGTGGCTGCTAGACAACTTTGAGCTATGCAGCAATATTTGGAATTCGAGAAGACCTGAATCTCAAAGGGACCCAATACAGCTGGCTCAGCAGCCTCTTTTACTTTGGATTTTTGGTATGGGCACTTCCTACCAATTTTATGTTGCAGAGGTATCCCGTTGGTATGTAATTTAATTCTTCCTTTTTCTATACTGCACTATTAACACTACTCAACTCCAACAGGTAAATATCTAGGGGTAAATATTTTTATGTGGTTCGTTTTAAGCTTGCCTTTGTTGTCCTATTTATTGAATTTCAGCACTAAAACTTCTCATTTATAGGGGCTTCTTCCTAATGCTCCAAGCAGCCTGCAAGAATTCTACTGCCCTTGCAGTTCTTCGTACTCTTGCTGGTGCAGCTGAGGCATGTTCTGACCCTGGCTTTCTCCTTGTTACAAGCATGTGGTACACCCGAAAGGAACAACCCGTACGACTAGGCTTGTGGTATACCGCGAATGGATTTGGGATAGCTATAGGCGGTCTCCTTGGTTATGGAATTGGAAGTATCAAAGGAGATTTGCCATCTTGGAAATATGAATTCATTATCATGTAAGTTGAATTTCTCAGTTCTCAGCCTTACTGTTGTCCAGAGGTTATTAAACATCCTATTTTAGTGGTGCATTATGCTGCGCTTGGGGAATTGTTATATTCCTCTTCCTCCCTGATTCCCCGGTGACAGCACCGTTTCTCAATCAAAGGGATCGGCGCAGGGCTGTTGAGCGTGTCCGATCAAATCAAACAGGGATTGAAAACAAACAACTCAAGCCATATCAGATAAAGGAGGCCTTTCTCGACTACAAACTTTATCTATTTTTCCTTCTTGGAGTAGTGTAAGTAACTTGGTTCAGCCATTACCCTGGTTACGCACTCATATTAATAATGCCTTGCAGATGCAACATTCCCAACGGGGGTATATCTAACTTTGGAACTATCATAATTCATGGTTTCGGGTTTTCCACCCTTGTTACTACTTTAATGCAGGTACGTCCCTCTGTGTCGCACCAAACCAGTTACTTTCCTTTAAGCTTACCCGATGAACGCTATAGATACCATACGGAATTATCATTGCGGTGTCTATCTTACTCTGTGTATACCTAAATAACAAATTTGAGAACCGACGATGTCTCTTTATTATCCTATTTCTTCTACCAAACATAGCAGGTGCATTTGGACTTCGGTTCCTTGCCCACGACCAAAAAGCTGGACGACTGATATGCTACTATTTGACTGGCCCTTACAATGCTGCTTTCGTCTTAGTGCTCAGTATGCAAATTGCTAACACGGCTGGTAAGCGATTTCTCTTCCTGTATGGATTTTCACACCACTGATCGCATAAAATCCGTGAAGGCCACACAAAAAAGGTGGTCACCAACGCCGTGTTGTTCTTGGGCTACTGCACTGGCAACATAGCTGGTCCATTTTTCTATATCTCAGAACAATCGTACGAAATACCATTCCATGTATCTGCGCTTTGGCATTGACACCTGGGCGTTATACTAATCAATAAACCTTTCATATAGACCTTCATACCCACTCGGCATCTGGTCAATGATAGTATCACACCTCATTGAAGTCGTTGTTATCTCGCTTCTGGGTTTCCTTCTATGGAGAGAGAATAAAAGGCGCGACGATGTACAATCCCAACAAGAAGGTGGATTGGAAGGCCGGAACCTCGATTCTACCGCATTCTCCGATATGACGGACAGAGAGAATCTCAAGTAGGTTTTCCCGACACAACTATACAAACCTAACATCCCAGGATCCCAATGTTCCCTTTCTACTTACATTACTGATTCGTTGTGATAAATAATAGTTTCCGATATATATATTGAGTGCAGCTAGACTGTAGGCATATATACTTGTTTTATTCGCTTGTTGTACTCAATAATCTTGTTATCTATAGCGCACCATGCAGATTCAGTTGTCTCCAAAGTTATCTCACAATATAGGTTATGGATATCAAGGCATCCTAAATGGTAAATAATCTGCAGAAAATGATTCTAAGAAATGGGGGAAATATCATATATGTATTGTGAATGCTATCTAACAGTATTATCTAATATATACCCGGACTCAGCGATGTCAAACAAACGGCCGAAGTATTAAACAGTCTAAAGCTCGAGGATGTATATATATGCAGCCAAAGAATAGACGAAAACATTTGCACACCGGGTATCAATCGGCGGGAGACATTTACCGTCGGTTGAAATTGAGATATCGGGACTAAAAAATGCTCGTTAGCAAAGAAAGGTCCTCCACGTTTGACAAAAAAGAATATTATACCTACCCCAATAAATAGTAGTAGTAAATTCGATCCAATAAAGGCCGCAAAAATGCCGAGGTCTCTTCACCTGTTATCAAATGACATCCCGAATGCCCTGTAGAATTCATCTCCAACCTTATAAGCACAATACTCGCACATATCAGTGGCATTGCTAGCTAAATAGCCAGGTCCGTTGCTGGCAAAAAATTTCTCCATGTAGGAGCCACAGGTTTCACCAGATGGCGCAGTAAAGCGATTCATTTCTAGGCCTGTACACTTAACTTCTTGTCCATGGAGTTCGGTCACAACCATGCCGCTGACAAGTCGAGTAAAAGGATCCAGCTCATGGAGCCAAACACGCCAGAATTTAGGTATTTGGGGCTTTGGTATCGCGACGCCGCATAGTAGCACAAAGATGACAATAACCGGTGGGTTCAGAAGAACGGCTGTAAATGTGCTTGGAGTCAAAGCCGAAATCACTTGTCCTAAGGTTACAGAGAATATCTCAGTAATTAGAACCATGAGGAATTGGTACCCGGCCCGGCTTGATTCGTTGGAGAGCCCAGGCATAAAGTAAAGCGGTAGATAAAAGCACACAGCACAAAGGATGCTGTATGGAAGTTCAGCGAGAACCATTGCCAACGCGAATGGGAATTGCCGATAGGCCTTTGCTGCTGACTCGCGGTAGAAAATCAGACGAGATAAGTCATATTTGGGTTCCACCTGAGCTAGAATCAAGGCTGGCAGCACGGTGACTTGGAAGATAACGAAGACTCGATACTGGAGGGACGTTCTGGAACTGTTTAAATTCAAAAACGTTAACCCGGTAATCAAAGCAACAGCAACATGACTGTAAAGGCGAGTGAAACCGTAGTTAGGTGATCTCCAAAAGGACAAGTTCGTGCGATAACACACAACTTTTATCTGGTGCCATAATGGGGTTGCATATTCCTTCTCTGATTCTGGATCGACTGCCTGGCCGTCAGTTATGCGAATTCGATCCGACTTCATAGTAACAATCTCGGCTTTGACATTTGCAAGCTCAGGAGAGGTGCGCCAGATGTCACCCCAGTCTCGGTTACCGATGCGGGGAGCCTGACCAGCACCAATTGCATCAAGCATCCATTCAGCAGGATTGGCTTTAGGAGGGCAGTCAGCACCATTTCGGTGGAAGTAGTCGATTAAAACATTAGCATCTCTACCGATGTCACCGAAATAAACACACTCGCCCCCGCGTTGTAGCAAAAGGAGACGGTCGAAGTTTTCAAACAAGGCAGAGTTAGGCTGATGGATGGTACAGAGAATGGCCTGACCAGCGGCAGCAAGCTTTCGAAGGAATCGAACAATATTAAATGCGGACTGACTGTCAAGGCCTGAAGTTGGCTCGTCAAGGAACAACAAAAGCTGCGGTTTGGCCGCTAGTTCTACACCAATAGTCACCCGCTTTCGTTCTTCGACTGACAGTCCGGTCTCAGGGGTGCCAATAATTGCATCTGCGAGGTTTTCCAGCTCTAAGAGTGAAATTATTTCTTCGACATAGGCGAATTTTTCAGACTCCGGGGTTGCATAAGGTTGGCGAAGTGTCGCAGAGAAACGAAGAGCCTCACGAACGGTCTGTGTAGCTTCATGTACATCGAGCTGCTCAGCGTATGATGTACCTCGCTGAAATGCAGTGCCGCGTGGACGGCCATCAACGAGAACATCACCAGTTATAACTCCAATATTTTTCCGCGAAGCAAGGACATCAAGAAGTGTTGTTTTACCGGCGCCGCTTGCACCCATAAGGGCAGTAAGCTTCCCTGGCTCAACATATCCGTAAATGCCGTTTAGAAGTCGTCGTGTGCCTCCGGGAACGGGAACTTCATAACAAAGATCCTCCCAGGTTAATACAGACTTTGATGTAACTTGAAGGTCTGACCCAGAGTTATCACTTCGCTTCTGTTGTCGGTTTTCCTTTTGTTTCATCAGCTTCTCATTGAGCTCCTTAAGATGATTGGACTCTTTGGCATAGAATGTGACGGTCTTTCCACCAGCCCCAAACGTAAGGACCTCACCAAGGAAAGCGTTGGCGAATAGGAATGCAGCAATCAATACAACAATTATACCCCAGTTTCTCCACTGGTCAGCGGTTTCGTAATTGAATGCAAGGCCGATATAACTGGAGCCAGGTATAGTGGCCGATCCAGGGCTACTGCCAGGCAAGGTACAAACTTGATGGGCGATGTCTGAATATCCCGGTCCGGCCGGTATGAGTGAATCAGATTCACACTTCATAGTAAGGCGGCGGAACTCATTGATCATCATGGATGAAAACCCAAGGCCCAGCGGGTTGATGTAGAAGATCCATCGAAGCCAGACTTTTTGACTATGCCATTGAATCAAGTAGCCTGATGTCAACACGTAGAACGATATTAGCACCGAGACACCCTTCAAGGCATAATCAAAGTCGGGACAAAGACAACCGACAGTACGGAAGAACAGTGTCATAGCAAGGTATCCGGTTATGATGATGAGGACAAAGGTGAAGAATGCTCCTGCTTCCAGAACAAGTCCACACATGAAATAGACAATGATACTGAAGACAAAAATTTGAGCAGACGAGAAAGCCATGTCAACTACCACTTGAGCAATCCATAGAGCACTTGGCCGATAGAATGTAAAAGCTCGTTGCTTGTTGATAATAGGTCGTCCAACCATAGTCGATGCAAGTTCGCCGAATGCGTTGAAGGCGTTGAACAACAGGGAGACAAACAGAAGGCCGCCTCGTGTGAAGGCACCACTGCTAGTCGCTGGCAGTTTCAGCCAGACAGTTCCGATAGTGATAGCAATTGAGATCGACGTGACCCAAGAGACAGTAAGTGAGAACTTGTCTTGCCACTTGATCAAGAACTGGCGTTTCATCAGAGCAAAAATCTGAAGGTGGAATGGAACCGAGTAAACAGAGGACTTCGATGTGAATTTTCGTTTGGCTTCATGATGGGCTATTTCAAAGTCTTCTTGGATATGCTTCTCCACCTCGAGGGTAGAACGGTAGAGGGCCATTTCCTTGTCCAAGTCCTCACTAAACTGAGATTCATCAAAGGCTTTAACCAGTTCAGCAGGAGTAGATGGTGCATTTGTTTCATTTCGTCCATCCTTATACTCTCTTTCGAAAGGATCTGTACAGCCAGTAAGGTAATCGGGCGTGGTTTGGCGTGGTTTCTCCTTGAAGCCAAGTCCCTCGAAGTAAGCACGCGCCGCATGAATGGGTCCAAAGAAGACTTGATGACCTTGGTCCAGGACCATAACTTTATCGAATTGATTATATATGTTCTCGGAAGCCTGGTACAGCGAAACGAAGGTGGTGGTTTTGTATATGTTTGTCATAATACGAAGCGATTTGGCGAAATCGAGAGCAGTAGAGGCATCCAGGCCACGGGTAGTATTATCCCAAGCCAAAACTGTGGCAGCGGTGATCATCATTTCAGCAATACTAACACGCTTTCTCTCTCCGCCAGAAACTCCACGGATAAATTGATTGCCAACGACGGTATTTGCCGTATGCTCGATGTTGAACATCTTGAGTAGGAGATCAATAACCTATGTAACCAAGTTAGTGATCTATAGGTAAGGTTTTAGGTTTCCTAAGAACTTACCTTTTTCTTGAATGCAAGCTTAGACAGGCCGGCTGGACGCTTTCCAGGAATTTTGGTATCCAATGCGAAGCCGAGAGTCTGCTCCACAGTAAGGGAGGGGTAATGGACATCATCTTCTTGGTTGTAGACAGCTTCTCCACGATAACGCTTCGCGAACTTCTCCGAATCAAAGGGGCCATATAGAACCTCGCCATCGACACCAGTATACCCAAACCGCTGGTTCGCTATAACTTTTAAGAATGTTGTGCAGCCTGACGATGGCTTCCCCAGGACCAGAACCATTTCACCTGGTTTAGCCACACCTCTGAAATTTTTGAGAATCTTGAATTCTTCTCCTTTCTTCCCGAAGCCCAACATGCTGTAAATCGTGGCCGGTAGGTTGAAAAACCCAATAACGGCGTCAGGGAAGGTAGGTATCGTGTACTTAACTCCCCCCATACCACGGACAGTGAGGCCATCCCAGATAACACCTCCATAGCGTTAGTAAGAAGGAATTAAAGAGGCATGTAAAGTACTCACCGATCCTCTTTGGCCGTATTCCAGCGGCCGCCTCTGCATCTCGAGAACCATGAAGGGCAGCCTCCAAGTCGAAGGCTGACTTGCTCTCAGAACCACTCTCAACATCGTATGAGCCTTTTTCATTTAGGCTATTTTGCTCTTGAATAAATGGCCGTTTTGATTTTTCTGAGATCCTTGACAACTCCTTGCTTAAAACAGCAAATTCTTCCTCGGCTTTCTGTACATCAACACCTCCCGTTGGCTGAGTCAAGCCTTGAAGATTAGCATTCCTAAGGTTCTCTCGCTCACGTTCATAATCACAGCTGGCGAAGATTGTATCCGAGTCTGAAGCTTCGCTAGGATTTTCAGATTTGGAAGGATTAGCTCCCACGGTATTGGACGCCATGAGTTTCTATCCTCCGTCGGGTATCAAAGCCGAAGGTTTAGAGGCATAAGCTGATATTATTCTAGTCGTGTTGGTTTCAGGTGGGTAATTTGTAGCCTGGAAACGGCCAAACCAATCAAATATTGGTGCCAAAAGAACTATAGAAAGAAACAAGGTATAGGAACTCCTTTGTATATCAGACAGAGCCACCTGGGGTGAGCCAACCTTGTTGCCCTATATATATAAAGCGACAAAGGTAGCGACGCCTTCCAATTATATATATTGTAGGAGAAAAGAAAGGGAGAAAGCAAGATTGATCCAACGTATTTGAGAGAGATTTCAGTTTCTTACTTAACATATTGTGGGGCCGGAAAAGAACTCAACTTCGGACTTGAAAAGGCCGAAGGAGTGACATATCTTGAGCAGTTCCACTTTTGCCCGAGGACAAAGCTGTTGGCTGGTGCTCTGACATCGTATTACTTCTGGAGCTTGTTAGGCCAGTCTAATACTTTAATGAAGGCTGATCCAACTTGCTGCCTTTTAACGGCCGGATGAAATAGCCGGTATATCCAAAAGTTACAAGACGGCTTCCGCGAGCCATATCCGTGACGAGCTTGACTCAACCGACAGAGGCATCCTGGCCATACAGACCTCTGCCCCTGTTCCAGGGTATGAGATGAGACGTGACATGATGTGCTGCATTCCGGCTCATGCGTTTTCTCCAGCGCCAGAAATAATAAATGTCAAAGTTGCTCCTCGTCTTTTTTCGTCCGCCGTCCCGGCATCAGAAACAAGTCCGGGCACGCTAAAAAGACCGCTGAGTCAGCATATTGAGTTGGCCGGAGACTGAAAGGGGTCTAGGGCGTCTCCTTAGTCAGCTTGGCAGTGAATATTGCTGCAAAACAACCAAGCAGAAGGCGAGGCATGGGCGGAATACGACAGGGGAAGACGCGTTGAGTGGGATCAAATCAGGGGTCAAGCCGTCGCATGGCGGCCACAAAAAATACGGAGGGGCGTGTTACACCAACACAAGGGGAACTGGCCCCGTTTCAGGCGCACGCGAAGGCGCTATGGGCAGGGAAAGGCGCAAGGTCAGGTGTTCACCGGTATTCGTGCATTGTAGCGGGTATGAAGGGACGGGCAACGTCTCCTGTTGGCATTGTTTGCCGTATTGACTTCTTTTTCTGTTTACCTGGTGGGAATCAACGCAGCTTTGGTTCTTCGGCCGCTTTCGTTATTAGTTATCGGGATTTGAGAGTTTCCAAGGCTTGTCGTTGCTCAAACCTAAAAAAAACGAGTCACGAAGGTTTAAGGAGATTATGTAATCTCAGGATCAAAGTTATTTTTATCTGATCATGGTTATCAGATAAGTGTCACGGTGGGGCCGCATCGGATAAAGAAAAAATGCCCATAGTAGGAAATCATTAGGCCAAATCACGCATCGTGTAGTTGCCCCAAGATACCGTATTTCGCCTGTTTATAATCTTGCTTATTAGTATAATTTCCCGGAATTATCGTCATACAATTACCTGATTTCAGGCTTTACATTCCAGTGGATGTAAAAAGGGACCTTCTCCTTCCGTCGACCAAAATAGTAGTCTAACTGTTTTCTTTACAGTAACTACCCTGTAGCAGCCTGGGTGCTAAGGAGCCTAGTCATTCTAGACCAGGAACAGGGTTAGCCGCAATCACGAAGTCTAAGCCAGAGATGAAAAGGCGCACATATCAATATCCTGAGCTTACATGTGGCAGAAGAGTCACTATTAGCTGTGGCTATAGAAATACATAATCATAAAGAGGTGCATCGCCTCTACTTCTGAAAGTGGCATACCTTAGCCTTGGTAAGCCCGAGGCATGTTATTTCAAGCTTGATTAGCAAGGACCTTCATGGCTAAACAATTATCAAAGGCTATATTACTTTTACCAAGCGAGAGGTAGGGCAGGGTTTTGGGGTATGATTGGCCGGTAGTCATGACGGCGCCGAAGGGAGACTGTGTTTATATCTCCGACTGAGGACACTCCGCCGCCCTTGTTACCAGGTCGGCCTTGTATGGCTACATGGTCTCTAACCTGTTGGAACTAGGGAATTCTTCGTGGCAAAGAGCACCATAGCGCTACCTAGTTAATCAACAAGAGGGCATTATCCGGATATTCCATGGCTTAAATGAAGTAATTATTCCGCAACAGAATGGGCGTGGGTATATCTCACAGTTAAAAGGGCCTTGACAGCAGCACCCAGATTGAGGATCTCCATCAGCTTGCGAAAGTCAAGGTCCCCAGAGACGAGTTAAGCCACTAATCTAGTTAGTTACGGTGTATCCGGGCCCAGTGTCCAGGTAAAAAGCCGTGGACCGGGCCGTTAACTAACTACCTACCTAGTTAACCAATCACGTGGCCCGCGAACTCGCGCACCTGAACGACTTCCAATCGTGTCAAGTCAGAGTCAGGATATCAACAATTTGGGCATTGGGGAACTGTGCCTGGTACGAGCGGGATCAATGCCTATCATGGTCTATCAGTGATCTAGGCCGTTCGGCGACCAATGATGGCCCTGTCAAATTCTCTATCAAGCATCGATTTCGGCATCGTTCGCGTTGGGATCAGGAATTCGCAACGCTCAGTGGCTCATCCTGCTAGATAGACATCTAGGCGTCCAGGCGTCCAGGCGTCCAGCAGATGAGAAAAATGGGGCTGATGTGCCTGCTGCGCCAAGTGGCCCGACTTCATCACCTGCTGCAGCGTTCATTGCCGTCTTGCTGGGCCATATAAAACCGCCATGACCGTCGTCCGAAGCTCGCAATCGAACGCTCACCGTATGTTGGATTCTTCACTCTTGTTGATTTTATGCAGCAACTGTCCTTTTTTTTTTTTTACCTTGAAAACAACAAAGTGGCAGCCTTGGGATTCTTCACCTGCTGGGATTCGGTGAAACTGGCCATGCTATTGGCCATCATGCATGAAGACATCACCGCCCAAGCATCAATTAGTCATGTCCCCATGGGAGCTTTCCCTCTAGGAGCATGGGGCTGGTTTTAATATTAGGATGATACCCCGTCAAGTTTGATATGAATTGATTCCGACAGTCCTCTTCCAACTCCTCAATGTCAATATCACAGCGTTCATCATCGCTGCGCAAACAAAGGACGAGTCGACCCCTGACAGGGGTAAAGTTACTCAGTTTTTCCGCGGCTGGTGAGTACCGAACCACGATTTCCAGGCCTTACCTGAAAGTCATTCCGCTTAGAGTCGATAAGAAGTGGCCCCGCGTGTTCTCGACAATCCAACCACAGTCGCCCACATTTCCTTTGCAATCCAAAGCCTGTCATACCCCTCACTTCGTGATGGAAAGCTCGGCTTCGGCTGACATGACATAACTCACGCTTGGTGGCTTGCTCTCTCATAACATCAACCCTTCTCACCGATAGAGGGAAGAGGGAAAAAAAAATGGTACATCTAGCTCATGGCTCGGCCGTCGATTGGGTATCCACGCAGGTTCTTCATGCGCACATGATAGCCATTACCACACCAAGGTGAAACGCAAGGAGGATCCATTACTGCAATCAGATCTTGATGCAAGGTCTCGATAATCTCCTGGGAAACAACACAGAGCAATAATATTGGTTAAGTCTGCTTTTCTATGCGGCTCTTTGATAAGTGTCCAAAGCGCTATAAGAAGTTTAAAACTCGGCCCCAGAACAAACTCAATGGAATTGACATCTAGTCGCGATCGTGCCGTGTATTGAGAGAAGCCGCCAAAACCTTTCTATCCAACCCCAAACTTTCTAAGGAAGGGCAACGGAGCCTTGGTGTCCAGAAAACTCCTTCGCCCCGCGATAAACCTCTACTTCCTGTGTTGGCGCCGCACTCCTTGATCGGAATCTGCTGTGTCTTCCTTCTGATCAGAGAATGGGTGACGAAAGATACAAGTCACTACGGTTCCTATTCAAGGTGGATTACATACAGCCGGACAACGAAAGCCTACGGTTTGATGGTGATGGGCTGTGGTCACCTCCGCACGAATGTACTTATAGTACACTATATTCCACCGGATGGTTACAAAGAACTCCAGAGCGTGTGGTTCCTGCAAAAAATCATGGAGACAGTGATTTTGCTGTGTGCAGTCTTCTCTATAGATCGACAACATCATACTTCTTTGCAGTTCCCGTGGACTGTCGAAACAACGACAGCATGCAAAATCATATTGAGCAGACAGAGCAGACCTGGAGAAGACTACGCTTCAAGAACGACGAGAGACAGAATTTGTCAATAGCTACCTTCTCAGCTACCAGCTACACACTTGCAGGGCGAGGGTCTCGCGACTGGGTACCAGAACTTCTCCCAGACACATATAACGATAGCTATTGCAGCCCGGTCCCTTTTACCCACCTTACAGGTGACCTGGCGCTGATTGTGGGCCTTATTGCATTTTCTTGTCCGAGGGAAAGGGACAAGTATTGCCTTTCTGATATAATGCAACGATGCTTCAAGCCACCTCGCTGGGTTCCTCACCGATCACTTCCTCAAAGTAAGCCCATTTATCTAGAATACTATTCCTTCCTTCTAACATTTCCGAGTAGGGATCGACAGACACGGCGTGGTGGTAACCATCAGAGCCGATCCAGAGGCCGGGGACCTACGCGAAGGAAAGAGGGAACTACGAAAATTCCAGGATGGTACCTACGGCGCTCTCTTTAAGTCCCCTGATAGCCACCTCTGAAGATGGAAATGAACACATGGATGTCCCTTTGCTTTCCTTTTGTTTACACACACATTTGTCTTCTAGATTCTGATCCATCACTCCCCAAATCTACCTTGTATATGCCCGTACACTAGTTAGGCTAAAGATAGCCTCACATTTCTGACTTATCAGTATCTGCGTCGCATGATGTTTCAGCATTTTTTACCATCTATTGAGGTAACAACAAGAGGTGCCAGACCCCGGCAGGTCATGAGTTTTCTCTTTTCTCTTTTTCCTTTTCTCGCTTTTCTCCCATCCCACTTATCCCCAGCACCCTTGCTTGAATGTACATTGCTTTGATTGTTGTCTGCAACTTTTGCATCTTGGCAGCTATAAGAAGCGCATACCTCGTTTGCAGGATTTTCGGTTACACGCAGCTCGTAACTGATACTGTTATCTTTCTATCCGGCCACCCTGTTCGCGTTCACCGCTGGTTACATGAGGCAGCCATTTTCGTTGTCATGTATGCTTCTATCCATTCAAGTCAATCAATATAAATTCAAAGATGGTAGACCTTCGATGGTTTGCATCCACCAATCATAGACTGCTTTATATTTCTCCTTTAAAGTTGTCATTGCGCTATCTTTTGTTAACAGTTGACATGCAGTTCTAAAAGTCCAAGAAGCCCATTTCTAATTTGTTCAGGATGGCCGAATCAAAGTGCCACTCAAAACTATTGGGCATCCGGCAAGCGAACTGCAATGTCTCCAGATTGAGTGATGTAGCGAACCCACGGTAACGACGGGTATTGTAGCTAACAGGCGACTTCAAATCAGTATTGGCTAGCGAAGAAAAAGCAACGCGCTTTATCACGAAAAGCCGCAGTTCATGGCTTGAAGTAAATGTGACAGAGGGAACACACGGGGCGCGGGAGACGAGGAGATGTACAACATGTCAAACGTGGCCAGGGAGCTTGACAATCGCCTCTTGGCACGGAATGTTGAACAAAGCCAAAAGGTGGATGGCATATAGTAACACAGTAGTGGATACGGGCAGATAGGTAGAGAGGTCGATAAAGTAGAATAGAATGTTGAGGTGAAGAGAGGAAGACGTACCTTTGGCTCTGTGATTTTTAAGTAGCGGACCTGGATGCCACTCGTTGTAAAGTATGGAATCTCGAACTTGACGTTGATAGGCCTCTTCCCTTTTCCGCCTTGTCCTGCACCTCCCATACTTCCACCAAACCCGCCTGTCATCCCACCGCCATGTTCGTCATCACCCTTAACGGACGGTAACCCTAGTTCAGCACGCATTAAAAACTCTTTTCCACCGCCAAACTGTTTGATTTTCCATATAATGGCGGATTTCTCAGGTGCGTAATGAACTGTGCCCACATTTGTCCGGAATCTCGGTGAGTCTGCATCTTCCGGTACGGGAACGAGAATCTCCACGTTGTTTGCTGTACTACGTCGCTTAAATTGAGCTTTTGCCTAATTGAAAGGAAGCGAATGAGTCAGTCTATCTGTCATGTTTGGCTTTACCCTTGCAAGTGCTGTGCAGATAGGGTATGAAGTAACATACTTTAAGCATATATTCAATGCGCGAGCCTGAGTGCGATTCCACGAGACACTCTACCCATATCAGCGGCTTCACTTGGGTGTTGAGTCGGTAGCTCATTAGCTCGAATTCGCCATCTGGTGGGATAAAGCTGATTGTTCTGTCGTTTTCGAATCTGGACAGTCGTACGCATTGGTGGAACTTGACGTCTTCCATTTCGACAGCCTTACCCCTAGTTGCTCGACCTGTTGTTTCGAACATCACTTTGTCATTTAAGCCTAGCCGAAGTTCTGGCATACCACTGAGATAGCATTTCATCTTCACAGCACCCAATATTTCTGATCGAAGGACGTTTCCTGTAGCAGAAACAAGGAGGTTCAACGATTCAACCACGTCGAGGAATACTTCATTTTTGCGGTATCGGATTCCTTCGCTTCTCCATGAAACTGCATTCGTGACAGCTATTGGGGGTCTTGCTTGTACTTCAAGCTTGTGCGATTCTTGGGTAATGTATCTATGTATAATGTGGTTAGCCATGCCCAACCCCTGAACATCCTACCTCACCAGTCATATAGCCCAAAGCGGGATAGGCAATCATACTCTTGTAATATCTTGCTTTCTGTTGTTTGTGGATGGCCAAAATCCATCATTTCATCCAGCAGTTCGTATATAATGACAAAGTTGTCTCGAATACTCTCCTCCTCCAATTCCTTGAAGTATTCCGTAAAGACCTCTACAATCTTATGTAGGAAGAGAAGTATTTCGGCGGCATTTGTGTTTCGTTTCGTAAGAGCAAGGAGATACAGGTTACTGTGTCGGATATAAAGGTACTGTTTATTGCCGCTGGTTAGACATTTGCGCCCACTAAGATCCGGAGATATGTCGACGTTGTATAAGAGCGTTGGCAACATACATTGACTCCTTCGGAGGAAAAGCAGGGAGGAACCGCGGAGCTCTCTTCTTCGGCTTCACTGAGAAGAATAGGGAATTTTTCGACAGCAGACATAGGGATGTCACCGCGATAGTTGCGAGCAAGAAGGGTCTGGCGGATGCTCTAGTTAGCTGCAATGCCAGGAATGGGAATATTATCAGGGAACACTTTACCTTCCCCTTCAGGTCCAAGAAAAATACCGCCGAAGCCATTGCTGAGCAAGATATAAGTAAAGGAGACCTCTTCGAATAGCTATTCGTTTAAGATCAGGAGGCAACAACGGTTAATTTATCTAGCTCGTCATAGTTTTGTTCGAAGTAGTGAAAAGAAAAGAAAGAAAACCAAGGTGAATAAAGAGACCGTCAATTCATCCCGTTGTCTATATCGTCATCAGCAGTCAATCTCAAGCGGTGGCTGCGTATCAAAGGTAGCACCTCGTCGTCGTCCGTCTATGTTATCCACGGAGGTTTGACGTCGCTATCTCTAGACAGCCCGCAGACGTGGCCACATCGGGACTAGCGCCGCTCTATAAAAACTACAACTCTAAAAATTTCCTGGCCGTTTCTTTCTCTTCCTCACAAACGCGCATCCTTCAGACAGTGCTAACCAACATATCCAGTCTTGTTTTCCAGGGCTGGTCTCTAATTTTGGCTTCTGGCATTCTGTCAGGCCATATAAGGGTATTCAATTGCTGCGCTTAGCGATATTGTGATGCGTAGACCAAATTTCAGGGACTTCATAAGAACTGGCCGGGCATTTTTTTTTCTTGTTGCGCGGGCAGTGTCAGAGAAGTCAGACAATCGTTATCTAATTACACAGAGGTGTGTATACATCCGTGGTAAAAGGGGAGGGGAATTTGAGGGAGCCATGTTTTACATTTCATCCGTCTGTCTGTTAATATTGTACAAGCCTGTTCAAACACAAGAAAATATAAAAAAAATACAAACGATTAAGAGCAAAATCTAAGGCTCAAGGGTGCCAAACAGAATATCTTCAACGCCATACCAATGCCATAAAGCCAAGTGTATATCTATTTACCGCACTGCTGGTCAAGCGCTTCCGCCGATTTGGAAACCCAGGGGCTTCAGGATTCTATCACGGACGATCTCGTTTGCAACTTTGCTTCCGTGCTCGAGTGCAATGGCTCCAATGACTGCGTACATAGCATGGGTGTATATCGTGTCAACTCCAGATTCAGTCAGGTCGTGTTGCTAGATCGTTTGGTCAGCGGGAGTTTCTTTGCTGCATACATTTCAGCACATACCATTCTTGGTACCCATCTCATAACCTCATTGATGCCGTAATGTCTAGCTAAAGCGGACATTTGCTTCTTCCGTGTCAATTGAGACCTCGTGTTCTGAGACAAGACTTCGAGACCCTTGAGCGCAGCAGAGTCATATGGCAGCCTTTCAAACGGATCTGGCTTTGAGGGTTGGGCGTAGGCCGTAGGATTTTGAACGAGGGCAAGAGATGCTTGGAGGAGAATTATTTGCTTCCCTGTGGCGGAAATACTATTAGCAAGTCATATTTCCCTTTCGCTTCCTTTATCTTCTCATATGTGGGCGCAGCGTCTTAGTTGTGTATAGGAACGTACCAAAGTAGGCCAACCGATCATTGAACCCCCTCCGTCCTTGATCAAAACTTTTATGCGTAACTGCTTGCCATTTGACTTCTTCCGACAGTAATTTGTCCCCGTTTTGCCCTAGCATTCGCACGTAGAAGTTGTCGAGCACCGCAGGGTCGGAATTGACCTTGAACTCAGTCTTATTCGGAGATTCACGCAGTCGGACCGGAGCCTTCATGGCAGAAGGGGTTTGCTGCCATCTTGGGATCGAGTTTGACACAGCCTGCTGTTCTTGGGGAGCGCGGGAGGATGATATTCTTCGTCGAGAACTCGGCTGAGACTGTGAGCAAAATGGTAGAATGAAGCGAGGGGCGCGCCTGCACGCAGGCTGGGCAAACCCAGCAGCAATTGTCTGGAGAGGAGATATTTTTGAAGCCATTAGGAGCAGTCGATGGCCTGTCAGCTATTCATTCGAAGGTATCAAGTGCCCGTCACAACGTCGTCTTGGTTCAGCAAAGGCGCAGATGGTCGAAAGCTACGAGATTTCTCACACGATCACGCTAGCCCCGATTAGGACAAGTGTCGAGCTCCTAACGACTCCCACTATGCCAAACACAACGACATCTATCATGAAGACTGAGTATACCATTCCACCATGTACACCGAAAGCGAAAAATTGTATGGATGCTCTCTATCAGACTCATTACCACTTTTTTCAGCTCTCGTTCCATGGCAATATATCTCTTTCCCAAGAGGATAATCGGACACCATGCTAAAAGTATACCCATAGAGAAGAAAGGGCTCCTTTCCAATTATCCACCGTATAATATGAGTACTAGTTGATAACCTGATATGCGTACAATCAACTCGTATGGAGGAGACATGCAGAGCTTCCGCTGGGATACCCCGTTAAGCAAACCCACGGAAGTTACTCGCCCACACAATCTGACTCCAGCGTAGAGAAGATCCAATGCTTCCTATTCTTAGAAAAAGGACTTGATCTTTCTGTTTGCTACTCATTTCATCCAAATCAAACGTCACTTTTGTACACATCTTCGGTTTCCTATCTAGATCAACCGAGGTGTCATGCGTTGATAAGTATATTTCACTATACAAGGAGTGTTTCTCAAGCTGTCGTCCCCCATACTGCCTTGTGGGACTGGCCTCGACTCTTCCTTTGACATCTCGCGTGGGGATTGAGAGCCTTACTGGGTGTTTGTCATATTTTTCTCTATTTGGCTACTGTTGAGTCTTGCAGCGTTTAATGGGTGAAACGGGACCCGCGGGAACTCTCATAATGGTAACTTATACCGCTAGAGCCCAAGCTATAGCTGCTGTAACTTCCCCACGGGAAGGGAATAGGGCGACCAGTTAAACGAGAGGCCAGGAATGTGGCCACGAGGGTGAAGCGGCAGCTTGCATGTTGCACCTGAAGGAGCAACAGCCCAGGACAGACCGGCAGATGGGCAGCTAGATAGACCCTGAAAACAGGCCCTTCCTCTCTTCTTTCTCCGTGTCCTCCACGTGCACTGCCTAGAGTCTTTGATATCCAAACTAGGCATTGGCTAGAACCTTCGATAGAACATAGATACCTAGCTGTCCTGCTTGCTCACGTTATCTGAAGCTCAGACTTTTGTCTCGTTTAAATTCGCACACATTCTCTCCCTCTTTCTCCCCCTCTCTTATTTTGTTCCTTACATATTGTCTACCATCACACATTTGCACGCTCTTAGCACTCTCTAAGTAACAACAAGCCTCGTTCCTCCTCTTACTACACACTTCAACACGCCGCAACTGTCTCTGCAATGCCTGTTACCATGAACTTCTCTTCTGGCCCCCGTGGCATCCAGCGCCGTACTCCAGGATACTCCTTCGCTCAGGGCAAGGCTGCTGCTACCAACAAAAACACCCATGCTGAGCCTGAAGCCTTCAACCAGTGTGACTTCTCTGTCACCCCCTTATCTCCTCGACCAACTCCTCCAAACCCACCACCAAGCCCGGTTTAAGGACCACTCGGCAAAGCAGCCAACATTTTCAAACTCATCATAGCTCGAGAATGCTATGGTATCAAAATCTGAGGCCTCAATGGCTCTACATGTTGAGAAATGGAGATACGACAAAATAAAATTAAAAAATCCGTCTGTTGAACAACACTACTGGTCGGCCATACCACTACTACGCTATTCTACTATTCTACCACCAAAAGTAGTAGTATCAACAACAGACGACAAAAAAATATCTCTATCTCCTCTGAATGTATATTTTATTACCACTTTTCAAGCTCAACAATCCGGATTTTACAATAACAACATTAATGCGCCCTTACCGACTAATGGAATTTTCTCTGAACTCGGCAGTTTTTAAATTACAAAAAGACTTTTCAAAAAAAAAAAAAAAAAAAAAAAAAAAAAAAAAGGTGTGGGGTTTTATGTGGAAAAAAAGTGAAATATTATGTGGCTTCATTATTGTCAAAAGTGTTGTGCCTAGTTTGTATGTAGAATACATTAATGAGATCCTTAGGCATTTTATGTTGCCTGTGGCATAATGCTTAACGTCCCTGCCTACACAAAGAGAATTGATACCTAATTTAGGTTCAAAATAGTGCAAGGAAGACCCCATGAAGGATCTATAGTGGATAGCACATAAGATTTTCATCTTATTAGGATAAAGTAACTAGAAATGGATGATGGGTTTCAAACAAGGACATAAACATTGAGCAACAGGCAATGGTACAAAGATGAAAGAGCAGTCAGAAGCCTGGTGGCCCATACTTTAGTAAGGAACTTAGAGCAAAGCCAGGGCAAGGGCACTGGTAAGAGTCAACCCAACAACAGTCCATCCAGTGGTAATAACCTGCTGGTTGGTCAACTGCTTTCCTAAATCCCAAACAAGATGTCTCACGCCATTGAAGCAATGGAAAGTGAAGGGCAGAGCCATGGTGAACTTCATGGCAACTTTGGCGGCAATAGGGAGGGCAGCAAAGGCAGCGGCCAAAGAGGCAGATTCAAGGTGCCATCCGAGTAGTGGAGAGACGAGATAGGCGCTGGCAAAGATATAGAGGCCACCGGAGAGAATGGCACCAGTAATACGGTTAAGACTGGACAGGTACCAGGTTATCTGTGGTCGGTATATGCTGAGATGTGGAGAGACGGGGCGGTTAAGGCGCTGTTTGGCGAGGATGTTGTTAGGCTCAGCGGTGCCGGAGGGAGCCGCAGAAGATGTTGCAGGTCTGATATAATATTTTTTAATTAGTTCTTAAGTTGATTAGATATGCGCTTATATGCCCATTCCTCGACCGTCAACGTTGATTGAATCTCAGGGTTATCCACCTCCACAACCCACACCACAATCATGCCAGGCGTGTAACAATAGAATCTGAGGTATATCAATGAAGATACTGACCTGAACTGAGCATAGTTTCCAGCTGCAATGGCAGCCGGGCTGGCGAACTTGGATACCGAGTTTCTGAATGCAGATGGGTGTTGTGTTGCAACTAGGACGACGATTAGCACCAAACAGTCCGTCAATTGGCAAAGATATAACCACTTACGTCGTCTCAGCGACTGCTGCGCTAGCCTGTTGGAGAACATCTTCGCGTGTGATTGAATTGCCCTGTTATGTCTCTGCTCTCAACGGGACATCATAGGCGAAATCCCCAAACCAGAAACGTCCCGAACAAATAATGAAGTTGCCCTCGGCTTATGTAAGGTAGAATCGGCAGATATCGGAGCCAATCACAACCGCGCTAATTCCAAACACATGACTGGAGAAATATTTTGCCGTTAAGCTCCATTTCGGGAAATGCAGTGGTGGAACTGGCACAAAAACTTCCCTTCTCCTTCCTTTCTTCTTCTCCTCCTTACATCAAGGACCTCAGCTTTCATCTCAGACCGGCTTGTTGCTACAGTTCCTGTGGATGATACGCTCGGAATGAAAGAGATGCTTTTTAGCGACATCTCACTCTAAGCTGCGGCATTCTGTCGTGGCTCATCGAGATGGTCATGAGGTTTTGAGAGTGAGAAAGCATATTTCAACCCGTCGTTAATCGCCCAGTCCACTCTTTCAATGAGCGAGCTGGGTTTCATATCAGGGTCACAAATTACTGTCTGTGTTTAGTTATTATCAGCAGGTTCTATTTTCTGCGAGGCACCAATATTAGGTCCTTTTACTATCCGAGTTCCGGAGTAAACACGGTCCAATAACATATTTCAATCTAATTGCATATACGAATAATATCTATCCAAAGCTCTTGTCATATCTTACATGTCTAAAATATGCTTGCAGAGCAGGCTTCAGCTCGACTGCTCCATCATTAATTATCAACTGAAAACGTTGCTTCTCTGTTGTCATCTGCACTAAATATGCTGAGTAAGCACAGACTCAAAAATGGTCACATGACGTGTCACGCGAGCAAGGTGCCTCGGTCCTCGGCCTGTGATGTCTTGCTGGAGAGCCGCGAAAGCGAAGCGACGTTTCTTCATGGCATCCTTCTTGGGGGGAAATGTCGCCTGGATATATCATTCTTTTTTCTTGCAGTCGTCCTGTCCTGCGTCCTCCCTAGTCCCTGAAATCTCACGTTCGCTTTTCTAGACTAGAAGTATAGACTACATACCGCTGATACCCTTGACTTTAACTTGTCGACGATGCCTTTCACCACCGAACTCACGCGGAAGCTAGGGATCAGAAGTCAGTTTAAGTCTTCAATGCTCGCGAGGCCTCTTGTGCAGGTTATGCTAACAGATACCCAGTTCCTGTTGTCCAGGGTGGTATGCAATGGGTTGGATACGCTGAGCTAGCATCCGCCGTCAGTAACGCTGGCGGACTTGGAATCGTACGTCCTTCACATCTGTCGAGCCATTTCTGTTCTGTAAATGTGATTTGATTGCTAACGGGTATCAAATAATGGCAACAGCTTACCGCCCTGACACAACCTACTCCCGAAGATCTCCGAAAGGAAATCCGAAAGACCAGGACGATGACCAAGAATCCGTTTGGTGTCAATCTCACTTTCCTGCCCGCACTTACACCGCCTGACTATCCCGCCTACGCCAAAGTCATCATTGAAGAAGGAGTCCGCATCGTTGAAACCGCAGGAAACAACCCTGGCCCTATCATCACGCAACTGAAGAAGGCCGGCTGCACCGTTCTCCATAAATGTACTACCATCAGACATGCCAAGTCGGCTGTCAAGCTAGGCGTGGATTTCCTCTCTATCGACGGCTTTGAATGCGCTGGACACGTTGGAGAGACCGATATTACAAACTTTATCCTTTTGAGCCGTGCCAGACAGGATCTGGGTGTTCCGTTCATTGCATCGGGTGGATTTGCGGACGGCAACGGTTTAGCTGCTGCACTGGCGCTAGGTGCATGCGGAATTAACATGGGTACACGATTCATGTGCACTGTTGAAGCACCCATCCATAATAACATTAAGGAAGCCATTGTGAAGGCAGATGAGACGGACACTCAGCTGCTTCTTCGCCGGTGGAGGAATACATCCCGTCTGTTCAACAACAAGGTTGCAGCGGAGGCGTATAAGATCGAGAAGGAGAGCCAGACGGGTGAATTTTCCGAGCTTGCGCATCTCGTTAGTGGAAAGCGTGGGCGTCAAGTCTTTATCAACGGTGACGTGGATTATGGAGTAAGTCCATTTCTCCCCGTTTACCCCGTTCACCCCCGTCTTTTCTTTACTGGAAGCACAATTCCGTTTCCACTCTTTTTTCTTCTCCCTTCCCTTCCCAGGTTATAGTTATGCTAACTTGTATTCTTCTCTTCCACCGTGGAATAGGTCTGGACTGCGGGACAGGTCATCGGTCTTATCCGTGACATTCCAACCTGTGCCGAGCTTCTCACTCGTATCGAGAAGGAGGCTGCTGAAGTTATAGCAGCAACCAACAAGCTATATAAACCAGCCGCGCAGAGCAAGCTGTAGATGCATGCAATGGCGATTAGAAATCGGACCATCATAGACCCGACTAAGATCTGTTTGAGACTTAAGACCTGCATAGTTGTGTCAGCCTGAGCTTACCGTGCTTCCTATCTGATAGAATAGTTTTTTTTTTTTTTTTTTGGCCGTTTCTTCCTTTTGTACATAATAGACAACGAACTGCCCGTATCCGTCTCCAGCAGGACACTTTGCACCAAGCACTCCGTAGAAAGAAACAGTTGCCATGCATTATCAGCATGTCTCTCTGTCTGGATGCTGGCTGTCACCGTTTCTCGTCCAGGTTCAAAAATCTCCGGCCGCAAGGGTAAGGATAAAAACTAGCTTCCCTTCCGCAGACCCCTGGACCGAGATGTGGAACCTTGCGGGCGGGACCCAAAACAAACCCGAAAGCTCTTCACAGCCTGCGTGCGTGCGATCGATTTTCTTCTGCCTCAGATGCGTTAGAATAATAAGACGAGGGCAGAGTTAGGCGAGCTCTCTTGGTACACCCGACACAGCCGACGCTTGCTAGAAGCTATGTAGCCTGGTACCGTAGTGACCTTGCCGGCGCCTGTCACACATTGCGATTTAGATCTCAACGCGAGCAGGAGACATCGCAATCCCGGTGCGCCAACGGCAGCGAATAAACGTCCCGTAGGGCTCGCAAAAGACAGCAAGTAATGCAAAACATTGGGCACAGAGACATGCAGGAAGAACAAAGGGAAGCAAGAGGGAGAATAATCCAGCTGCAACCTGTGCCCCCTTTTCCTCCTCTTCCCTCCCTCCTGAGAAGGGCGAGGCCTCTTCGGGGCGATGCAGGTTGCCATGGACGAAAACGACTGGTTCTTTCAGTCCCGTCTCCACAGAGATCTCGCTGGCCAGGGTCTGCCCTGCTGCTGCTGCTGCTGCTGCTGCTTGCTGCTCCCAGCGTGATGCCCAAGTTGCTGCTTCACTCGATCCATAACGACAGACTTTTCCAAACACCTTCACGAAAGCAAGTGTGTCCCTGAGCGATTGAGAAGCGTCTGGAGGCCGCTGCAGAACCTCCTGTGCCGTACATAGTAGACGCTGGAAGGGTGTTATTTGGCCCCCTTTCACGCCACGGCCTGAAGATCTTCGCTCCGTCTCTTCCAGGGGAGAGAGCAGAAGAGCAGAACTCATATTATTATTATTATTATTATTTACCTTGCGTTTGGTTATCCGTTTGGCTTTCTCTCTTCGTTCTTTTCTTTGCTTCGCTTTTTCTTTCTTCCTCCCCCCCTGCTCGCTTCGGCTGCATCGGCTGGAATCGTTGATATAGCTTCCTTTTGTTATCATCCCCGGGCCTAGCAGAACCGAAAGCTCTCCTCCCGCCGTTGCAGCTATCCAAGCGAGCACCTCCAACTCTCTTCTCCTCCAGCCCACCGGTCCGCTCTTCACCGCTCAGAGCCATGCCTCTGTTTGCCTCTCTGTTCTCCCGTCGACGTTCTCGCCAGACGCGAGAGAAGGAAGCAGCGTCAGCGTCGGCAGGCAATGATGCTGCTGAGGCGTCTGCAGGGCAGAAGAACGGGACTAACCATAAAGCTCCCCGGGTCGAGCTCGATTTTCCGCACATCAATCCATCGTCGGCAACGAGCCAGCCCGCGGCCGAGAACGAGCCCCGTACGCCAGCTCGAGGCGATGACGACAAATCCGTGAACCCAGCTTCGGTAGAGCTGCCCGTGTCGCCACAGAATGAGCAGCCAGGGTCCCCAGGGATAATGGTATCCAAGAAGCAGTCGTTGATGTCAGTACGGAGTGACGGGCAGCAGCCACAACCACAATTCTTCAAGGAGGGGAAGAGACGGGCTCGCCGAATGTCTGTCTTCTCGTCTCTCAGATCTAGACCGTCGACCGCAATGTCGACCGCGACAGAACCAGCTCCAGAGCTCCAGATGTCGCCTGTCACCTCGCATGTCAACCGGCCCTACTTCCCTCCAGACCCAAGGTTCCAGCTTGACTTGAAGCCAGATGTCTTTGGCAAGGCCTTCACCGGATCTAGCCTCCCTTTTGTTGAGGAGATGTTTGGTAACAATGGTGGTGAAAATAATAACTCTGCTGGATCGCCTAGTCAACAGAAGAGTGACACTTCTACCACCGCCGCCACCACTACCACATCCTCCCTAGATCCAGGAAATAATGTTTCACGAGGATGGTTGTTACCAGATTTACAATCAGTTATGGATGGAGATACCCTGAACACAAACCATACAAATGCTACATTGAACCAGTCCAGTTGTTCCGCAGACAATGATGGAACAGCAAACCAGGCCACCCCCCATGCCAACTCTGAGAAGATAGAAAAGACCTCCTCAGAGAGTCTGCCATCCCCTTCCTCATTACCCCCACTACCTGCTTCGCCAGAACCAGGTTCACCCAAATCCTCTAGCCGGAACTCTCTAAAGAGGCTGCTTAGCAAAAGGATATCCCTAGAGACACAGCAGGGTAGTACTCCAGCTGACACCGACTCTGCTGCTCCAAATGGTGTGACCGCGTAGTAGCATTGGATAAAAGATAAAGAGACTGTATTAAGGCATCGTTATTCTGATTTTATCTTATCTTTTTAGGCGTCCTTGGGTATTAGCAAGATCCAGAGCACAATAAATTGATACACCCTTGTCTTTTTTTGGTATTTTTTTTTCTCTTCCTTGACATGTTATGTTGCCAGAAAAGAATGCTATTTATAGGCCAGACGTATGCAGAGGGATGTCGAAATATGCAGGTGAAGCATACGAAAAGCCATGCAGGTACGGAGTACAGCTCCCTTTCTTTGATAAGCTACATATGTCTGGATATATCCTCGCTTACTTAATGAGTAATGCATAAATTACACATGTCTGGTGCAACTTGTCGTATCCAATACTGCCCCCTTTTGCTGAATTGAAGGATACCTGTCACAAGAAGCCGGCAACCAGTAGTCAAACACTTGACTGGACGGGACAGCTAGGCTGACAAGATCCTGGCATTTCCAGGCTCAGCTGCCGTCCCTCTCCCCTTTTGCAGTGGTACCGTCAACTACAGTTGATAATCCCTTCTGTGGCTTCCGACTATGTCTATATGGTCAAGACTAGAGCTCTTAGCCCTCAGGAGAAGGTACCTAGTAGCATACTCTGGAAGTCAAAGGAAACGCATCAGCTGAAAGCTACGTTGCCAAGTCATCAAGCCGTAACAGCTCAGCCATGAGGTCACAAAGTAGTAGCGTCTCCTTTGTTTATTCCGTCTAACCAGGAATATGTTCATCCACAAAAGCTGGAAGGCAAAAGAAATACCTTGGACGGGGGATGTTGTGGAAGGTATATGCTTATGTAAGTCATGAGTTGACTTTCGGTTTTCGGTAATACAAAGTTCCGGTAAACTGGGGCTGAGCCCGTGCGCAGGGATCCACCTGATGAACCTCAACCTCAAAGTTGACTCCTTGCCCTACTTACGCGTACACGAGAATGATTGTTACAGGTTATTCGAACTGTGCTAGGGGAGCCATTATACCAAGATACGCATTGTTGGAGCAGTTATGGCCGTTGATAATGAAATATTTATGAAGTGTTTTGATTGAAAATTAGAACCGTGAAAAAAAAAGGCAGAAAAAGGCTGCAGGAAGAAGTGAAGTATGCAGTCGCAAATAGAATATATTAAGTACTAAGCATATTATTATCTAATAACAGGAAAGCCAACAGACAGTGGAGGTGGATGTTCTATCCCGAATCTCAACCCCTTTGGGTAACATAAGGAACAGAAAGGAAAGGAGAGACACGGTGGCATTGGCCTCTAGAAGAAACCACCAAGATGTATGCCGGTTGATGTAGGCTGAATCAGGCTGTGATCCAAGACCATCGGTGTCAAGAAGGGAGTTACTAGGCCATCTAGAGGATGTTCTGGGCAGCACACTTGAGGTCGACGTTGGCGTTGACGAGACCAACCTAGAGAGTTTGTTAGTTATGCTGGCGGAAGAGAGGATTGTATAGGGATGAATGCTTACCTGGTTGGTGTCGCCGACCTTGCAGCAGGAGACCTGGGTCTTGCAGTTGGAGTTGAGGAGGTCCTGGACTCCGATGACAGCTGTAGAGATGATATGTTAGCGAGAAGCTCTTTTTTTTTTTTTTTTTTTTTTTTTTTTTTTGATACCCCGGAATGGATAGTATGAGTAACTTACCAGCAACGTCGACCTTGGAGCAACCCTTGAGGAGGGAGAAGTCGTCGAGGTTGAGGTTGTCGAGGATTGGGATGAGGCCACCGGCGGTGAGGGGAGCGCCGACCTTCTTGGTCTCAGTGTTGCAGCAGGAGACCTGGTTGCCGTTACCGCAGGCAGTGACGAACTTCTGGAAGTTCTGCTGGAAGTTGGCCTCCTTCTCGGGGGTAGAGACGTAGCCAGCACCGGGGTGGGCAACAACAGCGGTGGCAAGGGCCAAAACAGCGGCGGCAATGGAGAACTTCATTTTGACTGATTGGTTTTTTGGAAGAGGATTTCTCTTAAAAAAGAAGAAGTCGATTGTTGGAGATTGAGGCTGTTTTGGAAGTTGTTGTGAGATGCTTGAGAGTGATGCTGATGGAGAAAAAAAAGTCGATGGATGGGCAGACTTCAAGCTCCTTATATAGACATTCTGGAGAGGTTTGACAGTCACTTTCGGACTGAAAAAAGGGGTTACTGGCAGACAATACTGTGCAACAATTGAACTCAAACGCAAAGGGAGATATCGTCTTTGCCACATTGGGGTTGGGTTGCAAATCCCGCCGCCCATCTCGTTTACACGGGAATGTGGTATGGCCTGTATTAGGATCGGCGGGTCTAAGCTGTACATGCACGGGTTCAGTTCTAGATGGACTTTTCCACTCTTGACTCTAGTAGTACTTTGGCCTAGAGCAGAAGAGCGAGCGCCGCCAGCCCACCCGTTCATTCTCCGCCGCCTCCGTCTCTTGCATATACTGAAAACGAAAAGGAAAAAAAAAATCTGAACTCGCTTTGATCCTACACAAGTCCATACCTTGTAGACTATGAGATGGCAAGCGAAGCCATGGCATCAGCAATGGAACCGATCATATTAGGCAAGAAAGACGATTTGAGCGCTTCATGTCCAGTCATGTAGCTCTCCCACAGAATGTCACACAGTGTGTAAGAAGGGTACATTCACCCTTTTCCTAGACAATAGCTGTATGACCTCAAAACGATATCTGCATCCTGGATGTTAATTCCAAGTCCCTCCTCAATGCTGGAAAGCCACAATATTGACTTATTGCTTTTTCCAGCAAAGGGAAGCTCTCGATTGGACCGGGAAGCAAGTGACTGCATGGGGGGAAACAAATCTCCAACCCAACTGCCCTGCTGGATTTATGTGGATCCCCACTCCATTCTGGTGTTTGCAGTTGATTCTCATACATCGATCTCGCACAAGAGAGTTATAAGGGAGGATAAGCTACTATTACTCGATGGAACCAACAAGTCAATTTCTTCATGCAATTAAACTGACCAGGGAATAATTTTATTTCATATTTTGCTGATAATCAGGTCAGGGAAGTCCCAGCAAGCTTTTGCCAGTTGGTTCAATAGTGCGCAAGGGGGAGGCAGGGCTGAGGCGGCCGCGGACGCAGGTAGCAGAGACCTAGGGCGCGTAAGAGCTTTCCCTTGGGCTCATCAGCAACAAAGGGAAAGCTTCCGTTTTCCACCAGCCTGGTTGACTAGGTTGTTTAGACTGCTTGACCAAGGATCTAATAGTCCCATGGCACTAAGCGGTCCAGAGCATCGCATACCATTATTTTTCTCTCTCGCTTCAGCTCAACTAATGACTAGTAGACATGTTTGTTAGTTACTGGCAACACTCTCCCCACTGCAGCAGTTTTCGCTTCAGGAGTTACCTCCAGTCCATCTTCGTGGTTCCTGCGTTGGAGTACGGCAAGCTCGAGGTCAAGCTACGGGGCATCCGGACGGTACGTATTTGCCTGCACGGTTGTACAAGTGTAACGTCCAAGCCATCATGCATTGCCAGCTTTACTCTTCAATCTCTCTGCCACTCCGATTGCTTTTCTTTTCGCCGCCCCCTGATTCGCTCTGAGACTCTTAGCAACCACTGGCCGCGTATGAAGCCTCGAGAATCCCTCTAGGGGCGCTGCTCTACTCTGCTATCCCTCTGTGCTGTTTCTTCTTAGCGTCGCCGAACCTCAGCACAAACTCCTACCCCAGGTTTTGGCCGACTATCACTGGGATCAACTTCCCGTGTTATTCTTAGCCTGGGGCCAAAAACATGGAGAAGGGCACTGCGAGTCAGTCCAGCACAGGTACATGCTTGGATAATCCCCGAGCCAGCGGGCAAAAAGGGAAAAGACGATCAGGGGAGGCAACGTCAAAGCTGCTGGTTTCCCCGTTAAATAAAAATATTATCTGAAGCTTCCTTCTGTTTGCCTTTTGGAGATGTTGTTTTTGCTTCTTCTTCTTCTTCGTCCTCGTCTTTTCCTCTCTCGCCCCGAAAAGAAAAAAGTCGGTAAACGGACGCTGACATAAGCTATTTACCCTGTTGATCTGCTGCCCAATGCAGTCTAGCGTCTGCTGTCCCAAAAGCGCAAGTGATCGGCGCTTCCCCCATACTTTCGTTTAGCCCCTTTTTTCTTTTTTTTTTGTTTTTTCTTCCTTTGCTGCTGCTTCCGCCGCCGCCGCCGCCGCTGCTGCTGCTGAAATGCTGTCGCGGCTTCACTCGCTACACATCTGAATCCCGGCCTCGACTAGGAGACGTCAGGTATCCCTCGAGTAGGGCCAGCAGGCACTTAGACAGTCCAGATTCATACACTTGTGGGTCGCTGAAGGCTGAAGCTGGCTATCCAGAGGCATGCAAATACTTCACTTCAGACCTTTTTTCAACTCCTGCAGAAGCCAAATTAAAACCAGTATGCATAATGCGTCTGAGCAAAGGCCGCTTCCACCTCTCGGTTGTCACTTGATGTATCCGATCTTCAGCGTCGGATTATCGATTTCTTAACAAGGAAAACAGTTGTCGATACAATTTTTTGGCAGGCCAGTTGGCAGCCAAACTAAATGGCAAAACCACACAATCCGTACGGGTAAACCAGGGATGAGCTGAGCCAAATCACCTCAACTCTCCTTTTTCCTGGCTGTCAATTCGTGCACATGGATGATCGGATCAAATTTCCTCAGAGGCTATCCGTGGACGACGCCGGTGCAACTTTCATGCCAGAGCCCTGAAGTCTCTGGCGCTGCTTATTCGATATCAACATGCTGGCTTCGTCTTTTTTTTTTTTTAAGCACTTCACCTGTTGTACAACGGCCGAGTCCTGGAATCCTAGATCACGTTGGGTGGCTGGACAGGCTGCTATTATTCTCCGCTTACAGGCTTTCGCTGCCGTAAGACCCCCATTCTCCTCTCGTCTGTCTGGGCGGTCTGAGGGCCCGCGATCAAACGCCAACTATTCCCACTCAAACTGACCTAGAACGTGATGATGGTCTTCTCCATTGTCAGTGCGAAAAGATATTTTTGTCTTTTCGACCCACTTCGATATCAAACTTCCGGGGTTGTCTATTATTCTTTTCTATCATCTCCTTATGCTCAGCTGGGTGGATGTCGGTGTACGATCAAATTTTTTTACCCTTCAGACTTTTTCCGACAAGGCCTTATGGCTTTGAGCGGTCAGGGAAAGGCTCGAGAGTAGCTTAAAAATAAGAAAATTGGTTCCTGGAAGCCAAAAACGACTTTGATCTATACGGAGTGCTCCGTACTTCTTGGGATAATTGATTTGAGAGCATTCTCCACTCGGATCGCCCAGTTATTGGGGGTCAGTCCGTCATTCTGTGGCTAGAAGCCACCCATCCCCATTAGCTATGTGATGCATTTCCTTGGTTTTTTTACGTAGTACTTCTTCCATTTCATCTCCAAGGTGGGAGAGGATCGGAGATCGAGAGTGGCATGCAGCGAGATCAACTTCCTGACTGCATGTCAGCAGCGGGCAAGATGGCGAGATTGCAATAATATGTGCATATACAATGCAGTTATCTCTTCGCTGTCGTACAGAGTACAAGCCGCTTTTCAATTATCCATTCCCTTGACAGTGAGATAATATTTTTATTTTTTCCTGTCGATGACTTCCTGCTGCACAGTTGACCTGCCACAATCAGACGGGGGGAACAATATCCCCTCCAGCCAGCAGCCTTTGCTGTTACCACGACGTGAAAGATGTTCTACCCACGATTCGTTCTCTTCACCCGTCAACCAGGCTGGCTGAGAAGAATCGGCAAATATTTGATTGACGGTGGTGATTCTTGCCTTGAAAGCAGTGATATGCTCGTTGATTCCCCAGTACAAACCTTTTGTTCCTGTTCTATCATTTCCTTCCTCTGTCCCTTCTCCTTTTACAGGCTCGGAATTTTTTGTGGACATCCATGCCAGTGACGCTTCATGTCTCTATACAGCATCGACTTGCTACCACCCCGACCAACGATCGTTCTACTGAATCAATCCCATATCCTCTCCCTTCGCTACACCTCAGGCCGAAGAAAAGGCACCATTGCAGCACAGCAAGATACCTACCCCGCCTTTCAGTGCGTTTCATCCTACCCTTCGCTCCTGGCTAGTAACTTGTCACCAGTTTGTCGATTGCAGCTTGTTTGGCGTACGACCCAAACACATGTGGGGTAGAGTAGAGTGTGTCGTTGGAATGCCGTAAAATGACATGAAAAACATGTTTACTTGCATCTAACTCGCAGCAGTCTGGCTCTCGGTGAAAAAGGAAATCCTGCAACTCTCTCCGTCCGGCGTGGCCTTAGATGTTCCCTGCCCTCACACAGGGCGGTCTTGTCATCCGTTATATCGGTACCTCAGCCGGGTTGCTCGCCAGCAACCTAAAAGGGAATAAAAAATTAGAGTCCCCCCAACCCCCCATGTCAGACATGCGTGCACGTTAACGACCCGTACCATGGCCTTAACGCGAGAAGTTTGACATTGGAATTTTAACCAAAACAGTGAATTGCAGCAGGTTTGTTTGCGGCTTAGAAGCTTCGGCCAGATCTTCCAATGTTTCCCATTTGCCTTGACCCCGCAGCCTGTGTTCATAGGTAATTACGTAGTTTCCAAAAATATAGAATTCTTTTTCTGAGTCGTGTTAAATCCCGATTCTTTGGCCAACCCGCAGACGCCTTAGTAGATTCTAGACTCCTTTGGCTCCTTTTTTTTCTCCCTTCCGCTGTAGATAGGGCGATGTGGTGTTTCTTTCCTCTGATTATTTTTTGCGTGGTCGGAAACCACTACCGAGCTTGGCTTGTAAAACTATACGTGGCCATTTCGATAGAGAGCAATGTTGAGCATAGATGCAGCCTGACAGAAGGGATAATGCCTGGACAGGTCTGTGTTAATATCCATATCGTTCATATACGTTTAACCTTCGCGTTTGAGTCGCTGTTCATTCCATGCACCCTTTGGTACAGGCTATGTGCCACGGAGAGGGGCTGTAGCGGGGTATTCCAGTATCAGGTAAATTTCCATAGCCTATGAGCGGATTGCAAGTATCAAAACGTACAACATTCATCGCTGTTGTATACAGATAATGGGTAAGTGTTGCGGAAATCTAGAAGTTGCTTGATATCTAGCATAGAGAAACGTAGTACGAGGGGTATGCCTCTGGGGTACAATTTCCTTAGAAGCCAGTCATGAAGTCTCAAGTTATCCATCAGGTATTTAAGACGAAAATAGAGAATATAGTAGCTAGGGACGGCATAGGCCACATCTATCCGGTACACCTTCAGTGTGGTGTTGGCGTTCAGGGTTGGCGGTCTGGTTATTTGCGTTTTTAGTCTTTTCATTTTGTGAATAAAAACGTAGTTAAAATGCCACTTGCCGCGATTACAATCCACCCTGGTGAAAAGAAGCTACTACTATATATACCAATACACTATTTTCCCTAAATATACACAATTAACCATGTATATCCTATACTAACAGCCCTAATTCGTGAGAATACCTCAAGTATTCCCATCTTCAAGCAAAAGCCAGCTCGCGGCAATTCCATATCACGTGCTATCCATTTCAAATTTATTATTAACATCACTAATCCAAAAGAGGCTAGGATATTTTCCTATTCCTTTCAAGTTCCATGCCGTCCTTGATCAGAATCCAACTCCCCTTCGGCAAGTTTTGCAATGACACACACACCAGACGGGTACAGATGGTTTCCTATGTTTCTATACCATAGCTTCATTTATACTCAATAATGGCCGAGGATGCACCTGCGGAGCCTACCCGTCCTGCTGACGAACCCGGTTCCCCAAAGACAGAGCCTACGCCGAAGAAGCTCGAGGATGACGAAGTGCCAGGAAAAAGTGAAGAACATGAGAAAAAGAAGGATGAGGTAGAAGAGGGTGAGGTGAATTTTGAAGAGGTCAAGGATGGCTCACAGCCTCCACTGCCGGATGAAGAAGTTCCTCCCCTTCCTGATGAGCCGGTGCCAGGGGTCGTCGAAGATGACGGCTGGGATGCTATGTGGGATGATAATTCACAGGCTTATTACTTTTATAATCGCGTCACGGGGGTGTCCCAGTGGGAGAATCCTCGAGTTCCAGACGCAACAGCATCACAACCAGGCGCTTCGGGGGCAAACGAAGATAAGATACAACAGGCACCCAAACAACCACGAGCTGCAGGTGGGTATGACCCGTCCATACACGGTGACTATGACCCGACAGCTTGGTACGCCCAACGAACTGAAGAGGGCCCTTCTGCATCAACCGCAGCTGGCGTCGAAGACCCAAATATACTGTACACGGCTACAGGCACATTCAACCGGTTCACGGGCCAATGGCAATCTGCTGGCTTACGACCAGAGAACTTCAATGACGAGAACAAAAGTTATCGACAGCTGAACGCGTTCTTTGATGTCGATGCCGCAGCCAACAGCCATGAAGGGAAGAGCCTCAAAGCCGAGCGGAGCGGGAAGAAGTTAACGAAGAAGGAGTTGAAAGCGTTCAGGGAGAAAAGACGAGAAAGAAAGGAAGAGAAACGCAGAGCCTGGCTGCGAGACTGAGTCCTTCTTCTGCTTCTTTGATTGGTATAAGCTTTCTTTTTGTATACCCACGGGTTGTGGATTGTTTTTTCTTTTCTATACCCGAGAGGTTCCAGTCGTTAGATCTGTAGTCTTTTTGCATCAACGGGTGGGAGAGATGGTTGTCACGGTTCTTTTTTTGACCAGCATCTTGGGAACACGTTTCTGGCGTTGGGCTCTCTGGCACTTTTGTATATCGCATAGCCTTCTATCTAGCTTTTTGATAAATAATAGAAAATGCACTTAGTGTGTTGTGAATTATATTATACTCAACATCCTCACATCAAACTCCCGACAGACCAAAGATATTACAGAAATTATCTCCGAGATCTGTTCACGTGACCCTTTTTGAGGGGGTTAATTTTTGAGGGTATTTGATACTCTTGGAAATTTAGAGTCGAGGACCAATACAATCACATTTACAAATCTTCTAGGAACTTACTGTGAGTATTATCTCTCCATATACTCATAATATACCCTTTCGCTTCTGGATGAGTTGGAATCTTGTCGCAGCTAAGGTCTTAATACCCCTCCAAAAAACCCTGAGAACATTTTTTATATTCTCCTCATTGGGATCATTTTCCTACTATAACGCGACCCTACTCGAATACGTGTCTGATTTGGATTAGGAATCTCCGTATATTGACTGGCGTGCCTAGGGAAGAAACCAAATAAATCTTGTTCTGACTGGCGAGGCAGCGAAGTTGATACCTCGGATTGGAGCCTCAACGGACACAGCTGAGTTTTACCAAGCCAAAAGTCCCCATAGACATCCCTAGCTAGGTGCATAATTTTGCATAAGACCAAGATGGCTTCTACGGATGTGGTTTCTCTGCCCTTCGAGGCCGTGGATGATCTCATTTATGATGCACGAGCGGGTGATCTCGAATCATTAAAAGTAGACATCACAAAATTCAGCCAAGAGTATAACTGCTCTCCAGCGGATATAATTAAAGCAGCTATAGATACGGAGGATGAGAGCGAAGGAGGCACTGGCTCATGTCTCCTACACTGGCCCGCGGCTAATGGAAACGCTGGTACGTGATGCTCTGCCTATCTTTCAATACCCCTGAATCGACCGCTGACTCTAACCATTTTAGAAATATTAAATTACCTTCTTAGCCTGCTCAGAACTGAAAATGGAGTGCAAGAACCCTCAAACCTTCAGCTTATAAACCATAAGAACCATTCTGGAAATACACCGTTGCATTGGGCAGCTCTTAATACCCACCTAGAATGTGTCAAGGCGCTCGTGGAAGCTGGAGCGGACATTATTTTGAAGAACAACGCGGGCCATGATGCTGTTTTTGTTGCTGAGCAGTCTGACTGGAATGCTACTGCGACTACGCAAGAAGAGGACAAGGAAAAGGATGCCACAGAGGATGAAGCCAACGTGGAGGAAGCCGAGTCGTCTACACCGCGAGAGACTACGAAGGGTCAGCAGGTAGTGGAGTGGTTACTGACCTGTGAGAAGGGTTCGGATATGGAGAAGAGTGCTGTTGACGATGCTGATGTCCCAATGACTGAAGATGATGCTGGTCCAAGCAAGTAGTGACCGCAAGAATATCCTCGACTATATACAAATATTATCTTTGCTGCTTTGCTAGAGTTTCTTGTCGTTTACTTGACTGTGATGTATCTATGAATCAAACGTTTAGATGGCGGAGTCCTCGGAAAGTATTCATTCGTACGATTCCATTTATTATCTTCACTATCTAACAGATAGTAGTAGCAAGAGGCCATAACATTCACGACATCACATTGGTGCCATGAACACTTGATGTGGACGTCGACCTGGCCTGGCACTCGAACAAAACCTTCTATATTTACATAACATTTAGAAGGTCATAGACATCTCCAAAACACAGGACAGATGCATAACCATCGACGGTTGAGAAACAACACCAACCCAGAAAAGTAGAGAAAGGGAGGTTATTAGGTAGAGGATAATTAATAAAATTTGTAACAGTGAAAGACAAAGCAGAATAGGTTTTCGTGTAAGTGTATGCATGAAGGGCTAAAGACGAGGAAAAAAGAGGCGATACGAGAAAGAGGAAGAAGTAGAAGAAGTGTATCGGCTTGCTGAATAGGAGGAAGAGGAATGAGGAAGTAGAAGAAGAAGGCGTAAATGAGAAGAGTGCAGATATTAGGGATTAAATCAAACGGGATGTTTCGTCGAGGTCCATGGCAGCAGCGGTAGTTTTCATACCCATTTTGGTGAGGTTCTCAATTGGTGTCCTCCGTCGAACTTCGCAGCTGTCATCTGACCCGTAAGACCGTTGAGATTGGCCGTTTGGGTCGCTGTTAAGCGAACCATTGCATGATCGCTGCTTCGAGGCCGGACCAACGGCATGAGCGACATTGTCCATGCCCACTCTGAACTCACGGTCCCTCCAGACGATGGTAGCACCGCCAAAGACACTCCATACCCATATGGGTAGAGCAAGGGTCTCCCGGCCAAGCCAGGCAAGGAACCATTCCAGGAATGGTCGTCTGGCAATCGATTCTGGAGCTGGAGGGCGGGCGAAGCGCGGTGTGTTTTCGTCTACTTCGATAGTGACGAAAGAAAGAAGGGTTCGGTATAGGAAGAAGTCTGTTAGCATCCAGACGAAGGCGCTTAGACCCCAGACTAGCCCGAATGCAGACCATGTTGACAGATAAGTTGAGCAGTACTGGCTACCAGAGAGGAGGGGAGGGATGCCGGTGGTGATACCGAAAGCGAGGTAGGCAGAGCAAACGAAACATTCAATACCTGGCTCAACGATCGTAGCTAGAATAACTATGAATTTCCGAACGCGGATCCAGCGAACTCGGCGGTTAATGTAAGAGGAGGTGGCCATCTTGGTGACCGGTTGGATAGCAAGATCGCCGAACACAAGGTCATGTTTACCCCATTCTGACGGCTGGCCTTCCTCTTCTCCCTCGAGTTTGCCATTCCACATGCGTTCTCCGAGCAGGTGGTCCTCGCAGATGTTGTCAGAGAGGGAGTCCAGACCTGGTTTCCGGAGATATGGTCGAGAAGGTATGACATGGTTCTTGGTAACCTGGTCGAGGTGCGAACGTCTGAACATGGTTGACTTTCCAACGACACAAGGGGCAACGAGAATGGTGTTGATAGCACAGTACATCTTCGCATGGGAGGAGGCGAGGAATATCTCCTCTAATCGACCGCCGCCAATTGAAGAGATATATTCAATCGGAGAAGCTGGGGCGGTGTTCGTGGCCACAACACTTCCGGGAGCAGATTTCAACGCACCGTTCCCGTTCATAGCCGCCGCTGGAGGGAATATGGCATTTTTCTCAAAGTCCCTTGCGGCATCTTCGCTATCAACGTCAACGACGACTGGTAGGTGATGCACAAACTTGTACTTCTGGCCCTTTGAGTCCAGTCCGCACAGACGTTCTACCATCCTCCCGCAAACGCCTTTCCCTAGCCAGACATTGCAGTCGACCACCCAGACGACATCACCCTTTAGTTCGCGGTATGCTTGGCTCATGTTGCGAATCTTCGGGTTAGGTCCCAGCTCATGGTCTTCATACTTTGGCTCTAGGTAGAGACGCGCATCTATGTCCGGGAAACGCGCGAGGACTTTTTCTATCACTGGGTAAGCGGGATCGTCCCTTGACGAGAGACAGAGAGATATGCTGAGCTTGTCCTTGGGATAGTCTTGCTGAAAGCTGGAAGAAAGATTCTCGTAGAGGTAGGGCTCGAGGCCCTTGATAGGCCTGATAATGGTGACATGTGGGAGATTCAGATCAGAGGGAGCTCTCGTAGCCTTGGGAAGGGTTCTGGAGTATCTTCTGAATCTGTACCGGAAGGGTCTTGTTAGCGTTGGTAGCTACGTTGGCTGGGGAGCTGTGAACCCCATGGCCAGGACTCGCATGCAAGATCTAACAGCACAATAACCACAAGGCTAAGGAGGAGAGAACGTGAAGCTCACACTTGTATAGTCCCTATTGTGCTAACAGTAACAACAAAGACGTACCAGCCGATAGCCAGCCAGCCCGCAGCAACCAGCCAGAGACTCTGGCCATGTTGGCTGCAGGTGGTGACCGTGTTAACCAGCGCGCTTTCGGCCACCATGGATCGCAAGAACAAGGGCTGTCTCTAAAAAAACAAGGAGCTCTATTAGAGGGGCAGTCTCCCTCTTTCAGGCAGAGAGAAAGAGACGGGCAAGAGTCTCCTTTTGCTAGAGATTGTTTTGGAGGTGAATTCGAGCAGGCTTTCAGGACAAGCTCATACTTTTAAGGACCAAAAGATGGAAGAGAAAAAGAAAAAGAAAAAGAGCGTAAAAAGCTTGACCCCCTCTAACTATAACCAAGGAGACAAGGTGACGAGTAAAAATAGACACCTGGTTATGCGGGAGACTTGAGACGGGGGAAGAAGAGTGAAGGCGATGCTGATGGTGGGAGGGAGAGGGAAGGAAGAAGACCAGCTTTGTTTTGTGGCTTGCAAATATCAGCTGCCCTTCCCTCTTCTCTCCAGACATTCAGAGTAAAGGCCCAAAGATTATTAAGGAGTCAACGGCCTGAGGAGAAGAGGAAAAAAAAGCTCGAGAAAGAGAAGACGGCCCACTGGTCTAACTAATCAATCTTAAAGCCCGTGGATCCCCCGTCCTCGAAAGACGCCAATCAGTAAGGCGAAATGACTGCATGCGAAGCTTTGGAATGGGACGAATCTGATGCAACCCCTGTAGTTATATAGATCAGGTGAAGAGGGCAACGACAGGGAGGGACAGCGGCGGAGGATACACGATCTTGCTCGTGGACTTTTGAACTTACTTTGGTACTCCGTATTATCATCCTCCTCCTCCTCATCGTCGTCGTCGTCCTAAGCACTAGTAGGCGCCTTTTTCCTTCTTGACTTGCTGACGCAACGTCAGCTTCACCCTTTATTATTTCTCGAAGTTCCCTATTTTATTATTATCAGCCTCGGACGGGACTCCCTAGAGAAAACTAAACCTCTTGAAGCTCAGCCGTCACTTGGAAGTCTCTTTCGTGGCACCCCAAAAGCGAGCGATGAATGGTGTAAACCTTCTCCTTTTCTCCTTTTTTTCTCTCTTTCCTTTCTTTTCTTATGCCTCTTCTCTCCCCTTTTCCATAATCGTTCGACTATTTAACCCTTAGCCTCCCTGCGAACCCATGGAATCTTTTCTTTCATGATTATTTATTGTCGACTAGTCGGGTCGTTATTGCGTTTCCTGGGCCTGTTGGTGTTGCACCATTTTGCCACTTGCGGGAAATAAGCAGGTGTGTCAAGTCGCTCAACCAGGGTTGATTATCTGTTCCTGAACGGCTGTTTCCGTTAAGGTGACGCGATGGCCCTGGAAAACTCTTCAATTAATGGTTTGAATTGAAACTCCAGGCCTGCTGAACCTCAGAGGAAGAGAGGTGGGCTATTATTTTATTCTCTTGCCTTAGCATAGCGATATTTTCTCTTTTGCTGTCGGAGGACTCGCTTAAATCTTCGTCAATTATCCGAAAAACGGCTTCTGAAAACTCCACAGAATAATAAAATAAAATATGGAGAATCGGACGCACCAACAGGCTGGAGCTCATCAGCGGAAAATCGCCCGCAGTAGAAACTGGAGACTGCAGCTGGAGCTACGTGAAACGCTGCAAGCAACAGGACTGCAGGATGAATTATCCGACCGTTAGTTTCTCTACCTGATCGGCGTGCACCTTCACAGGCTCTCCGTCAGTTAACTTAACTCGTTGGTGGGATGCATTCTTCATGGATGTCGCTGTGGCTGTGCTTACTGGTCGGTTGCTCCTCTCCTTGCGACGAGGGAGGAGCACCCCCATTTATTCTGGGTCGCACGGTATGTAGTAGAGAAGAAGCAGCTGAGTCCTGGGCGGCCTCGGACTGTAAACACGCTTACAAAGAAAGAGGCATCTATCGCCTTGCTGCCTCTCTCCTGCGTAGTTAGTAGTTAGATAATTCCATCGAAATATAACTAATCGATAACGACGACGTTGCTGGTGTGGCACGAGCTTCTCGGCCTGCCAAAGCTTGTTTTCAGCTGGGAAACCCAACTTCAACCTTCGACATCAGCGACTCGCTCTTCCATCTTCCTGTCTGCGACGCATTTGGCGGCTCAGCGTTTAAAAGACAGACAAGAACCTGTTTAGCTTGCGTGTTTGCATGCTGTGTACTTGTGTGCGGTAGGAATTGACGACTCCTGTGCGACCACGCCTTGTGCGCAGGTTTACCCTGCTCAACGTCGTCACCCGCAAAGGATGCAGGACAGCGGCGTCGCATTAGAAGTGGGTAAGTGTTCAAGCAGCCATCTCTTCCTCTTCCAAGTTGACTCTGGACGCGGACCAGCCTATAGGAATATCTGACTAGATAGGCGGGATTGGCCGACCCGACAGTATCCTGCCTCACATTGCAGTCGCGTGCTATTAGATACTCTGGCCGTCGAACCTTTGATTCCGCTAGTCAAGACGGGAACACGGATGCATATTCCGACTGTTGGATTAGTTATTATAATATGCCCTCCAGCCTAGTCATTCTTGTCACATTGGCGGACTTGAGCTGTCCTCCATTCGGACCTCCCTGGTCTCTCGTATATTAAAGCATGTGCTTTAATGCATTTTGATATCCCCCGAGCCCACCGGCCCCCTTGCTGCGCCACGTCTAGATCGAGCTTTAATCTAGCTACAAGCTAGAAAGCGCAAGGGAAAGTCAAATTACTATGAGGGACTTTTTCCTGTCCCAAAAGCTTCGCTGGAACAATGTTCCGGCGCGTCTGTTCCCAAGGAGAGGTTCAGCTGTGGCGTGCGTGCCATGAGAAACGGTTGTGGTGATATTAGTTGCCCGTGCATGGCTATTAACTGCTTGAGGCAACTGTAAGCTGAAGGGCTACCAGTTCTGCTATCTTTCCCCCCTCCCATTCACCATGGGAAGGGAATTCCGGCGTTGTTTGTGCGGCTGTAGCCGATCTGCTGTCGGAATACTAATATAAAAAGACCGTTTCGGAGGGATCAATTTCATCAATTTTTCATTCTACCTGCTTATCCAGTCCCCGTACATTCTCTTCCCATTTTCTAGTCCATTTCTATCCACAATGCCGGGTGAAGTTGACGCCGAAAAGGCTGACGTGGACCCGGACATGCGTATTCGTTACGCGGGCGGGGAACAGCCTCAAGAGAGTCGACGTCGCTCTCTTCATAGGAAGTCATCTGTTGGTTCCATGTCCATTCGAAGTGCGCGTAGGACCGTGCCGCCAGAAACCGTCCTTCCAATTGCATATCGTACCCTGTACGTAATAGCAAGTACATCAGCTAGCCCTCTGGCCACTCACTTACCTCTATCAATAGTTCTTACAACGTTGAAGAGTCCATCCAAAAGGCAAAGGAGGCGCCTCTCAAAGGTGCCACACAAGCTGTCGATGGTGAGATCATGTTGTTTCTTGCCATCTTGGCTAACTGTATACAAAGCGTCATCTAGCTGACCTTTGAGTGCCACAACAGGCATCTCGGAACTAGACTGGCATTTGATCCCCATTGATAACATAGTATCAGGCCTAAATACCTCAGTTTCCCAAGGTCTCTCTGCAGACCAAGCCCGGAAAGGTATACTTGAGCATGGCAAAAATGCTCCCACCCGTCCCCGTACTGAATGGTTTCGCAAAATCATGGGGTACTTCTTCGGCGGATTTGGTATACTGCTCTTGACTGGATGCATCCTTGTCTTTATCGCCTGGAAGCCCCTGGGAGACCCCCCAGCCCTTGCAAACCTCGCACTAGCTATTGTATTGTTGGCAGTCTTCTTCATCCAGGCTGGTTTTAATGCCTGGCAGGATTGGTCATCCTCAAGGGTCATGGCCTCTATTACCACGATGCTTCCTGATGACTGTACAGCCGTTAGGGACTCTGCTACTGTTGTGATGTCTGCTGTTGAGCTTGTGCCCGGAGATGTGATCAAAATTAAACAGGGGAATAAGCTGCCTTGCGATATTCGGTTTGTCGAGGTATCGTCCGATGCTAAGTTCGATAGGTCAATACTCACAGGTAAGCCTTCCGCCAGATGACCCGCGCTATTATATCTACTAACTTCTCTTAGGTGAATCGGAGCCCGTGGATGGCACAGTCGAGTCTACGGATAAGAACTTCCTAGAAACTCGATGCATTGGCCTCCAAGGGACACACTGCGTTTCAGGTACCGCCACTGGCATATGTATTGCAACTGGAGATAAAACCGTCTTTGGTCGCATTGCCAACCTGACGAGCAAACCAAATCGTGGACTCACACCGATTCAGAAGGAGATACTACGCTTCGTCTTGATTATCATTAGCTTTATCGCCTCTGTTGTCATTCTGGTTGTGGTTGTCTGGTATAGTTCACCTTTCCCTAACAATACCCCTTTAATTTATTAACACGGTTTAGGGCTGCATGGTTGAGGAAATCTCATCCAAACTGGATCAATGTGCCACTGCTCATAGTCAATTGTGTGAGTGTCGGTATAGCTTTTGTTCCAGAGGGCCTTCCCGTTGCTGTCGCCCTGAGCCTTACAATTGGAGCGAAAATCATGAGAAAGAATAATATTCTTTGCAAATCTCTTGCTACGGTAGAAACACTTGGATCAGTCTCCGTGATCTGCTCTGATAAGACAGGTACTTTGACTAAGGTAAGAGCCTTCGCCCTTAATCTGGAGTAACTATCATTGACTCGCATTTCCTTATAGAATGAAATGTTTGTTACCGACTGCTTTGCTGGCGGGCATGAATACAGGGCAGACGACGTCAAAAAGTTCCATGGTACCGCGTGTGAAGGCTCTAATTTTGCTAATAATGCCCTGGAGCGCACGCAGGTACTTGGTGCTCTATGCAATGCAGCTGAAATAGATGCATCTACTCTCAGGCTTCCTGCGCAGTCAATGAAAATACACGGAGATCCTACTGACCAAGCCATTCTGCGATTCTCCGAGTCTCTGGAGCCTACTAAGAAACTAAAGATGAAGTGGAGAAAGGCCTTCGAGATCGCCTTCAGCAGTAAAAACAAGTACATGGTCCGAGTTATGGCTCCCGTTCCATCAGCAGATACAGAAAACGCCGAAAAACATACAGACATGTGAGTCATTAAGCTACCCTGACCTTACATTCCAGTACTTACTATATCCAGGGAACTTTCGATAAAAGGGGCTCCAGATATCCTGTTACCACGCTGTCGTACGATTCTTAAGAGTGATGGCTCTATTGCTGCGTTATCTGACATGGACAGAGAGTCTATCGAAAGAACAAAGGACAAATGGTCTCGCGAAGGAAAGAGAGTGATACTACTTGCGAGGAAAGACGTCACCCAGGCTGCCGAAGATAGCCTAAAAATGGCACAGCCTGAAAAGTCCATCATGGATTACGCGAAATCCGATCTTACTTTTGTTGGAATGTGGGCATTGATTGACCCTCTGGTATGTCGCCTTTACCATTATCTTTGAGATACTGTTATTTCTAACTGATGAGGCAGAGAGATGAAATACCGGAAGTGATTAAAACTTTACGTGGCGCTGGTATCAGGATAGTAATGGTTAGATCACTGAACACCTTTTCTTGTTGCATTTTACTAACAGTTTTCTGTAGGTTACAGGAGATTTTAAACTCACGGCTCAAGCCATTGCGGTAGATTGTGGGATAATCAAATCCTTAAATTCAGTAGTTCATTCCATTGATAACTTACGCCGCGATTTTGAAATGGAACAACAGAACCAACGTGAACAGCGAACTCCACTCGTAATCAGTGGCCCTGAGCTTATCACTCTCAATGACAAGCAGTGGGATCAACTCTGCACATATGAGGAAATTGTCTTTGCTCGTACTACCCCTGACCAGAAACTGCGAATTGTGAAGGAATTCCAGTCCCGAGGAAAAATAGTGGCAATGACAGGCGATGGTGTGAATGATGCACCGGCTCTGAAAGCTGCGGATGTCGGAGTAGCGCTAGGTAGCGGATCTGACATAGCCATCGAAGCTGCCGACATGGTCCTGTTGGACTCATTTGCCGCTATTGTCGAGGCCGTCAAATATGGCCGCGTCACTTTCGGTACGATATCCCTTCCAATCCCCATTATGCACTCATCTCGATTTTACATTTGCTGACTTATTACTAGACAATTTGAAGAAGACTATCTGCTACCTTCTACCGGCAGGGAGTTTTAGTGAACTTTGTAAGCCTACCTACTGTTCCAGATTTATAGATACCCATTTAATGCTGACTTTCTGCAAAGGGCCTGTTCTGGCAAACACTTTCCTCGGTATCCCTCAGGCCTTGTCTTCGTTTCTCATGGTATGTTCTTCCGTTCTATATATAAAAAGAAAAAAGAAAGAAAACAGCGAATGCTAACTATGATGGTAACAGGTCATTATATGGTAGGGAACCTCGTAGGAATCATGGCTATGGAGACTTACTAACTTCCTATGAAGCTTGTTTACAGATGCTGCTGGGGCAATTACCTTATCCTACGAACAGCCGGAGATGGATGTCCTCCTTCGGCCTCCTCGCAACCAGAAGACAGACCGATTAGTCAACGGTCGTTTCATTCTGCATGCATATGGCTTTATTGGTGTGTATGAGTGTCTACTCTCATTCGTCATGGCTTTCTGGTATATGTCTGTAAGTATTACCCCGAAGTCCGGAGTTGAAATAAGATGGACTTGAGCTCATACAGTGCTTTACCTTAACAGAGGCGCGGCATTCCATTCAGCGCCATGCTTCTCAAATTCGGCAAACTGGACCCTCAATATGACCCGGCATATGTCACCGAAATATCCAACAAAGCATCTTCAATCTACTTCGTCAACCTCGTCATTTTGCAGTTCTTCAATTTGCTGGCCACTCGAACTAGACGACTAAGCATCTTCCAGCAGCCTCCAATATTTAACAAGAAAACACAGAATCCTCTCCTTTTCGCCGCTATGCTGTTTTCTCTCATGATTATCTTCATCTGTAAGTAAAGAGTAAAGGGTTGTCGTTGGAATTTGTTTTGAAACGTTACTGACGAGCTCGAATAGTCTGTTACATCCCTGGAATTCAGAACACAGTCGCTACGACAAGTGTTCCAGTGGAACATTTCTTCCTTCCTATCGCATTTGGACTTGGCCTTCTTCTGCTTGATGAGACAAGGAAGTATTTTGTTCGTAGTCATCCGAAAGGCCTATTGGCGAAGCTTTCCTGGTAGTCGGCACAGATAATACTCTTATAGGTCAAGTCTAAGCAGTCAACGCTACTCGAAGGATAGCGGGAAAACCGGGGAATAATTTCTATTTAGTCGAGGGGTAGAGCTTATGAGTTTTGGAGGTAAAATTGATTTGTTTGGTTCTTTGCGATAATCGTATATATACCGTTGGCACCAATTTTAGCTATATCTCCCCGTATGCTTCTTCACTCGCTATCGGCTGCCTTAAACGTCTTCTGAGTTTGAAGTCGCTCTTGTGGGAGTGAAACGAAGCTTTATGTAATCAATAGTGCGCTAAGATCTAGTCAAGAGTCTAGAGTGAAATGCCCCTTTCATCGAATAAGGTGGTATGGTCTAGTGGTATGACGTGGCATTGTGGCTGCCCCAGCCTGGGTTCGATTCCCAGTACCGCCAGCAACTCGAAAGGGTTTCTTTTTTTTTTTTTCATTATTTTTCAACTCATAAAAACATGTGGAGCCGTAGGGCGTCCAGCCACCAGTAACTTAAATAAATTGTGAAGACGTCGGGGAAATTAGCTAGTAAACTAACTACTAAATTGACTTCGGTCTTTGCGGTATAAACAAAGCGCATATACGATTTATTGTCTTTCCTTTCATAGATACATCATTATTTCCTTTCATTCCTCCCAAATAACATTAACTTACAACATCGATTGCTCATAGCCGGCCGCTTCTCACTGGGCATCGATTCTATCTCACCTGGTATCCTGAGATCGTAATCATCACATTATATGCCGATGCCATTAAGGCATGATGGATTTCATGAGGAGTTACTCCTCTGTTTTTTTCTTTTTTCGGATTAAGTTGCCACCCAAAACATTGACAGACGGTTCGTTTGATGTCTGTTCTTGAGTTACAGTGGTTGCTTGTAAATCGGTGTGTACTTTTAAGCCGTCTCCTGCTGTCTGGGATGAAGAAGGGCCATGGGCATGAACGACTGTGTTATCCCCCGGGACTGCTGCAGTGGCGCTTGGTTGTCGTTTCCTTTTTCGTATCAATCCATTACCCAATACATTGGTGGACACAGGGGGTACCGACGTTACTGTTGGAGGTGGTGGGCCGACTGGAGCTGCTGTTCCTGTGATTCTTAGGCCCTTCTTATTGCAGCCGCTCAAAGAAGAAAGCTCCTCAATCCACAGCTTCGTGTTGGCCGTCGCATCTGACTGGTTGGAAAAGTCAAGATCAAGAAGGAAGTCGGCAAGTGCTTTGTAGTCGCTGTTGCTGATTTCAATTATCGAATCATCAATGGCGTGTTCATGATTCACTGACAAATTCTCAGTATGACTTTCCCTCTTTGCGACTGGATCGGATTTTACTGCTTGGTTCTCGTTTGCGGAGCTACCCTCACATTGAGTCGGATCAGAAACCTTGACAGGGTTGGTAGAAGGCTTGACAACCATCCAAAGAAACCCAACTAGCCTGCCAGCGGAGCACTCCTGACGATAGGACATCATTTCCCAAAATTGATCGAGCGTTTTTACGCTATGCCACTTCCCAGAATTCTTCAGCTCATGAGGAGGGTTTTCGTCTGTTATCTCATCGTCAAGATCAATAAGAAATCGTGCTTTCGGATCATCAGGGAACCGAGGAACTAGACAACGAGGGGGGGAATTGGGATAAGAGCAGATTTGGTGGAGAGGGTAATCGAGTCTCCAGTGGCTACCAGGGGTATTGACGGGCCCTCCACTCTTCGGAATGAAATTCTTGGTTTCGAATGTATCACAGCCAGGGACGATAAGATGGGTTGCAACAGATTGTTTTGTGAGTACAGTCGCAGCAGTATCGAGGGAATTGATAGGTGAGCGATCATTGTTTCCCTGCTCTAAGGATTTCATGATAGGGTCAATAACGCGACACCACCATTTTATTAGTCCGCGGTCATCCAATATATGTTTCCCCTTGTGTTCCGAGCTCCCCGGGAAGAGGTATTGATCCTGTGCCCTTGCAAAGAGGGAGAGAACAAGGGTAACATCCGGCTTCTGGTAAATGCGAACAAGGTGGTATAAGAATGTGCTCAAGACATTCCTGGTCAATGAGTATGCTGCTGGTGAGTTCTGATCACGGTTCAAGAGAGAAAGATAGCCGGTAGAATCGGCTTTAGAGACAAAGAGGGTAGATAACTTGTCTGTTGTGTACACCAGGACCTCAATTGCGAAAACAAGCAGCTCGTCACTGTCTGCAGAATCCTCGTTGTCTGTGTCCTGCTTTGTTTCCTTCTCGGCACCAGGGTTAATGGAGACAGCTAGGAAGTGCTGCTTGCATATAGTAGGCTCATCCGGTTCACCTATTGGCGCGGAGAAGATTGGTGGACAAGGAGTTGGAGCACCGGCGACATGTCGAACCACCAGGTTTACATCCTTGCGGACGGCCTGGCTGAGAGCTTCTTCCAATGTCACTGGACTCATAGAAACAAGTGTGCAAAATGGGCTCGGCCACTGCGTCAAGGAACAAGATACCCACAGTTAGTTAGTTAATAGTTATAGAATGCTTGATATAACAGAGAGAGAATCTTGGTTGGTTTAAAGTTCGACGTCGTATCTAAGATTAGTCAGAAATTAGTAATTTTATGGATAATTATTAATCCGAGTCATCTGACCAAGGCCCACTTTACAATACACAAGGGGTTCCTATTGGTCAAATCTACTTTTAGACTTTAGACACTTCTTATCAGCAGCAATCGCGCTGAGCAAAAGACCTTGCGAGATACAGGAGGAAAAAGAGGACTGTCCGGACCTGCGGAGTCTCTGGTCTCTAATATGGACCAGCTAAGACCAACGGTTATCATTATCGCTCCATTTCATGTACTGCCCAGGTAAGATGCGCCTTGGCCTGCTGGTTGCTTCGCGATGCGCAGGTTATAGTCCAATCGCATCTTCAGGCATCCTTACAAAGCTGCTCGTCGAGAACAGATTTGTCAAAGTGCAGGGACATGCACGTCAGCCAACGTTCTGCGAACACCAACCAAGCCAGCTGTCTTATGCGGAACATTACCTAATTGGAGCCAGCTGGGCATTCTGGAAAGGCCATGGGTGAATGGACGTGTGATCATTCATGTCAATGCCTGCCAATTGACTTGTACGCCCAAGTATAAGAAAGCAGCTCTTCCCCGCAGCCATCTGATGCCCCTCCCTCAATCCTTCGGGCTGATCTGATACTCCCTCCCATATACCTACGTACGGCAAAGTCAACTCTTCGTCGAGCGAATACACGCCGCCAGCTGCCCAAGATGTCTCTCCCACCTACCGTCCGTCGACTAGTTACCGGCCACAATGAGAAGGGAGAAGCTATCTTCGACTCAGACTGCCAACTTTGTCCGTACAACCCCATGGCGCCTGGCGCTCCTGAGCCTGCCAAAGAGGGGGAGATGGGCTTCATTACCGTCTTCCGCACTGCCGGTATCCCTGATGACAACACAAGCCCATGGGTTGACATGCATAACAAGATTGTCAACCTGGTCGAGAAGGACAATGTGACGTTGCGAATCGTCGATTTTGCGCCAGGCCTTCCCGGCTTAATGCATCGAACCATTAGTGTGGACTTCGGCATCGTCCTGAATGGCGAGATTGAGCTGGAACTGGACAATGGCGTTACCAGGGTTATGAAGCAGCATGATATCGTGGTGCAGAGGGGTACCATCCATTCGTGGAATAACAAGGGATCAGAAACCGTGCGAATGCTCTTTGTTCTTCTCCCAGCCGACCCGGTCAAGGTGGGCGATAAGGAATTGCCGGATACTCCTCTACCTGCTCCCTTTTTAAAAGATGCTGATGAGCAGTAAACTGCTCCTCTGGTCTGGGGCTTGTCGTTCAATGTTTATATTTTGGGGAATAAGGTTTTTATCTCTAAATACTATACATGGGAGACGGAGATAAACCCACCTGGACCTGTCAAATATTATATATTATATCGAAATAGCTGAATATCTACCGTGCACGAAATATCATCGTCGAGGAATATTCCTCATTAAAAATACTCCTTGGCAGCATTTACATCGTCGGCATTCAACAAGGCGACACCTTCCTTCCAAAGTGTTCTCCACAACTCATTTCTCAAACGAATGGGCCATCCAGGAGTCTCCCAGTAACGAACACCAATGCTCTTGTCCTTTGCGGCCTTAATCTGCTTGCGAATAGCCTCCAGCTGGGTAGGATTAAGCAGATTCTCACTGTCGCTTTTGATATCTCCAACAACCTCCATGAAACTGGTAGAAGCAATAGGAGAGATCAGAGAAGTGAAGCCAGTCAAATCCTTAAGTGGGCCATCGTAGAAATAGTCACGGTTTGCGGCTGAAACGACCTGGCTAAGTGGCGTACCACCAGTTCCAATCACAGTGACTGGTCCTGGAACAAAGGTCTCATTATTCTGGACCTTGGTCAGGTAATTGGCATCTCGGAGCGGTTGGAGAGCCTTGACGATGTGAGGCCAGGCCTTTTCACCGTTATTCTTGACGTCGATCCAGAGATACAGCGTTTGGCCTGAGGAGGTATCGAAAACACCGCTATCATCGTTTGAGTTGGTTGTTTTTGACTATAATTAGAAGTTATAGGCCGACTTACTTCCTTGTAGGCCCACTTACAAAGGGGCTCTTGGGGTTGGTCTTCTTAAGGACATTCATGAGAGGCTCGATGTAAAGGGACTGGAGAGTGCGTTCCTTGGTCAAGGCCGATTCTTCATGTCCAACCTGGGATAGTAATTAGTGATGTATCATGTAAGGTAAACTCGGGCAGACATACATAGAGAGTGTCATTGAAAAGGAAGACATCAGCTTCAACAGAGATGCATCCAGCAGACAGCGCTAGCTTGATCGTTAGTGCTATCCAAGCTGAGGTTGAGAATACTAGCAGCTGCGAGGCGTACCAGTATAGAAAGGAACATCTCTCCAGTAGTCGCTATGGAAAGCATTAGCCGCAGCCATTATCATCACGACAAACTCTACCACTTACTTATGAGAATGAACTGGGATAGGAAGGATTCCACGGGTCACGTCGGTTGGATATCTATAAATCGGGCTTCGGTCTGTGTTTATGAGGATGTTTTGCAGCGGTTCAGAGAGGGCGGCGACAGGCTCGAGGGAGGCCGCGAGGATGGCCGTAGAGGCCAGGATGAAAGGCTTCATCTTTCTTTAGACGACTGGCCGTATGGAGTACCAGCTCTCGTTCATGAAAAAAACTTCTGAAGAGCTCTCGTGGCTTGGAGACCGCAGCGGACGGTCTTTATATACGCCGGGATGGGTCTTCGGGACGTAGTATTTGATTAGCACAGCCAGCATGGATGCTTGTTTGCCAATTGGTTGATCGTCGCTCTCCACGTGTGAGGCTTGTTTGGCTCGCTAGCTCGAATACGGCGGTTCTGGGGGAGCAAAATACGAGAAGGCTGATGCTGGTTGATATACAGGGAGCAGTTGAATATGGTTGCAGACGGCGAGACTACATAACTAGTTGGATGGTCGACGATGCGATCAGACGAGCGAGCGAGGACCAAGACAAGTGCACGCGATAACTAGGCAAAGAAGGGGAAGCGGCAGTGCTAACATGAACAAAAAAGCAGACCCTAGGACAAAGAGAAAAGTAACACTAGTAAAAGAAGATATGCTAGACCTCCCTCTCTCTCACCCGGGCGGTGCTGGACTCCTCTCGACCTTCCTGGCTGGCACTGCTACTCCGGCCTGTGATATTGAGGCTTCCTATCCGCTGTACCAGGCTGCTGCCCACGGCGTCAACTGCGCCCTTGGGAGCAAGTAGCGTCGGTCCTTGCGCCGCCGTCTCCTGTACTCTGAATAATTTGATAGCAGTTCCGTTCCAGACACCGACGGTTCCTGGTGTTGCGTTGGCGGCAGACCCGACAACCATTTCGCTGGCGAAGACGAAACCCCAGAGAAGCGACTCGTACCAGCCGAGTGAAAGAGGTGACCATTCAAACATATGTACGCGGATGGGAGATGGTTCTGCTAGTATTGCTCTGATCTGTGGAGCTGCAGCGAAAGACGGGAGCTCTGTTATTAATGTGCGAGCTTCCGGGTTTAGTGATGACTCTAATGCGGCTGCTGGGATACGGTGTGATATCGAGGAAATGATGGTTAGAATGGTATGAAGGGGAAGCTCGGGCACCCAGGATTCAATCTGGTTTTGACAATTTTCATCAGCTATAAGCAACATCAACTACGTAAGGTTATACATACCCATGAAGAAGTAGGGATGAAGCCACGAGCATTTGCGGTGACGGTGGGTGCATAGCTGCTTAGACTCGTCATGCTGTTCTGACGCGAAAATGACGGCTGGCCTGCAGGCATCTTGCCTCGTGCTTTTTCAGACAATCCTCGAAGTTGAAGCGGTACTGACTCGTCTAGGGGCGAAATGGGGGGTGATCGGAAGCCTTCAGCTGTCGGAGAAGTAACTCGAGAGGGCTGCTGATCTCCATCTCCATCTTCGTCGGAATCATCGTCGCCAATGGCAAATGTTCCATCTTCTTCTTCCGGAACATGGCTTAGAGGTCGCCTTCCGCTTCCCGTCTCATTGGAGTCGCCATCCCTTGAATGGGTACGATCGCCGCTAGAACTAGATGCAGCTTTTCGTAGTTGATTCTGCCGTTCTATTTCCTGCTGACCGCTTTCTAAGGTGAATGCCCGGAGCGACTCGAACCGACGTCTGGACTTGAGTACGACATAAACGAGATATGCGTTCTCTATTCTATGTTAGTAGTCACAAACAATATGGGTACCATGACTAGATAAGTGGCTGTACTCACTGCTGAACTGGTGTTCTACGACAGTATTTATAAATTCAAGGAGGGAGGATAGAAGGAGATGGTTCGTCTCGTTGGCTAATAGGAAACTTGGGGCAGACATTGAAACAAATAGCTGAAGAACCTTGGAAGCACAGGCGGGAGAAAGTCGTTGGGCATATGCTGCCACATTGTTGATGATGGCAAGCAACGCCGGGTATACGGCGTCTAATTTCCCTTTGCTAGTGGTAATGAGCGTATGGATGGACTATACGTTGGTCAGAGAGACAGTTATCCAGTAAATTCGGCGGATCAAGAAAGAAATGCTTACAATGATTAAGAAGTCACCATAAGTGCCCCCGAAATTCTCTAGTCGAATGCTGGGCGGCAGAGTATCCTGGGCTTCGAATCTCCGGAACAGATTTTTGCCAAAGTTCGGCTCAACGCTCAGCGTCTGAAGTAGGAAAATGCACATCTTGACCAAGCCATTTTTAGACGGGTCGGTCTTGTACTCTATAGCATAGAATATGCAGATGATAATAAAATCATGAGCGCGGTTGGAATCCACGATGAAAGATCTGAAGCGCTTGTTGCACTGGACCATTTCCCAGAATAGCATGAGCATTTCTGGTGCCCATTTTATTGATTTCTGACTTCCTGGTAGATAAGAGGAGGTTGCTTGCATCTAGGGATATGGTTAATTAAATGTAGGAGAACGGCATTCGTTAGTCCGAAAGAAATATACGTACCGGCTGGTTTAGTATTCTAGTCATTCCTTCGACTAGGAACTGGAAATCCTGAGGCTGATGCAGGCGTCCGAGGAAGTGCCGATAGTAGTTCTTGGGTAGACTACCCCGGCCATCTTCCGGGATAGGGTAAAGAAGAAGAGCGAGTAGAAATTGGAGACAGTATATGACGAGGATCTGCTTGGGGTCCTTCCAAACGACATGGTCGTATGGTAACCGCCACGGTGTAGGGTTATACTTGATAGTCGTATTTAGCAGGGAGCAGAGCAGTGACATGACTAATTTCTTATCACCACAGGTAACGAGGTACGTGAGAGATTTCACCCCCTTTACGGGTAGCAGGCCTTGACTGGCGTTAGTTATGCTGGTGTGGTTGAAACAAGCAATGGAAGGAAGTACGTACTGGGTTGCATGTACATGGACTGGCCGGTCATGGTAAGCAATAGTCTCAGCACTTCCGTTCTATTGCTCTCAAGCTCTTTATTCGAACCCATAGCGGTATTGCATCCTACACCACTTTGCCATATGGAATAGACGACTTTCCCTTTCGACGGGGGTATCTGTGGTATCGTGAACCCGCTGAAGAAAAGCAGGTCCAAAAGCGTATCCAGCAGTTCTTCAGCAAGTGGCTTGACATCTTCGAAATCTTCCTCCGACAACCCTCGTCGACCAGTCTGTACTCCCCCTTCGTCATCGTCCTCTTCCTGGCTGCGAGATTCATCAAAGAGCACCCGAGACGAAAGCTGTGCCTTGCGAGACATTTTCCGTCTCCGCCTCCAGAAAAACTCATCTTCCCATTCCTCCAGGTTATCGGCTTCATAGACATACGGCAACAGCCTTGTAAGGATGCGGATGCAATTCAGCGCATCTCTTGCGGGTGCTAGTTCGGGGTCAGGGAACGATGGGTGGTGTCGTAGCGCAACCAGGCGGGAGCAGATTGCGAGTAATAATGTCTCTAAATTCGACAAAGAGCCATCGCGCGTCCGCCGTATGTCGGCGGGAGAAAATAGACTGAAGACATCTTCGACTGACTCGGGCAATTCCCAGAACTAAAATAGTGGCATCATCCTGGGTCAGCATGCTTGCGTTTCTTCGATCTGTAGTTATATGGTAACTAGGGGAAGGAGGATAGATACGAACCCCAGTCCAATAATGATCGTCTGGGGGGATGTTTGCCTGCTCAGAGAGTCGGAAGATGCCTTGTTTAAAGACGAGCTTGGACTCTGAGGCACCCATGGCCGGGCAACGCGGAGAGGTGTGTTGTCGAGGTTTGGGATTGTTGACGGCGGCTTCGTGGTTGACTGGGAGTTGTGGCGTCTTGGAGGCTCGACACCCGCCAGCCGGCCAGCTAGTTAACGAACTAACTATCCAGTGAAGTCCGCCTGTGGTTGTTGCTACTGAATTATAAGCTGTTGACACGCCGCTCTGGGGACGAGAAACGCAGGCATGCTATTTCATTCGATGTTCAAGAGGCGCTTTTCGCGTTAGCTGCGTGGTCTGCTGGCTAATTGTCGCGGTGAAGATGCCACGGTGTTTGTTAGGTTGCTTGGTATGAAAGACACGGCTGGCTAGGTTGCAAGTTAGCGACAACTAGTTGACTAGTTAGCCGGTGCCTGCTGCGAAATCTTCAGGAATGAGTGTGCAAGAAGCAAGCTAGGACAGTCATTCATCTACTCGGGTTGCCAAAAGGTGAAACGAGGGCGTCCTGCAGGTGTTTAAGCTGGACGGTCGATACTGGATCCCTCAGCCATGACCTAGTTACATCTAATACGACTCCAGCCATTCTCTAGTAGCACTCCTCGATTACTGCATATACTCCGTATATCCATGATATTTATTTGATAAGCTGATGGCTTCCCCCTATCATGAGTATCTTGAGCGAAAACCGCCTGTCGTTTTATAATAACGGATAACCTTCGGCCACCAGAGGAACCAGTCACATATCAGAATCCAAGCAAAGTTAGATCACACGGATTCCCGTCTGTCAGCAAGAGGCCAGAACTCGCTAACGTTTCTTTTTCTCGCCCTCGTCTTCTCCCTGGTAACTAAATACGGATAACGTAAAGAGAACGAGGCCCTCGCCCAAGCCGCCTCTGCTGTTTGATGCCTGCAGGCTCCGTAAACCTGCCACAGCAGCACGCAAGAGACGGCCGGGAAGCAGTGCAACCTCGAGTTCCGGCGCAAACATCCTCCGTTGCCATGCATGCCACCGTCCCTGGTTCGCCAGCCAGCCAGAGAGACAGACAGGACTGGTTGGGTTGTCGTTCCATCATCGACTTGCGCAGAGTTTTTCTTCTTTTCCAAGTTTCGCCCGGTGGACCAACCAGCGGCTGACGCACGATCCCTGCGCTCCACTCCAGCAGACTCTTTTTCAACCTCATCTCTTCGACTTCATCTCTTCCTCTTCCTCCTCTTCTTCTTTTCGTCTCATCTTCGTCTTCATCTTCACCATCTTTATTGTGTTGTCTCGATTATTCACTGTCGGTAGCTAGCTCGGCCCAGGTGTCAGTTAGCCGGCGATGGTCGAGTCGGACTCCCCCACCGTCGCTCAGAGCTGCTGGTGACTGCCTCCTTGACCTCCCTTGACCGCCCCAGACTCCCTCGATCCTCAGCCTGCGACGTCTTCCATATCATATATACTGGTTTCCTAGGCCTTCTTCCTTGTTTGTGAATTCTTTTGCCCGTAGGAACCGCCGGGATTCTCTTCCTCACCGTAAATCGTGGATTTTTTTTTTTGGTCTCTCTGGCCACCTTTCTCTTCCGTAAAAGAAAAGCAGCGGCCGGGGTATCTCTCTGGAACTTCACTGATGGACGGCATATAGGGCTTCCTGCGTATCCTGTATTTGATCTTGGCCGGAATATATATATCTTTTGATATTTTTTTGCTATATATCTTCGATACCCTTATATATATCCGTTATATCTGTCTTGATATCCCACTGCTTATCTTTGGTTGTGTTCTTGTTATCCTTTCCTCCTAATGTTGCCGTGCGCAGTCGAGGATCTTCTATGGCTCAACCTCCTTGCTGGACCATCCTGATGTCTCCTTCCTGTCTGTCTCTCCTGCCTCCTGTCCTTTGTTCCTGCTGCTGCCTTTGGAATCAAGTATTGCCTTCCTTAAGGAAAGCAGGTGCATCCGTTAAACCACTGGGGCCGGCAGCACCGTCATGCAGTGGAAAGGATATTCCAAATATTCATTTTTCTGGCTGGATTCGAACTCACGTCCCTCCCTGTTGAATCAGCTTCCCACCTGGCTGGAGAAATTAACTTACCATTCGACTACTACGGAGAGTCACGGGTTCCCTAGACCTTAGCTGGTGCTGGGCAGGTGGTCTCTGCAGCGCCCTGCTGGCAGGCCTCCAGAATAGGTGGGAGAAGCCATACATCCCTCCATGAAGACAACCAAGGCCATTAGGGAGATAAAAAAGGATGTACACAGGTAAAGGAGACTATGTACATCAAACTGCTGTCCCTTTTGTCCCGTCTTCCTCTGTGCTGTGTGGTGGGGTGGGAGATCGAGTTTTGGCTGAGAGGCCTTATGAGGTCCCTTAGCCTTGTGTCTTGCACTGAAGCCCGCCGGCCTGGTCGAGCGGTAAGTTTCTGTGGTTATGGCGTAAACCCAGATTGGAGGTACATGCCGAGAGGTGGGTGCTAGCAACCCAAGCCTGGTAGTATCCCGCAGTAACTTGCCACCCGATGTCTAAGAAAAGCGGGTGGAGGAGAACAACCAAGTCATTGCGACCGCGTTTTCGTAGGGAGGCTGCAGACTCCCGAGCTTTTTTGCACTTTTTTGGAATACCCGTTGTTATATCTCCTTTTCCTCGTCTTCAAATCCCTGATCGGAGTCTTCTCCATGCCGGCTCGTCGGCCTTCAAATCTGGGGATGGTACTTCTGAACGGTTTTCGACGGCCATAGGGAGCTATGTACCCCCCTAAAACAGGTCCAACGCCGTGGGTTCGAGCCGCTGTTAGGCCAGCACCTCCAGACAAGACAACCCGTTTGAATATTCATACCCACCCCTTTTACCCCTTTTTTTGACACGTATGAAACGAGCAAAAATCGACAGATTTTCTGCTTTTTTCAGCATCTAATTACTAGCCCTGGACGGTGAGTTGTGAAAAAGGAGGTGTTTTTGGCTGTTTTCTTATATTCACTGCACCAGGCCCTCTTGCTTTGGTTGTTTTGGTACTTACACACCCAACTCACTTTCACTTGATTACTCCAACAAGCAGCTTGATATCTACAATACTCTTCCAAATAAAATATCTATTTTTTGATACTCCCAGAGGCCAGGAGACTGAGAAACTCAACTCTTCCTGTTTTTACATGCGTTTGCCGGTTTGTTTGTTGTTTTGCTCCTGCAACATCCCTTTGGTAACTGCCGCCCAACCCTCTTCGACAATATGCGACCGTGTGTGCCCACCACCCTATTATCCCTCATATTTCACCACCACGTCATCTATTATCTTCTCCCGATATCGCTTTACACTCCCAGAGCTCTCTACATACTTGGAATCCAGTCAGTGACTGTAAACAAAGCGTCCCGGTCCCACAGTGAGTGTTGAGGTAAGGAGGGGCCGTAAACCGGGCCACTTCAACCCTTTTGACACTCTTCACCGGCTATTACTGACCGGAGTACACTTTATTATAACTTCTAGCTGCTCCCGAATGAATATCGAGACCCTCTGGCCCTTTTCACAGCTTTAAGGTACCGGCTATGACCCGTTTCGTTGATAAAAAAGGCACTGTTTGATACCCTCTACCTCTGCAACAATTATTCAGTGCTGGAGAGATCCCCATATTCTGCTCTCTAAACTCTGTTGAAGAGGTACAGTTTAAACAATGGGATAAGGTGAACAATGGGGACAAATAAAAGAGATTGTTCACTGTGCTCTGCATTAACAAAGGTATGCATCACTATTTCTTTACTGGCATTATTGAAACATCGCAACCCTTCT